ATCATTACCATGCAATTAATCAACTAAAAAAATGTATCGTTTGACAGCCCTACTATAAATGCAGATGACACAACATTGTATGCACAGACAGATTGCCAACTTAAAAACATTCTACAGAGGAACTGGCCTCAGTAAATCAATGGATCAAAGCTATCAAATCAGTAATGTGGAAAAAACGAAATGTATGGTGGTTGGTTCAAAATACCTACTGAAAACATCACCGATGTTACACCAGATCTTAGGAAAGTAGATCAAGTCAAAATGTTGGGAGTAATAGTAGATTCTAGACTGTCGTGGACCAGTCAAATTAATTATGTATGGCAGAAAATGGGAAGGAGTATGGGCATTTTTCTTAGATAATCATAGCTATGAAACACGTCAGACCAGCGCAACAGGGTGTGTTCTACCCAGTTGTAAAACTAGTCAGATGCAGCAAACTGTTTGTTACAGAGCTATGGTTTTTTTTTTTATTGGCATATACAATATATTACAGCACAGACATTATAGACCCATTTGTACATTTAGACATACATATAAGCATTTACATTGGGTCAGGAGGGGGGACAGGGGGGGGGGGGGATTCAGCGTGCGCGAGTGTATGTGTGTGTATGTATGTTCACTTTTGGTGTATTGAATAGGTATGTCAGGGTGTTGAAGATTTTCTTTTATTGACCGGTAGTGAGAGAGGGGAGAAAGAAAAGAGAGAGACTAATAATAATAGTAATACTAACTAATAATAATAATAATAATACAGAGCCATGGTTGCCTGGATAACTTTTTGTTATTAGAGAACAGCCAAATATGTATTCAAATATGAAGTTAAAGGTGTTTTTGTTCACACAAGAAGGAAAATTTGTTAATACGCTAACCATGTGAGAGTTGCATTTTTCGGTTGTGATTGTTATAAATGTTTTGTTTAAGTAATGCATTGTTGGTTTAAGTTTGACAGTTGGAGATGGTGATCATAATGATGCTATTATTGCTGTTTTATGTGATATGTTTTATCAGAATCAGAATCAGTTTTATTGCCACGTAAGTAACAGGAAGTCACAGACTTGGATTTTGCTTTGGCTCAGTGCAACAATGTAAGGTGACAGCAGAGTAAAGTGACATTATAAAGGACAGTAAGTGACATTATAAAGGGCAGTAAAGTGAAAGAGCAGTAGGGGACTTTATAAGAGCAGTAGGGGACTTCTAGAGGGCGGGGGGACAGGTTATGAAGTGTTCAAGAGTCCAACAGCAGAGGGGAAGAAACTGTTCTTGTGGCGGGAGGTTCTAGTCCTGATGGACCGCAGCCTCCTGCCTGAGGGGCGTGTTTGGAATAGTCCATGTGCAGGGTGAGAGGGGTCGGCTGTGATACGACCAGCCCGGCCTCGAGCTCGGGCGACGTACAGGTAAGTAAGTAAGTAATCTTTATTTATATACCGCCTTTCACAGACCAGAGCCACAAAGCGGTTTACATTTGTTATTTTTTTTTTGGGCATTTGTCTCTCACTCCACACAGAGATGGGAGCGGGGTCGCCGAACAGGAGGCGCATGCCAGACCTATTGTACATATTTTTAGTGGTAGGGGAAACCGGAGTACCCGGAGGAAACCTACGCAGGTCCTGCAGCGATGGGAGGCTGCGGCCGATCACTTCCTCTGCAGAGCTCACGATGCGCTGTAGCCTCTGTTTGTCCCTGACTGTGGCTCCAGCGAACCACACGGTGATGGAGGAGGTGAGGATGGACTCGATGATGGCCGTGTAGAACTGCACCAACATCTGTGCAGGCAGCTTGGCTTTCCTGAGCTGCCGCAGGAAGTACATCCTCTGCTGGGCCTTCTTGATGAGGGACATTGGGCCCCTACGGTTTGTCTTGTGAGTGTATGTGTGTTTGCGTGTTGTTGTTTTGTTTGTTTGTTTTTGTTATGTAATATTGTAAACATTTGTAATGAAAATTAAGTAGACCTCAGGTAGAATAGCTCCTGCAATAAGTCAGGAGCTAATGGGGCTCTCAATAAAATGAAATGAAAAAAATCCCTGCATCCAAATTCAGCAACAATACCACCACTATATCTTTCCATCTGAGCAGGTTTAGTTTAGTAAAGGTTAAACACCTTTTTATCATATGCTACTTCAGTAAAATGTTATGCCACAAGTAAATACAAATTAGAGGAGGAAAAAAACAAAGAATGTATTTTTATGAAATTGGATGCAGCCATTTCTGTCATAACCATTTGTCATGACCCTTTCATATGACAAACCAGAAGTAGAATTAGACACTCTCTGGTTTGTTGTAAGTGGCCAAAGTCTATTATAAAACACCTAATTCATTTGCACATGACAGACAGCCTGTAAGCAATCTGTGACAGGAAACATCTCCGTGACAACCCAAGTAAAAAAGATGTCTGACCTGCTTTTGGCACAGATAGAGCATGCACACGTCCAATGACATTTATGTATTATATATAATATATATAATATGTATAATATATATGATATATATGATATATAATATATAATTAGGTTTGCCTGGATCGGTTTGCACACCTGGTGTGCAATCCATGAATCTTGGTGCTGTAGCCTAGGCTAGACTAGCCGTGGCTGCTGCTGCTGTCTCACCTCCTTTCAGATACGCTCTCTTTATTCAAGGCTAGGTTTAAAACAGTCCTCTTTAGTTTAGCATATGGCTAGGAAGGTAAGACTCAGGGAAGGCTAAACTCCTCAGACTGTCAGTCAAGCTGCATAGGGAGTCAGTTTGCTGGGAGAAGTATGGTAACTTGAGCACTATCCTCTCCTCCTTCCTACTTTACCTGTTTAGCATTATTAGGATTTTGACTGTAGTTTGTTCATTTCTATTCACCCGTTGTCCCATTGTCTGTTTCATGGTACGATGACGGGATCTCTGAGCCTGGCCTCTTCCATCTACACCTGCGGACTGCCCTGCCGGACCTGCCTGGGAGTGCTTCAGTCCTGCACCGGACCTGTCCACGTTCAGCGTCCACTGGTCCACGTTCTGTAGCTAGCTTAGGTCCTGGATCATTAGCCTGTCCGTCCGGAGAAGCGGATCCCTTTCTCAAATGGGTCTCCCTCCCTGTGGGTTTCCCTAGTGCTCCCCAAGGTTTCTCACTTTTTCCCACTGGGTTTTTTAAGAGTTTTTCCTTGTCGATGCAGGAGGGTCTTGTTGGACAGTTAGTGTCCAACAGAAAGGATTGGTGATGATCAGGACACTTAAGCATTCTACAACATGTATGGACATTTTCTTCTGTGTGTGCTTTATATTTTTATTTAAGTGTTTTAACTGTTGATTCTCTGACCTGTGTTGGTGATTTCAATGGTTTAGTTAAGTCCTTTTAGATGACTTCTGTTGTGACCTAGGGCTATACAAGAATAAATTGTATTCTATTGTGTTTTTACATAACACAATTATGCTTATGTCTGAAAGCCCTTTCTACAGGCGAAGATCAAGCATGTTTTTTGAATATTGTCACCAGTTCTAGACCATTATGAGAAAATAATTGGACCATTTTGTCTAGATGAAAAAATAGATAGATAAAAAGTTGAACTATGTGACGTGTGTTTTTTTTTTTTTTTTTTTGGATTTGCCCAAGTATAACTGAGGTATTAGACAAGTGTGACGATTTAAAGTTACCATACCATAAACTATTTTTCAGCTGTCCACCATAATGTTAACCTATATAGTGTACTTTATAGATCCATGCTCTGCTTGTATAGTAGCAATTTAAAAAAAATGTAATGAAGATTTTTATACCTGCCGTATACTGTATCTATATTTACTTTTATAATTTGTGCAAACAAGTTTACTTGAGCCAAAGCAAATTCCTGTTTTGTGACAACCTGTTATTTACAATGGCCATAGAAATAACTCAAATACCATGAGAAAAAGTTTGTGAAATATACCTGAATTTGGATTAGTTTATCTAAAATCCACATGTTTTGTGTCCTGATTTAGGAGTAGTCATAAAGGCCCCCAGGGCAGCTGAGGCTCATACATAGAGAGATGGTCCATTTATCTATCACATGATATCTGTGGACTTCATGTGAAGCCCCGCCCCCAGGCTGAAGCTGTTGCTAGGATACCACACAACAACTCTCTGGCCTCAACTGGAGTAAAGCCTTGTTTCTTTGTTTATTAACTGGATAATATCTTGTAAGGTGTATTTTTGAAAGATGCTGGCACGTCACTCTCAGTTTATAAAAGGATCCAGCGTGAACGAAAAAGGTAATGTTAGTATTTATTATTAGCGTAGCACACATTATTTGGGGTAAATTTGAGTTGGGAAAATGGTGAATAATGCCATGAACCTTTTGATCAAAAGTTTAACCTGAAACCCATTTTTTAGGTTAATGCTACTCAGGGTTCTCATCTTCTGTCAGTTTGAGGACAATTCACAGAATATTTATCGATATAAATAGTACCGTTAAAAGGAAATAATTATTATTATTTATTTTTGAAAATATTGTGTGTGTACGGTAATGTTAGTTTTTTAACCAGTGTAGCTTATGTTACCATAGACTGAAGTGTAGTATGTGTATACCAAAAAGGGTTGATTAATTTCTAAAATCTAAATGTACTGACTCAAATCTTAGTGAGGTAGCGTTTACCTAAATCTATTTTGCAGAAGTTTTGCACAAACAGTCAGTAATGTGTTTTGTATTCTGCCTCAGGCCCTCTGAGTGTGCAGCACGGCACCCCAAGAAACAGCTCTGAAAATGTTGAAAAATATAGTAAAGGAATACTACCTAAAAATATTCATTGTCAGACAGCCTGCCTACACTATAGTAATTACACATAAACTTAAAATTTTGATCATTAAATTTTGTTTGCCATTCTTCTAAGATTCTTCACATGCAAGAGAGAGTACAATGGTCCCACTGCCAGATCTACGTAAAGTCACAATTCTATCAAAATCTGAGTCAATGAGGATTCAAAATGAGATACATAACATTGATAGAGAACTAGAACGCAGGATTGAAGAGGAAAAGAGAAGAGAAGCTATGCACTTGCAGTCAAAAGAAGTAGTCAAGCTTTGGCCCAATACTATAGCAGTAAGTATCTGAACTGCAGACATTTGACATTATACAAGGCTTTATCTCATCTTTGTTTAAGACGCAAAGGCAGAAGAATCTGGAGGCAAAGGCTATTCGCCAGCAGATGGACGAGGACAAAAGAAAGAAACTTGATTTAGAGGAGGCAAAATACAAGGAGGAAAAGAGAAAGGAGGCCATACAAAAAGCTACAGCTCAGCTCTTCCATCAAACAGAGCGGGTCAAGAACCTGCATGTAAGTCCACCTCTCACTGCACATTTGTAATGAGTTGGATTGATGTAACCATAGACTGTAAATATTATTATGTGACGCTTTCCACGGTCTTTTAGAGCGCGTACAGGCTGTCACATGTGCTGCATGAAAGGGAAGCACAAATTAAATTCAAGCAGCGGATGAAAAGTTTTGGCAAAGATATGGACAAAACCTTCTTTGAAACAGCTATGGCCAGAGAGGAAGAAGCTCAGCGAAAAGAAGAAGAGAAAGTAAAGCAAAAGAAAAAGGAGAGCCTGGCAGTTGTGGAGGAGCTGAACAATCAGTAAGAGTACAAACTTCACACAAGAAGTGTCCAAAATGAGGATTGTTATTATAAGGTTCTTTTCAGAATAAGAAAACATGATCTTGACAAAGAATACAAAAGGCACCTAAAAGAAAAAGAGTTGGATGAGCTGCAGCAACAACATGAGCTTCATCTGTGGGAACAAAGCAGGGAACAAGAGCGACGTAAGGAAGCGAGGGAGCAGCTCATGCAGGCCAATCAGGTGAGGGCTGTCGATCTTTAACTGGAGCTCAAAAGCCACTTGCACTGTGCTTTTGTTTTCAGGAGCATCTAACAAACAAACAACAGGAGAGAGCCGCACATGACCGAAAAGAGCGTTTGGAAGACGAACAAAGAAAACTATACCTCTCAGCAAAAGAAAAAATAATCAAGTTAAGAAGAGACAAGGAAAAGGAGATGATAAGGTCAGATCAATTGAGGCTCACGAGAAATTCTTCTCATTGCCGTTCATTTTCTTTAAATTTTTCTATCATGGATGGTGAATTCAATACTCACACTTTTCACCAGTATTAGATAGAATCATGAGAATAATGGGATTTTTTGTTTGTTTTGTTTTTAAGGGAAACTCAAATGCAACGGGAGAAAATCTTGGAAAAAATAGTTGTCTCTCAACAGCAGCAGGCTAGAATTGAAGAGCTGAGACTTGCACGAGTTGTTGCTGAGCGTGAGGCTCGGGAAATGCAGTTGGAGCAGGAGGAGACGGAGAGGAAAGCTGCTATGATGCAGTCCATAGCTGAACACAGGACCTCTTTGGTAAACAGATGTTAACTGTATATAAGTGTCAACTTGTCACTAATCGCTGTGGTTTTACTTCTCTATTAGATGCAAGAGAAAGAGAGAGTGAAAGAGGAGATGAAAAAGAAGAATGAGGAAATGCTTCAGTCTAAAAAGGAGGCACAGAAAATATATTTGGAAAAACAGCAGCACAAAGAGCAGAAGGAGAAAGAGGAGCGGCAAAAGCTGCAGGAGTTCCACAAAACACAAATGGTTTGTACTTAATGAACTTCAGAGATTTCTCAAAGTGCTCAATTCTAATTGTCTTTTACATTTTACCTTCAGAATGAAAAACACTCAAAGCAACAGCGGCAAAAACAAGACATGAAAGAGTTTGAAGTAATGAATAGTCAATTACATGCAGATGAAGAGTTTCAGTTTCAGTTATATGCAAAAGATATCATCAATCGAGCTGAAGACTCCAAACTTTATATGGTGCCACTTTACAAAGCTGCAATAGAGGGGATTGGGGGACCTGGTCCAGCTTATCATGAAGTTAGTCCCAGCAAAGAGATACAAGACAATGGTGCTGCACAAATGTCTGACACTTTCTCAGGGGCTCAGAAGATCTAAGGACGCCACAAGAATGTTGGAACTGCAAATAAGACTGGACTGCCCTGGGTAATGAATAAAAATGAAAGTATTGGAAAAAAATGTGTATTAGAATATCTAATTCTACATTCTTCATCATGTTCATCAAGATGACTTATTATATAGCGGAGATTTTCATTTAGCTATAACCTTTTCATTATCTGTGTATACAGACTTCATACTTTAGTTTTATATATTTAGGTTTATTGATATGACAATAAAAGCTTTTCTTTATAATTAAATGTTATGCTAAGGAATAAAAGCTCTTCATCTTAAAACTTCTTTACCCATAGAAACTTGAGGCTCCACCTCCAGAACATTAAGTAGTTGCTTTGGCCATTACCACACACCTCAGATCTGCCACAATACAAAGCTGTACAACGTACACTTGTCTGATGTGTAGGAACACTAGGAAGAAAAGCATCAGTTCATGAAAATCAATGCATTTTTTATTCATCCTTCAGAACCTTAATTTCTGATGTAATTGGACAAAATGACTTTACAAATGATGGATAACCCCTCAAGTAAACCAGAATCATCTGCATTGCAGTAAAAGGTTGTGTGTAAAAAAGTGGAGGGCTCACATGTTACCAAATGACAAATTACAAAGCACCAAAACATTTCTGTGGGTTGGAAATATGATATAACAATGACATTAAAATCACACCTTCCCTCCTAAACCAATACAGTCTGAATGATAAAAGTACAAAAGTTTAGGCAAATAATTTAAAAGCTTTGATAAATATACAATTGGAATTTCCATGGTCTCAATCGATCTAATCCAAATTAAATTTATTTAAGACAGAATGCTTATTAGATTGTAAGATAACAGAAAAGTCTTGTTGCGTCATCCAGGCATGTCAATATTTTGTTTTGGTCAGTACTAACATTCATGGAGCACAATATCATCAACTTATCTCATCAAAACAGTGCTGCATTACCTGAAATGTTCCACAGCAAGCCATCTTCCTTTGTTTTCATAAACTTGCAATTGGAAAATTCCAGACAACGCAACAATTCCCACGGGAAATACAATTCAGACAGTCCGCTAAAAGAATCTTACTCAACATTCTGTAAACCACATCCACTTCAAAATGCAAGTGTAGTACTGTACTAAATGGAGCTGTAACTTGACTTCAGCAGTATGTAGATGGAAACCAAATATGTAGAAAAAAATGAAAATGAAGGTAGAAGGGTAGTTTCAGTCACTATCAGAACTTGAGCTAGAGCTGTGCCTATGTCTTCTGCTATTCCGGTCTTTGCCTTTAGTAGTGCTGTCTGGCCTGTGCCTCACCGGGCTCCTTTTGTCTTTTGATTTCCGATCGTGGATAGTTCGGCCCTTTCGCTTATCCCTTTCGCCATCAGAACTGCTGCTATGTCGTCTCTTGTGATTGCTAGAGTCGCGCTGTTTATCTTTTCTATGAGCAGAGCGATCTTTACTGGACTTACTCTTGCTTCTCGAGTGCCTGCTCCGGTGGGCGTCTCTGGTCTTACTCCTGTCCGGGCTTCTCCCTCGATGTTCTCTGCTTCGGGACGACTCTCTCCTCTTTGTCTGCCTTTCGTTACTGCGTCGACGGTCCCTACTTCTGCTGCGGTTGTGGGCCCTGTCCTTGCTCCGCCCGTCGTCCTTGTCTGCGGATTTGGCGCGACTGCTCTTGTTCCGGTTGCTGCTGCGAGATCTGTGACCATCTTTTTTGTCCCTGCTACGCGACTTTGACCTAGTTCTTTCCCCGTTTCTTCCTTTAAAATCCTCTTTATGCTTTTTACTAGATTCGTCAACTTTGTCTTTTGCACTATCAGAGTGTTTGTCTTTCTTCGAGTCCTCCTTTGAGTCCTCCTTGTCTTTGCTTTGGGATCGTGCCCGTTTCTCATCGGATTTGCGAGACTTGTGTCCTTTGTCCCTGCTCTTAGACCTTTTCCTCTCACGACTTTTACTCCGACTTTCTGCCCTCTTGTGGGATTTGTGTTTAGCGTGCTTTCCATCTTTACTTGTGGAATCCTCTTCTTTGCTCTTGGACCTATGGTTCCTCATTTTCTTCTCCTTTTTACCCTCTACGGCATCTTCATGTTTTGAAATGGACGATCGTCTCTCTCTCTTCAAGCCCGCTTCCTTTCCATCATTGAGATCACCTCTGTGAAAGAAAGATTCTCAGTTACAGCCAAAAACTTTTTATTCTAATCTATTGCTACTGGTGTAGACGCACAGGCGGCAATAGATTCATGCATTATTTGTACATAAATAATACTTGTCCATCTGTACATATATTGAAATAAACACTAACATTAATAATTATGCTCTTTCATAATCATTATTAAGACTCATACCTATCCCCCTTGATCCAGCGCTCCCCAGTAACAGCCCTCATCTTCTGACGTTGCATTTCCTGACGCCAGTGAGGAGGCGTTTCACTGCGTCTAAACCGATCTCTTGAACGAGAGCGTGATGGGGTTCGGTATCTCTGAAAGATAGATGTGTTACTCTTTAAAAATGGATTTATAAATTCTGAAATGATAATTGTAGTGTAATTATGTACATACCCTCGGACCCCTGCCCTTTATCTTTCTTCCGGAGCGGGTCATGACCAGTCTCCTGTTGTATGCTGAATTATAGGCTATTCCAGCACTGGAAAAAAAACAAAAAAAACAACATAACATACAATTACTGCTAAAAAAAGAGAAGGGCTTTTTTTTTTTTTTTTAAGTGTACCTGGGTCTTTCCCCCTTGTTCCGTTGTTCCTTTTTAGGCTCATCCTTAATCTCCAATTGCTGGGGGCTTCGTCTCATAAGGAATCGGTTTTCGGGAATTGGAGGAATCTCTTCCGGACGCACCGTTGAAGGCACCGCTTCGACCTCTTCCTCCTTCTCATCTGCACTGGCAGCTTCAGCTCTGTTACAAGAGAAAAAAAAAAGTGAAACACAAATTATAGTGATCTCATACATTATCCAACATATGCAAAACAATCTCATGTACTTTGTTTTCTTTTGCTTCTTTTTATGTTTCTTCTGCTTCTTTTTCTTTTTCTTCTTTGACTCTTTTTCAGAATCTTCTGAATCAGAGGATGATTCTGATGAGCTATGCGATTCACTGGAGCTACTGCTGGATCCAGCCATGCCATGCTTTTTCTTTTTACCTTCTTTTTTGGCTGTGAATGAACAAGACGGTGAATAAACAGAGCTATTGTTGTGTCATGTCTAGCATCACTGACAAACCTTTAGCTTTAGGGACAAGTTCTCCACAATTCAGAACTTTTACGTCAGCATATGGTTTGCTGTTAGGATCAGTTTTTTGGTTTTCCATGGTTTGAACAACATCTTGACCAGAGATCACATGTCCAAAAACCACATGGACACTAAAAAATAACAAAATTCACCGAGTTCACAAAACAAAAGTACGGAAAATATAAACTCAAGAACTAAAACACATTCATACCCATCAAGATGAGGTGTGGGTTTTGTTGTTCTGTGGATCGAGACAAACAAAGGAGTATTGGTTTTACGCAAATAAGTACACATATATAAATAATGTCAAAATTCTCAGGGCTACTCACATGAAAAACTGAGATCCATTGGTGTCTTTGCCCCTGTTGGCCATAGACAGGAGATATCCCTTGTTGTGTTTAACAGCGAAACTTTCATCTAGGGGAAAATCACAAGATTGTACTTCCGTCTTCAAGCCAACGTTGGTTTGGAAAACAAGTCACAGGTCTGGCAGCTCCTTCCTTTACCTTCAAAAAAGCCTCCATAGATGGATTCCCCGCCTCTTCCATTTCCTATAAAAAACAGAAAACATACATGAAGGCTCATTACAAATCGGGCACAGACGCTTTACAGATGTAGATGTTTCTAAATTCACCTTCACTAAAGTCTCCTCCTTGGATCATAAAATCTTTAACGATGCGATGGAAGAGACATCCTTTATAGTGAAGGGGCTTCTGGGTTCCTTTACCAATTCCTTTTTCACCTGAGAACACAGAATTTAGTTGAACCAGGTATACAATTATATTTGTTGCTTGACATTTTCGGGAACTTACCGGTGCAAAGACACCTGAAGTTTTCACATGTTTTGGGACAAACATCTGAAAACAATTCCACCACAACTCTACCAACTGAAAAAAGTACAACAGTCATTTAAAGCTCAATACAAGGAATAAGTGATCAAATGGACATTCTTACCTATAACATTGCCAATAGCAACGTCCATGAAGCATCGAGGGCGCTGAGGCTTCACTCCCATGTTTGCCCCGCTTGTGAAGAAGCACTCTAGAATTGATTTTCGTAAACAAGGAAACACATCAAATAAGAAAGTAATTGCTTGTAGTTAACTAATAAAAAGGATCGTTTATCTCAATTACATAGTAGAAAACATATCTTAAATTAAACGCAACGTGTATAGTTTAAACTATAAAAATTAAACTATAATTAAAAAAGATAACTCAATATAAAATGCTAGAACAAATGCATTGAATCGTGGATTTCTACTACTGTACCCCGAAAGCATAATATGCAAAAGTATACGGTAGGCCCGCGTTAGCATTAGCAAGGGGTGCTAGCATATAACAGGAACTCGTGTATTTTGAGGCTGCAAATATACTGAGAGGTAACAGAAAGCAAACTATGTCAAACAACAAGAATTATGTATCAATTCGTGTCACCTACGAATCGAGGGTCTCACTTCATTCAGTAGGCAGCAATCGCAGCGACTGATTGCAGCTAAAATTAAGTTTCATTCAGTGACCAGCTCAATGTTTTCCAAAGATGGCGCGGCACGAACGTAGATGCTCAGGGCTCAGGACGTGCGACATTTTTCCCAGGGCAGTAAAAGCAAAAGATCATATTTTCTTAAACTGTTATTGCTAATGCTTGAATGTTTGGTTCGACAAAAAGTATTAGTGAGGCATTCTTAGCGTTCAAATTGAATGGAAATAGATGGCACGCTGGATAAACAAGCTATTTCACTCTCCATACACGTATGTATTTTTAACCTGGAAGTAAAAAATCTGGGAAACAACTCACCAACTTGATTACGGAAGTGCCCTGTGCAGCGCACATGCTAGGTACTATTTGACTTTCAATACACATTTATGATCGCGTCTATTGTTTGACATTAGTGTCTTGTTGAGTTTGAAATGACTGAGAAACAAATTAAAAGTACATTAGTAAATGTCTTTGCAGTGTAGCTCTACCTTACTACGATTTATAAAAGTGTGATGACGTGAATTTAGATCAGGAATATCAGTAAATATTTGTTTTGTTAGGGGACCGAATATTTAATCAATGGACCAAATTCATAAATCTATACTATACTTTTATACCAAAGTACACACTTTGTTTTCTTAGTGAAACGTTTATTTAATTGAAAATCCTTTTAGGGGCCTCTAAAACTGTTCGACACAACCTGTTTTAGCATGAATCCCCGAGGACCTGTCTTTGTGTATTTATGTTATTGACCGTTTATTTAACCTGGGTAATATCCTTCATCCTAGGAGAACATCTGCATGGCATGGCAAATCAAGTTTATTTGTACAGCACATTTCATACACAAAGAAACTCAAAGTGCTGAACAATACAAGATACAAACAATCACTCAGGTCATTAAATCATAAATAATCACAGTACATTAAAAAGAGTGAAGATAAAATCGCTCAGATATATGCACAACTAAACTGTTTTGAAGCCTGTCTCACATTTTGCAGCCTCCCTATATATATATATATATATATAATATATATATATATATATATATATATATATATATATAATTATACATACATATATATATATACATACAAACATATAATACATTATAATATAACAACTCACCCTTGATCTTGCCTTTCAGTTGGCTATGGAGATGAGCAGTAAAAGTTTGGACAAATGAATCCTTCAGCCTGTACCTCTTCGCCTGTGACTAGTGATGCTGCGACTGCAGCGTGTGAGTTTGTGCCTCAGAAGCCTTTTCCACAGTGGGACAGTCAAAAGAGATCTTATTCTGGAGCAACTGCGTGTGTGCAACATTGAAGACCATGTTTTTGATGTGGTGGGAAAGAACAGGGCCAAACTAAATGTCGATCATGTTAGTATGGCTGTTGGGATGCTGTGGGAGTTTCAAAAAGAGAAACCTCAGTTGCTCCGTAATGTAGATCTGATCAAGACTCACCCTCAGTTTCTGACTTTACGAGTTTTGGCAGAAAACAAAATTGCCCAAATGGATAATTCGATGTTGATTGATACACTCTACAGCTTTCTTCGGTAAATATCCGAGCATTGAACAAACATTTAAAAATTGAAATTGTAACAAAGTAATGTAATAACAATATTTTAATATTTTGCTTGATTGTAGATTAAACGTGGATCAACATGACTCTCTCATTCAGCAGATGGTGTCAGAAGCATGGTTGCGTCTGAACAAGTAATGTGGTCTGGGTCTAGAAATTTAATATGACAAGTGTTTGCAACTATGAAGTGTAGTAATTCAGTTTAACTTCTTTGGTTAGTTCAACAGGCAGGATGGATGTTTCAATTTATCAATGTAGCTCAGAAGTGAAAGTCTGTGGGTTCCAGAAGTATAATGTACTTTGAAAATCGCCATAGGAGTTTAGGAAAATCCAAATATTAAGAGATTGAAGGCACAAGGAATAATAACTAGCTCTTTAGTAACTACTATCCACAGCGGGGTTGGTTTCTGTTCATAAAAGCACAAATAAAATGTAAAATTCTGCAACATTTGTTCAAAAATGTACTTTTACTATGTACCCATGAAAAAAAGACTTGGAGGTGGGCAGGCACTTCACACCTCCATAGTTTCAATGTCTATGTTTGTGCTTAAATCTTTTTTATATTTTCTTCTTTTTCAGATTCTCAATGGTGTCTCTATCAAAGTTTTCAATCTGTCTCAGTGATCAGTATTTACAGCACAGTCCACTTATGGGACAAATCACAAACATCCTGGCTCAAAATCTGTCAACAATCAATGATGCAAGGTTGGTTGTCATATATAAAGTCTTAAAAACATTAGATACTTTGTTCATGTTTTTGTGTTTCTGACTCATAGGATTTTGACAACTTTGATGATCAGTGTGTCTTCCCTGGTGTCTCCATGCTTACGAGACGCTCTCATTACAAAGACCGATCGTTTACTGGATACTTTTGACCCATCAAATTATAATAACCCACGAAGAGTTGTTCAGTTTCTGCGGAACATCAAGTACAGCCACCGCCCACTACTAGAGAAATGCAACCAAGTCCTCTTGAAAAACGTACCTAGAATGAATGCAGAGAATATCAGCATTATCATGGGTCTCTATCAGTCGCTACAATTCAATAACTGTGACTTTAGGCTGGCTGCCAAAGAAAGACTTAGTGAACTGATTGATTCAAGCTCTGACCCATTCTCATTTACGAAATTATTTGTAACTTTGGCTCCCTTAGCAAGTCAAGAAATAACGGACGGGTTAGTAAAGCACAAGGCTCTATTTGCTTAAAATAATCCAACATCAAATGATTTCCTGCCTTTCTTTTTCGCAGGTTGGAAAATACTGCTCTCTTGTTAGCAGATGAGTTTAATGCACAACAGGCATTGGCTATAGCTGAAGGATTAGAAGAGATTCAGAGTAGAAATCTAAGCCTCATGAACAAGTAAGTGCACATCTCGATATACAAAACAAATATGTATTTGGCTTTACATTGCAATTTAAAGAAACACTTTTCTCCCCCCAGAATTGCTGCAGTGATACAAAGAAACCTTCATGTCTACAGACCAGTGGAAGTGGCCAGAATCACACAAACACTCTGTCTTCTACAGTATCAAAACCCTGAGCTGTATACCAAGCTAAGAAATATTTTGACAAAGTGAGTGTCTCTATTTTGTTAAAGACAGATTAAGTTACCTTAACACAAGTCTGATTTTGGTTTTATATCCAGATTCTTACAGAATAGTGTATTTCCCTTTGAAGTCACCATGCTTACCCGTGTATTGTCGTTGCTGCCTTCCCCTTGTGTGGATGAGAGCCTTATCACACGAATAGAAGCCGTGGTGCCTCAGTGCAACCTCGGTGACCTGAACACCATTGCCAATGCTGTGGCCAAGTGGGTTCGCAATGACGCCTCATACAGCCATAACACTCCTAGTAAGTACATCCGACTCCTGCAAGCCCTGAACCGCGCCGGGCATGAACGACTCCAAACAGCCGAACGACTGGACCTGTTGCTAGAAGAGATCAAGTATGTTTCAGGGGAGTGGTTTGAGCAAATTCTCCTGGAAGATTCAATGGTGACACTCAAGAGAATGATGGATCAGATAAACTCGACGAATGTGCCAGAATTGAGTCTGTTTCTTACAAGAATAAATCATTTCAGCCCTTCATTGATGGAACGCATTGCTGATGTTGTCATTGAAGACATTGATAAGGTGAAGCAAAGGGGAGAAGGACAAAATGGTAAAGGAGAAATACTTAATTTGTCTTTTCTTTTAAGATTCACTATTCTGCAACCTATGCTACTGTGCTTCCATTTACGGTGATGAATTATGACAGTGTCAAGGTAGATGAAATGTATGAGGCCTGTATTCGTCACTTTACTCCACATATCAGTAAGTAACTAATTATATTTGCTACATGTATTTATTACTATATTTGAAAACTTGAAATATATGTCTATAGGTTTTTTTGACCCGCATCTACTAGTTCTTTTGGCATACTCCTTGGCAGTCGCTGACTGTTATCCTGAGGAAGTTATCAAAGACATTTTCAGTATCGACTTTTTGGGAAAACTTGACTCCCAATTAGAAAGTAAGTCCTGAAAAAAAATATACTAATTTTGAGAAGCAGTTGTATAACATGTTGGCATTTTCTGCAGCCCTTCCAGATGCACTCAACTTGCGCGTTCGACTCCGATTGATGGAGCTGAATCGAGCAGTGTGTCTGGAGTGTCCCGAGTACCAGGTGCCCTGGTTCCATGAGCGGTACTGTCAGCGCCTTCAGGACAAAGGTAAGATTCAATTATTTGTCTAATTGTGTTGATGTTCTTAAAGTACCTACCCACTTTCAGAGGTTTTAAACTTGGAAATCAATGCCTTAAAAACCCCTATGTTTTCTAGGAAATGGGTCCATCAACCTTCTGCATCAGCAGATTTACAAAATGCTTGGAGAAATTCTTGGTGGAATGAACTATGTCCGACTTGCTGTTGTCACTCCATATTTCTATACCATTGGTATGTGACAGTCACGTGTTGCATACAATGTAGCACCATGTGCATCCCAATGATATAAGTAAAACCATGTGATTTTGTCTGTAGATTTTGAGTGCATATTGGACAAGGAGCTTAAACCACTGCCTTATGTTGAGTCAGGACCAGAACCCATTCCCAGCAGAGGGCAAGTTCAGTGGGGGACAGGCTCTACCTCCATCAGGGAAGAGCTGCCCCCTGGTGCTCAGAGGTAAGAACACATTTAGACTCACAGACACAGAAGCACCCACCCAATACTGACCACTGTGCCTGTGTGCCTAAAGACTCGCTGTGGATTTTCTTGACTCAAAGTCATTTTGTAAAAACTCTCGTCACATGAAAGGAGAAACCTTGATGAGAAAAAGGCATCTGGAAATCTTGGGATATTATGTTATTCAGGTAACAATAGAGCATGGCAATATGACAATATATTTTATTGAATATTTTTATGTTTTACAGATTCCTCACTTTGAATGGAACTCTATGGAACTTTCAACACAAGATGCTTGGAAGGATTATTTGAAGAAACAAATATTTAGGGGATGTTCTTTACCATGAACATTTATTTAACCCTTTTGCTATCCTTGGGTCAAAATGACCTGCCACTGTAATTAAAAAATAAAGCTGACTGTTGATGACTTCTCATAACTTGACCAGTCTTGGGTCATTTCGGTCCTGCTCGAACCTTATTTGGGGTATTTATCTTCTACTTTTAATCACTGTCAGGTCATTTTGACCCAAGGGTAGCACAAGGGTTTGGATTTTATAGTTTGGAAAGTTGTACTGATACTGATACATACATCAGCTTTTCATATGAAAATGTGTGGAATAAAGTATATTTATTTTGTGTAACTTTAAAATACATTATTAATAAAACGTGTAAACTGTACAAACATAATTTTTTTCTTAATTTTACATCTTAGGCATTTTAGCTGGATTCAAATGCATAGACACGCATGATCCTCCAGATGCATATTGCATCTCTCGAATTAACCCACTCCACTGCTTCTTGTTCTCTTCATACCTAAAGACAAAATGATTGGAATAAATACAGCATGAAAGATGGAATTGAGAGTAAGAACACTTACTGCCAGATATCGATCATCTCACTCGGAGTGCACTCTTTGTCCTCGTTCACCACCATGGCGAAGCCTCCCACAGCGTACAGTTGCCCATCACAGCTCACCAGGTTCACTGAACTCCTTTCTTGGGGAAAGTCTTCAAATGGCAGCCACCTACAACACCAGATGAGTCCTTAACTTTACACTGTAGAACATTAATAACTGTTCAGTGTATGCACATACTTATTATTTCCAAAGTCATAGACCTCACACCCAGATGTGAGCCCATCTTCATTGACCCCTCCTGCCACAATAATCTTCCCTTTATGGATCACTGCTCCAAACATGGCTCGAGGAGTTTTCATTGCTGCCAATTCTTTCCATTCTGATCTCTTGTGATTGTATACAAACATCTTGTTGATTGTAGTACTTAAAACATTGAAAATACAATCAAGAATCTTGGTTGTATGGTAATACGAATGTTTCAATTTGTATGGTTAAATGTCCCCTTACTTGTCATCTGTTTTTCCTCCCAAACAGTAAATCAGCCCATTCTCTGACACAACACTGTGACCATGGACCTTCAAAGGTAATTTTTTTGATTCACACCACTTCATTTTTCTGAAATATTGCAGAAAACGATGATTCAAGCATACAAAATACAAATATGGATAAGTATAGTAAGAAATGCAACTGAACTTACTCAGTATCATAACACATGACTGTGTCATGTGATTCATCTGACTGTAGGTCTTTTCCAGCAACTGCAAATATTAAATCATCCACATCTCCAAGAGCAAACAGACATCTTGGAGAAGGCATGGGTGGTAAAGCAACCCACTGACAACCAATACAATCCAACTGAAAGTTGAAATACATTGAATGTTATGACGTAAATGTCATGAATGAAAAAATCAAATCATCAGTAGTGAATTCTATACCTGGTAGAAGTAACACTGCAGTTGATTCTGAGTTTCATCTTCATCCACAAAAAGCCCTCCTACAATGTAAAGATTTCCCTTCTTTGTCACTAGACTCACGTGGTTTCGTGGGACCTTCTCAGATATACAAGCCAGAAAGCACTCATTGTCGTGTGCATCATAGGCCACAGCTGCTGTGTCATTGATCATCAGCAGCATGTCTTTGGCAAACATACCATACCGCCGGGTATCATTCAAATAACCAGGAAGGCTCTCTCCCTCTTTGTCATTTCCATCTGGACCTTTTGGGGTTTCTGGAAGCTTACCCCCGGATGCATCTTTAATTGCTTTGATTTTTTTCTGTATCTCAGCATCAGCTTTAAAGAGCTCATCCTTCTCCACTTTCTCCTTGATAAACTTTTCTGGTAGCAAACGGAAACGAATGCAGTCGAAAGCCTCACTCAAACTTTTGATGCGATTTGCCTTATCTTTCTTAACCCATTTCAGCAAGGCCTCGTAGACAACCTCTTCTTTCTCTATATTTAGGGCATCCGCCCCTATTATAGCAAACAATTCAGGAGGAGAAAATTCAAGAAATTCTGCCTCTTTTGACAAATCTTCAAAGCGATCAGCAATGTAATCTCTGGCAGCTATTGCCAGTCTGGGGCAGTTGATCATCAAGCCCAGTCTGTAGACTGCCAGGCAGTTTCTCTTCGACAGCTGCTTCTGAAGGTAGTTAACACACACTGTGAACACAGAGGGGATCTGGAAGCGATTAGCAACCACCAAAATATCCTGGACATTGTTGTCATTAATGTCAATCTCTGCCGAGTACATATAGTTCACTATTGTCTCCATAAGATCAGGGTCCAGGTTTTCCAGAAGAATCTCCTTTTCTTGAGACTCTTCACCAGCATCTGAAAAGTAAAGTTCACGAAAATAAGGACTGCATGCTGAAAGGATCAGCCGGTGACAGGGGATGCGCCGGTCACTGATCTTAAGAACACAGTCTATCAGTTTGTTTTCATCGAGAAGCTCTTCTAGTCCATCTTGGAGCAAGGTACTCTGGAAAAGACGCCGATCTTCCTTCAAACTTTGGGGGTCCATTTCTAGTGATCAAGAATCAGCAAGTTGAACAGACTGTTGACAGAACTCTGCAAAGACAGGTCCAGAGGCACTTCAATATAACCTTGCCCTGTCTAAATATAGCAAACAACCCCACTCAAAAAGAATGCACATTGACCAAGTCGGACGGCCTACACAGCTGTCATGGAGCAAAAACAACTGTGAAGACAGTGACTGCAGTTATTAAAAACAGAATTATGAGCAGCCACGAGGAAACATGATTGTGTGTGCATCTATAATAATATCTGGCCTAGCATAAAGAAAACATAATAAAATATCAGCTCAATAATAATAATGAAATCAGTTTAGGACTCAATATTGAGGATACTAATTTTTCAACCCAACTCAAATGCTGTGAAATTTATCAGAAATTGAAATGAAATTGAGTGTATTGTAAAACAGAAATTTTCATACACAACTACCCGTAAAAATACCAAATAAGAACATTTTATTATTATACATAATTGAACCCTAACCACATTCCAAATAATCGCTGTCATGTATGTATAAATGTGAGAAATTCAGACAATCTTCTTTGAATATGTGAGGACACAGATCTGGTGTTCAAATAAAAAAAATTATACAAAATGCATTTCATTGCCAGGGTAAGAATAGGTTCAGTGGTTAATTTCTACATTTAAGTTTATCCATTGAGTTCACATCATGAAGATCTTGTTTTAGTAATTTTATTTTTGAATCTTAAATAAAAATGTTAAAGCATATGAGAGTTCGCCTGAATTACTTTACATGTACATTTATAGGACGTAATGGTTTGACAGTAAAAAAACTTTCTTGACTTTCAAATTTCATGAAGCCTTATCCTGATGAACACAGGGGGCTAAAATATAGTCTTTTGTTCTAAAAATAAATAATGGCTTTTGCTCTCTCAGAATCTGCATAATTTTAGCCTATGACTTCCCACAGTCCCTGCAGAGTAAATCCATCCCTGAGCTTTTCAATGGCCAGTCCCAGATCCTTTGAGAACACAGGCTCACGGTCTTGTTGCTGTGGAAACAAAACAGAATAACAAACCACTAGATCAAGAAAAGTAACAAAACAAATAGTATACATAAAGTAGTCAAATCAAAAATCAAATGGAAATACCTTGTTGCTGTCTGCAAAGTAAGCCTGCATAATAATATATTAATGTCAATAGGTGTATTTCATTTCACTAACCAGATTTACTTTTTTACTTACAGCGAAAGCATCAGTCTGTTCATCAGGCTCGATCTCCACATCATCAGGAGGCTGTTCCACTGTGAGACGTTCTAATGGCTGTGGCTGTAATATTCACATTCATGTTTATCAGTGCCACCAACACATGCATCCAGTGTTAAAATCAAATGTTAATTACAAATCTGAAATCCTACCTTTTCTTCCATTTCATAGTCAACCCCAAATATAGGGTTGGCAGAAAAAACCTTATGAAGTGAGTTAATTTCTTTTAAAGCATCTTGAAGCTTCTCAACCGGATCTATTTTAAAACCCAGCACATAGCCTCCACTCTATAGCACAATCAGTAAAAGTTATCAATACAACAAAGCAGAAGGATATTTGTTATCCTGTACTTCTATTGATGTCAAAAACTTGCCTGCCTTGAACTTTCAATGACCAGGGCCAGACCAAACTTTGAATCCCTTATTCTGATTGACCACTGAAATGAGAGAGAACTTTTGTTTTTGTGCTCAAAGAAATTATTTGAGTTAGTTCTGTGTAAAATCTTACAATCTGAAGATACGGGATGCTGACGTTAAAACTCTCATTCATGTTAGCATGCCAGACAATGCGAACATTGGTGATAAAAAATGTTCCAAGATTTCCCTAAAAATGAAAAGTAGATTTGAAGATTATGCTTGTAGAATATGTGTGCTAAAATAAAAGGCACATATGATGTCATGATGTGCTTACCTGGTCACATGACAGATTCCACACACCGTTGATTTTGTCATACACTTGCTCACGAGGCAGAAGTCTTAACTGCTTATTTTGAATCAGAGCAGCTCGCAGTTTCAAATCTCTATACATTTTGGATGTCTCGTATGCTCTGGAGGAAAGAAAAGGTTTATTGTAATATGGATATATATTGGTATATATTCAGGGACATTTATGGTCGTCGCTATTTTACCTGTGCACTGCGATGACTGAAGTGAATAGTCGTGGGCTTCCTGGTACCACATTTGTAAATATGAACTCAAATCTTGTGTTGTTTGACTTTGTCAAAATATAAAGTGCTTCAGTTTGACCTCTCAATTTCTAAAAAAAGAAACAAATCAGAGAAATCATAATATTGTAAAACATGCAAATAAAACAAGTTATGTAAAAGCCTCACAGAGTTAGCCGTCCGTGTTGTAATGTTTATGATGGTGTTGTAGCCCACAGCTGCAAATATATGAGAATTTATGTTTATATTGCTAATGTGATTCAGCTTTTCCTAAAAATAAATTATACTTACATAAATTTACTCTTGGTAGGGCCACAGAATGCCAAATGATTCTCAAGTTTGTCACCAAAAGTCGCCCTGCAAAGGGTTTATATACATCAAAAATATGCATTATTTGTCCTGACTATTGTTTGTTTTAATATTTACAGTCCATGGTTTTACCTCGATCCCCATTGTTCCCTTTGGTGTCTTCTATTGACTCCAGGCAATCTATCATCACTTCCCCAGGACGAGTCTTCATTTGTCTGTAAAAAGTTATTGCATACGTTTGTCCTCTATTTTCACTGAGGGGGTGGAATGTTAAATGCATTGGACCCATACTATTGTGTAAATGGAGAAATCTGAAATTCGCAAGTAATATAACTGATAACTGGACCTGTTTTAGGTATTGCCAGTTATAGTTCCTTTCAACATGATGTTTACCTCTTATCTTTTAGAAAGATATACATGACCTTAATATGAAATGCCCAGTCCAATCCTACAGTTTGTACAGTTAACCCATCCCCAAATGGAGAAATCTGCAATGTAGTATTTTGTAGTAATCTCATGTAGTTTTTTTTTTTTTTAACTGGATCTGTTTTGAACCGCAAATACTACAGCTATAAGCCTACTATTCTAGAAAAACAGTTACCATTTTCAAAAGAACACCTCAAAAGTAAAGTCAGATGGTGCATTAGGTTAGCCAAATGCTAATGCTAGCTTAGGCTACAGATAATGACGTAAATTACTCACTGCGCTGTTATGTCGAATCTAACATCCCTATCCTCCCACAGAGCGTCTAAAACCGACGACATGGCTACTATTCTGGCAATTTCAGAAATAAATCCACTGGATAAACCAACTCAGGCCCTACACTGGTAATCGGCTATAACTATCCTAGCGTCATCAATCACCATGGTTACCTACGGCAAGCAAGAGGGACTGAGTTTACCTTCGCCGACGAAAAAAAAAAGAACTTTAAATAAAGTACGTTATTCTTAATCTAAACATTAATGTAACGTTTTTTTTCTAAAGTAAATTGACAATAGCATTGCTATCAAAATTTTATTTCATCATATGTACAAAAGGATTTCTTTCACATACAGTCAAAATAAAAAAACCCAAATCAGTGCCAAGAGCTGCTGCCAGTGATAGTCCATATTCTAAAATTATGTCAGAGCTTTAATGTTTCTATAAACATATCTCTAGAGAACTAAAAATACTCATTAAAGAATCAATGTATGTTTGTAATATACTTCAGTTTCTCAGAAAAAAAACAAAGGAGCATATTGTTACTAAAATTCAGCATTACACTGAAAGTTAGATTTCAATATCCAACATATTTTGTTCTTGATACTTTCTTCAACCTGTTGGGAGAAATTGAAATGGTTATGTTCTTATTCACTGGTATTTGTTATAAATACATATAAAAGATAATCTATAGAACTGATATTTCTCCCCTTTGACATTACCTAGTAGTTTTATTACACAAGTTGTCTTGCAATCCTCTTCTTTGTCAAACCGATTGTTGTTTCCACCACAGCCACCATACCAGAACTGTGCACAAGAATTGGCGTGTCTATCATAGTACCACCGGATTGTATAGTTTCTACAGCTGCCTTGTTGCAGTGTCATGTGACAACGAGGATCAATGGTATGGGTATCTAGAGAAAACAGAACATAGTTATCTGGTAATAAAGAAGAAGAAAAGAAAGGATATTGTTGTCTCTAAGAATTTAGTTTTACACCAAATGAATTAAATTACCTTGAAATACAACTTCATTCAAATCCAAATCAGACTTTAATCCAGATGAATCCGAAGATGATTGTGTAGATAATGACGTTGCTTTAGATGAGGAAGTTATGGACGTAGCTATTTCTTCAGTTGGCAACAATATTGAAGTTGCAGCCGTAATTATTGATGAGGATGATGAAGGAGTCGCTGACGATGGCAACAGGTCTGTGGCTTTAACAGTTTCTTTTAATGATACTGGCTTGGAAACAACAGCTATAGTGTTTACTCCCTGCACTTGAGCTAAATCTAAATCCTCCCCTTCATCATCATCATCTTCCACCTGAAACAAGCATACCATTTGTTAAAACTGCAGTCTGTAGAAAATCAAGATGAATAGTGGACAGCGACCTGAAAGGGGAGGGGATCAGCGCTGATGGGCAGTGTGAAAGTGTCTCCTCTGCCTCGGGTGCGGATGTGCTTGTCCAAGTTGTCCTCCTCATCAAAGCTATTCTTTTTCCCATTGTTTCCATTTGTAAAACCATTTTTATTGCCATGACCATTATATCCATTATTATGGCCTACATGACCATGGTTTCCATTGACACCAATCTCATTAACATGGTTGCCATTCCTGTGTCCATTTATGGCATGACTGTAAATTAAAGCACCATTTTCGTCTTCACAAAACTGGCTGACAACTTTTGACTCAAGTGCTGAAACAAGAATTAGGAAATAATATACCAGTAACAAACAGAAACGATAAGTTGAACATTTCTTTGTAGTATATTAACCTGGAAGAGTATTGAAGTCATCGATGAGATACATATGTTCACTGTCAGGGTCAGAGGCGATAAGATTGAGTTCTCGGATGAACTCTGCTTGCGTAGGGTCAGAAGAGTTGACGATCCCCAAAGCGTACATCTCAATGTTGGCAGCGTGAGCCTCCCGCACCGCTATGTCAAGCTTCACTGGCTCTCGTTTGTCCGTCTGACCATCAGTGATGACAATGGCAACTTTTCTCACTCCACTCCTGGCACTGTAGAATGCCTCATGCGTGGCCTTTCTGATGGCAGTGCCCGTGTAGGTGCCCTCTCCCATATAAAGGATTTTTCGTATTGCTTGTTTGACCTCTTGTTTAGTCAAGTGGCGAGCTAGATTGAACTCCAAATGGACATCTAAACTGTACAAGACCAACCCAATTCTAGTGGCGTTTCTTCCAACTGTAGTGCGTTCCACCAACCTCGTGACAAAGTCCTTGATAATCTCAAAGTTTTCAGGGCCAACACTCTCTGAACTATCAATAACAAACACAAGCTCCATTGGCCTTTCCTTGCACTTGATGCCACATCCTTAGAAACAGAAAGGCAAACATAATAATTAGTATGCCAAATTTATATATTTAAAAACATGTTGGTAATTTATATTTGTTTAAGTCTTACCACAGATTTCTTTGATAAGCTTGATAATATCTTCTCTCTAAAATATACAAATAATACATGTAGAATTACAATACATTTAGCATTTAACCATTTTTAATAATTGAAAAATAGAAAAATAATAATAGTGAATGACAAATGAACAAGACTTACTATGAGTCCTGGTTCTCCCTTTATTCCAGGGCGTCCCTGTAACCAGTGAATGTTTAAAGTTTAATGTTCAATACATGTTTTATATATATCTTTGCTTACACCATCACCAGGAATTCCAGGATCTCCCATTTCTCCTTTTGTTCCTCTTAATCCTCTTTCTCCTGATATTCCACGATCACCCTACAATAACAGTAAAACAAAATTGATTTAAACTCAAAGACATGTATCAAGCAGGACTTCTATACCTTTTGTCCTGCTAAGCCTTCGCCTGGGGGTCCTCTTGGTCCAGTTAGACCCTGAGATCCTGGGTCCCCCTAAAAATATATACATCTTAAGGGTATACAGTGCAACCTGCTTGTGTCTATGGAAATGTTAAAGCTTTGCCAGGAATGTTCCACACACTATTCTATAATACCTGAACCTTCTTCTATTCTTCAAAACAAACATAAAAAAATGATAGATCTTCTATTTCATGACTTTTAAAATTTGTCTTAAAGAAAGTCACCTTTGGACCATGTAATCCTTGTCCTGGAGGTCCTACTGGCCCGGGGGGTCCTGATCGTCCAACATTACCCTTAAATTGAGTTCGTTGTTACAAAGAAAATGTGCACAGAAAAGTTGAATGCTGATTCTACTGTATTCTTACAGGTGGTCCTTGAATGCCCTCTCCTGGAGCACCTGGCAGACCAGGAAGTCCTCGGAATCCTATGTCCCCCTAGAGAAAAACAGTTTAGTATTTTGTATGCTACAGATACAATGACAACATTTCACCAAAGTCCCAATATAATCTAGAAACACACCTTTGGGCCAGGAATACTAATTCCCTCTGACCCTGGTTCCCCCGGTAAACCAGATGGGCCTGGAAGACCCTGGAAACAACAAAATAGTGGCAGTCAGCGCTGCATCCAGCACACACTGATCTTCCTGCAGTCTACACTTACAGTGAATTATATTCTAACCAGTGTCAGTTTAACATAAGCTTTTACACATTCTGGATTTTTTTGTGTGATTCATTTTCAAAACCATTATTTTGTACATACATATTAGTTAGATTTGCAGGAAAGTTGATACGCACCACTGGACCAGGGAAACCTTCACCTTTTGGACCTAATGGACCAGGCAATCCAGTTTGACCACGGTCTCCCTGATAAGATGAAGAAGAAAGATCTTGATGTACTGGCCCATCAGTTTCATTTGCTCATGACAGTGTGTATAAAAGTTATCTAATTACCTTGGGACCCGGAAGACCATGACCTGTTTCACCAATAGGCCCAGGTGGGCCAGCAGGGCCCAGTTCACCCTGTCAAAAATGTTTTTAATTCAAATTAACTTAAAGAAAGTTTTTTTCCCATAGAAATAAGGTTTATTTCTTACCTTTGGCCCAGTAACAGATCGACCTGGTGGTCCTAGTGCGCCCTGCTGACCGGGGATCCCTCTTTCACCCTGAATTATAATATATGCTTTGAGTCCCACACAACTGATGCTTTGTGATCCGTAATACTATTTGTTTACAAATATTAACAAAACGCTGACCATACTTTCTCTCACCTTTGGTCCAGAGGGTCCAGAGATTCCAGGCGGTCCATGTAACCCTCGAAGGCCCCTCAGACCCTGATCTCCCTGTCATAAAGTGTCAGATTGTATTTTTTTTTATAATTATTTCCCACCTTTCACAAAAAAATATATATACTTTTTCTCCTTGAATGCCAACTCCAATGGCTCCTTCTAGACCTCTAAGACCGGGTACACCAGGTTCACCCTATAAAAGAATAATTGATTAGAAAGGTTGTTGGAATCAACCTGATGCTTCCTGGTACCTTCTGCCCTGGCGCCCCCTCCTCTCCTGGCAGACCTGGTAAACCAGACAACCCAGCAGATCCAGGCTCACCCTAAAACATTTTCAGCATTCATGATCAATCAACACATCAACACATTCAAGATAGACCAAACTTCATGTTAGGGTTTAAATACCTTCGAACCTGCCTCTCCATGACCTCTCTCCCCCGGCACCCCTTGTTCTCCTGGTAAGCCATGGTCTCCCTTCATAAGAAAAGATAAAAGTCATTGAGTAAAAAAAAAAGTACTTTTTATGTGCTTATTTGAATAGGAACAATGCCCATTAGTAAACACCCTTTGTTCACATCTCCATTCAATGTTAAACCATACGTGCATCCATCACCAAAACATGAGTTTAATTTACCTTTGGTCCAGGAAGGCCTTCTCCTGGAATTCCTCTGACTCCTGGTGGACCTCGTGGCCCCTCCACACCCTGAAATCAAATTCAAATTAGTTGTAACAAAAGAATGTTGTTTGTTCCCCGTAATACCATCAATGAACCCACCTTCTCTCCTTGAATGCCCACACCTGTTTGTCCGATTGGTCCGTTGGGACCTGGAGGGCCCAGTTCACCCTGCACATAAACCAATAGTTTGTGTTAAATATGAATGAACACTATGTGTCAAAAGAAGACATAGAACGTAAATGGTGCTCAATTCATATTAACACAGAAGCTGATGCACTGCAAATAGGATGGTCGCTACCAGTTGGAGCTAACCTACTGTCTCCATGTCTCAATGCCAATCACTTATTGACAATGTCTATTTGGAGCTGTCTACGGCATGATGACCACTTCCACGAAGCTTTGGAGAATACTCTTTTTCTTTGGAACACAGCTCTAAAGACAATTGTGTGCGTGTTTGCTTGTAGGTTTGAAGTTTAGTCAGAATGAGAAAGAGTTTGTGAATTTTTTTTTAGAATTATTGTTATGCTTTATTAACAATAATATAGCAATTATAATTGAGACCACCAAGATATTAGACTCTGCACAGGATCAGATGACAGTGAGTCCACATACGTGTATATTATCCCACTGAACCTAGAGCGGGATCGATTAGAGTCATGTTTATACTGATCTTTGAGTCTTTGCAGCACTGTAGGATGGTGGGAATGCCCAAATTGTGAAACTGCTTCACAGCAGGACCCTCAACAATAGTCATGCCATCATTATAGGCTACATTTTAGTGCTGCTGCACTGTTGTCTCCACAAGTGGGCAGTGTACATAGGAGTACATTCTCTTTATTGCTGGATAGCACACTCACACAACCCTCCGAACCAACCAAAGCATTTGGCACTGTCTGTAAATGTCTCTGTCATCAGACATGTCAGCAAAGATGTTATGTCCCAGATATTTGTATTCCTCTGTGGGTTACCCAACAGGAGGACAGGACGCATCCAAACATGATGTTACTATTGTTAACATCATAGTCCAAACTATGGTGCAAACCTTCAGTAACTCTTGAAATACTGCAAATCAACCCGCAGAGAATCAACAACCAAATCATCCATGTACATTAAGTGGTTGATAATTATGGAACCAACTCTACATCCCACTCCACACTGATTCAAATGCATTCACAGATCGTCTGATAGGAATCAGACTCATGCAAATTGGGATCTTTGTACGACAAAGCCTCCTGGCTGGTTTATTCACAAAATGGTCGTTAATTTTCAGGCAGAACAAAAGACACAGATACATTATATATGGAAATCTACGTCATCATAGAAAAGGCCAAACCTTCGGCACAAATAGCCTAAACAACGAAAGTCTCTGTGGTCCTTGAGACCTCCACAAGGCCAGGTTATTAATACTATTTTGTCTTGCATTTGTCCACCTGTGCAGTACATAGGTCACTGTTTACCACACGTCCATATACACATTAAATAAGGAGTGAGACCATATACTACCCTGCCCTACCTCACGCCATTTCACACCCTAAAATGGGTGGAGAGACCCCATTTTGCCTACAAACTTGGACATACCAAAAAGGTTCAGAATCAGAATTCTTTCATTACCATTGTAAGTAACAAGAAGTCACAAGGAATGTTTTTTGGCTCATGGTGCAAAAAAGTTAATACAGTAAAAAATAGATTTAAATGCATAAAAAAAATCACTATAATATGTTCTTGATATATGAATAAAATATGTATTTCTACTTCATAGAAGTGCACACTAAGTGCACACAATTCTCGTCATACATTTGGGAACACCTCGGTTGCTTAGATTAACAAATAACTTTGAAGGCATTTCCAAATCAAATGCCTTCGAAGCATAAAATAAAACACATAAATAGATGTATTCCTACATCTCTAACAGCTCTTTCATACCAAGTTTGTACCATGTTTAGGTCTAAAACAAACTAATTGCCACTTGTCAGCAAGTATATTTTCAATTTTAGATATTCTCCCAGCTCCTCAAGAATGATAATTCTGTGTTTTCTTAAGTTTTAAATACAATTGTGGGCAAGTGGTCCTTATTCATCATAGTGGCTAATCCTAGAGAAAGCATTAATGTGGGTAGTTCCTTTCAGTGCTGAGCCTCTGTAAGTCTCAGAGACATGAGGATGTATTCCAGAGGCACAGATTGGTATGGTTTGGCACAGTTACTGGGTTTCCACTATCTTTCAGGTAAAGTGCTGAGCATACAGTAAAATTGATGTTGTTCACCTCATGTTTACCTGAGGAGGAAAGTGGATAGATATTTTGATAATTTTATTCAGACGTGAACACGAGCGCTGAACTAAACAGGGATCAGTCTTGGCGCGCACACACACACACACACACACACACACACACACACACACACACACACACACACACACACACACTTTCCCCCTCTCCATACGTAACATCCACACGCATCATCTCTCCCCTCTGTTACCGTCAAAGTTGCACACTGGCGCGGGTCAGAGCTACATTGGAGCTTACATTTAGACACACACACATATACATACACACACACATACATACACACACCGGTCTGTCGCGCTCCTCTGTGTCACGGAGCCCAAAGGATTCGCGCAAATACGCAGCTCCAGTCAAACCACATGGAACATGTTTGTGTTTATGGTCCTCGGGATCAGCTCCACACACATCACTTGTATTTAAACTTTAGTGAAGACCTGTGAGACGCGGCTCGTCACTCGCTGCTCTGACCATGTGAACGAGCCGTCGTTTGCTGCTAGAAAGTTTTGGTATTAACCCGCAGCACAGCAGAATGGGAAGATTAAAAAGGTGCCGAAGGTGCCGCAAAGGTGCCGGAGCTGTTGCGGGTTTTGGCGCCGCTGTCTCGGCTCTGATCCAGTAGAACGCAGAGCTGCACTTATGAAAAGTACGCGGCTCGAAATGGCTGTTATTTCAAAGAACGTGGACTATTTTAAACTACGCGGTTAACCGGTTTCAACCGGTTAATGAGGCTCGGTGGTAGGTCATGAAAATTCATAGTTTTTTACATCCCTAGATGTAAGTAATGAATTGTATCCATAATTCTCTAAAGAGTAGAATTGTGCTGACCCTTTCTCCTTTGAGTCCAATCCCTTGCTGACCCCTGGGTCCTCTTGGTCCTGCGAAACCACGATCGCCCTGAAATGAAAATAAATAAAAACAAATTGTCATTGACCAGCATTGTTCTCAATAAAGGGGATTGGGGATCAAATTTGACTGCATTTTAACTCTTGTTAGATTTCTGTAAGCCAAAAATAATGAAAATTGTGTTCATAAATAAGAAAACATTGGCCAGGTTTGAGATATAATTCACAGGATGTCAGGTACAGGTTAAACAGATGTATACTGGCAGACATCTGTCTAAGCGTTTCCTCTAACATATAAAGCTGCGCTCAGGTCTTCATAAAACCCTCTCGATACGAGCCACAGGTCCAGACGTGTAAGCCATAAACAGGCCATGAACCCCAGAGCAATCCTGTGGGATGTCCTTACATTGTTATTACGCCAACACATCATACCCTTTATCCCCACAGTTGTAAAACAAACATGTCAGAACAGTATGGAATCTTCGTCTTTGAGTCAGAATTGGGACACAATCTGTGCACGACATGTTACAGCAAAATCCAGCAGCAGCACTTGAGTGAACACTTGAGTGATGCGTCATTGAATTAGGGCAGAAAGCACTCTGGTTCAGGCTGAGGTCGGCAATCACTTTTAATGTTTCTCTCTTCACTACGTTTTTCTGATTTTATCCCTTTGCTTTTACTTAACTAGTATTCTATTTGGTTTTATTAATTATAATTTGGGTATATGTTTTGATAGTCTATCCACCTCTTGGAGCACTTGCATATTATTATCCTTGGTTATGAGTCGTGACAAAAACAATTTCAAATCAAAAGTACCTTGGGTCCTGGTAAACCTTCGCCAGTGGGTCCTCTTTCTCCTGTACTTCCCTGTGGTCCTTGAGGTCCCTGCAAAATATACACATGAAGTGACCTTTACACTGGTGTCTTGTGGCCATACTTGCATGAGGAATACTGTCAGACCAGGTGCCACAGTGGAGCAAGACACTTCTCCCACATTGCCTAGAATGAGTATGGTGTGTGTGTGAATGGTTGGTAGTGGATGGAGAGGTGCCCACAGTAGTATTTATCACCACTGTGTATGGAGTGAAAGAATAACGACGTATTATTGTTATCATTATCATTAATATTCATTATAATTTGTGGAATCTTTTAGGAAGAGTCTCCGGTTAATTGTCATCAAGTTGCATATTAGCCCCAAAATGATGTAAAACCAACACTGAGCTGCGGTCCTTTTGAGCTGAGAAAGGATATGTACATTAGCTTTTTAACTACATGTTATACTATTATTTACAATTTATTTGAATTCATCTTTATCTTAAATCTGGAAAGACTTAGACAAAGGGATGGATATTAGAATTATCTTTATTGAACTAACGTTGGCATGAAGTAAATTGGTTTACTGCATAATTTTTAGTGTAAGACCAAATATGATATGGTATAGAAATGTTTTTATTGACATCTGTTGAACATGTTGGAAATGGTTTTGATGCTTAGACAATAGCAGAAATATACCGGAATGAATTCAACTGAAGATTATGAATAAATGATGATCTGAGGACACGTGTGAGAATGTACCACTGTTGTGATGGTGATGGGGACCATGCAAACTGTTTATTTTAACTGTTTCTGTGTGGTCTGTGTGCTGGATTGGTGAGGGGGCATTATCGCTGTGACTTCTGCGCTGTTCTCTAATGAGAGTGTTGGAGAACCCCTGGTGGTGGTGTGACAGTGTGGGCAGTATTGGGTCTACTCAACACAGAACAGCCCTTCAATTTGTGAAAGTTATAGGCAAGTCCATATTGCCACATATTATAATAGGAATTTGGGTTGGAATGACATACCTTCAGTAACACAAGTGACCTTATGTAGAAACTATGCAATAGATCCAGAGCCACTCTTTGAGCCAGAGAATAATATTATCACTGCTTAAGAAGGGGAGCTGACCGTGAAGCACCGAAGGATGTGCCAAAACAAATAATACACACAAAGGTGAGCCAACTTTTTGTTTTGGAGCACATTTAGATTGTGTTCAGTATAAATGTTCCTTTCCTTTTCCACGCATCCCCTTGACATACTGCTATTTTTCCAGTTGCGTGATGTCCACTCTGTGCTATTGATACTAAAGGCCACATTTTTATAAAATGTTTGAGGTGTGAGCATCACTAGTTTCTTCATATAATATCATTATTTGCTAAATATTTGTGGGTAGTGCATATGCCAGTATTAAATGCATCTTCAACTTACTGGTGAGCCAGCTTCGCCCAATCCTGGAGGACCAGGTGGACCTGCACGGCCTGTAAAGCCCATATTACCCTGAGGATTTAAGTCAGAAGATTTAAGTTAGAAATAGATAAAACAATAGGTCATGATAGAAAAATGCACATAGTTCATCATACACCTTTGGTCCAGGAAGTCCTATACCAGTCTCCCCCTGTATGCCAGGAGGACCAATCGGGCCACGCTCACCCTATAGAATCACAATAGATTACATGAGAAGCTTTGAAAACATAACTGTATAGTGCAAGGTTTACATGTGATGTGAAGACCACAATTACTCCTACAAATAAATGTGGAAAATTCATTCTGTCTTCTAAAAAAGCCTTACTCCTACAAATGTTTGCCAGTGACAATGATGAAGACAGTGTGTGGCCTGTATTCAGAAACAGGAAACAAGTCAAACTAGAGTAATCTTTTTAGTAGTGTGTCACTATAATTATGGGGAAAACCATGGCTCAATGCCAAACATTTGTAGTATAGGGACTGTCTAACAACCAACAAGCGCTTGTGGTGCATGGTTTAAAAACAGTGATACTGGAAATGTAAAGCTTACAACCTCTGCAATGTGCCCAAGGGAGACCAACCTGCTTCCCCTGAAGGCCCTCCGGTCCTATATCCCCGTGTGGTCCTGGTAACCCCTGTAGAAAAGCAGTAAATCACATTAGAGAACCCTTTATGTAGATGTCTACAGCATGTATACAAGAATCCAAGCTTCACACATTAGTTTTAGTCCATAAATCATTGAATAATTATGTTTTAGATTAAGACAGACCTGTAGACCTCTCATCCCTCTTTCTCCAACAGCCCCCTCAGGACCCTAAGTCAGACATCCAAGACAAAGCATTACTTACACGGCAGTCACACACTTCGACACAGCGTTTAGGGTATACATTTCATACCTTGTCACCTTTGATTCCAGGAGTGCCGCACTCCCCTCTCTCGCCCTGTTAAAAATACTTTTAAAAAATCTTTGTTCTTGTTTTAACAAGAAAACATGAAAATTGTATGAATATATATACTATATAAACGTATGCTGCAGTAAAGATCAGACGGCGGACTGTTGTACCTTTTCCCCTTTGTAACCAGGCTTGCCCTGCAGATAAATATAACAAAGTCAGTGTGTATTCAGAGTAACACAAAGTAACTGTGTAATAGACTTTACCTCAGCACCCTCTCGTCCAGACAGTCCACTCAAACCAGCTTCACCCTAATACAGTGTCACACCATTACAACACAATACAGCATTTTCCCCCAGCACAGACATAGATAGTTAATGTCTGTGCTGGACATTATGTCTTTTTTTGCTACAGGCAAAAAACAATTCAAGCAAATGTGCTCACCTTCTGGCCTTTTGCCCCTTGGACTCCATCTTCACCAGGACGGCCTTTCTTACCCTGGGAAAAAAGTTGTAAGTTTTTAATAATCACCCTCTACGTGAACCTACATACAAATTCCAGAATAATCAAATACCAGGATAGTCCTGGTATTTGATTATCCTGCAACACCTGAATTTCTCCTATGGGGGATCAAAAAAGTCTATATCTATCTATCTATCTAGTCTTTCCTAACCTTGTATATGTTTTATATAAGTGTCAATGCAGTGTGTGCTTATGCAGGCATGACTCATCTTGTCTGCAGGTTAAGGGCCATTGTTTTCAGGAGCACCTGGACATTGTGTCTGTTGGGGCCTAAAACACTAAAGAGGCTCTCAGTGTTGGAACAAGAATTTGTGGAATCTTTAGGAAGAGCCTCTGGTTAATTGTCATCAAGTTGCATATTAGCCTCAAAATGATGTAAAACCAACCCTAAGCTGTGGTGCTTTTGAGCTGAGAAGGATATGTTCATTTGCTTTTTGACTATCTACATAATAATATATAATATATATAATAATATTATTTACAATTTATTTTAATTTACAGATTGAAGCTTATATTAAATATACACAAAAAATATATATATCTTTATTTAACCAAGAAAACCCCCTTTAGGACTCCCAACCTAAACAAACGTTCCACATAAAACTTATAGTGATAAAAGCAAACAAAAAAATGTTAGCAGCACAATTTTAAAAAATGCTACAAGCCACAAGTCTTAAAGGGATTTTGTTGTCTATCGATGCTTGTTAATGATAATTCGGTTTGGATTATGTTTCTGTATTGATTCACATTTTGGAATATTTGTTGACAATCAATATATCTTGCAACAAATATTAAACTTGTCTATCAAATATATTTATGTGAGAGGGAAGAATAGTTTATCTTTATACATGTTAGGGGAATATCTACATGGGAATATATTCTAGTCACTATTACAAACGTGCAAATCCTTGATAAATATTCTTCCAGTTATTACTGGTGGACAGCCAGCATGCAGTTTAGGACCACCTATATGTGAAAACCCAAAAGCAAAATAACTTGCAATCATGTTGTCAACGTGCATAATTATCATTTTCAAAATACCTTCACCTTGTCAGGTTAAATCTGATGGTATCCAATAGTTCAAAGAGAAATATATGACTCTGGGCAAAATAAATGTTAAATCATACTTACTGCAGGGCCCTGAATACCTCTCTCGCCTTTCTCACAAGAGCATCTTTGAGCCAGAGGACACTAAAACAAGGATCATTTCTGTTAAGATTATCGACTATATCCTTTAAACAAATAACTAATAATAATACATTGAAAATACTTACTCCTTCATCAGCCAAGTCAGTCTGAAAAAGAAACATGTGCAAATGAAAAAATAAAAAACTTTAATCAAATTCTAATCCTATTTTGCAAATGTTATATTGTTGGAAAGCTGTGTTGTCTGAGTGCTTCATAATCCCACAATTCCAAAAGCAACCCTTAAGGGATGTGCTCAAAAATAAATACAGCTCTGAGAATGAATGAAGCATGTAAAAGTATGAGCTTATTGAAACCAGAGGAAAGTTGATTATAATGCTGTTTTTTTCTTTTTTTGATACAAGACTCACAATTTCAGCAACAACTCTTTTCACTATGTCTTCATCCTGCAAGTTGTGGAGGAAGTGGGAGGTGGGAGAGCTGGCGAGCAGACGAAGCTGTGCAACATTAGCTGGTTCTCTGGCTGCTCGGGTCATGCCCACAGTAAAGAATTTGATTCCTTGGTTCTTTGCATCAGCAACAGCAGAGAAGATGTCAGGATTTCTTGGATGGGACACGCCGTCAGTAAGAAGCACAGCTACTTTGATGCTTCCAAGACTGGATTCTTCCAGATAGATTGTGGTCATGTTGGTGATAGCGTAGGTGGTGTAAGTGCCATGGCCAATGTAAACAAGAGGCATGATGCGGTTTTTAAAGTTGTCAGATCCTCTCCAGTCTCTGAAGGTTTGTTCAGTGATGACATGGCTGCTGTACTGGAGGAGAGCCACTCTCAAAGACAATCTCCGACCGGCCTGCAGCTGGACGTCCTGAAGAGACTCCACCACATTCACAGCAAACCGCTTCTCCTGCTCATGATTGTCTTTGGCACTCTCAGAGCTGTCCACCAGGAAGGACAGTTCTACACTGCAGTCCTCACCAGGAATAGCTGGAGAAAACAAGAGGAATGTTGATGTCATACAGTAGATAGAATTATTTACACAGGTATTGGAAGTTTCATCTTAAAAAAAGAAACATTCTGTACCAAAATACTATTCATAATGTTAAGTAAATAAACATCATAGAAGTATTATTTACCTTGTCCATCGTTAATATGTTCTGCAATTGGTTTGGTCCTGGTTCTTTTTTGACTGGCATTACTTTGAGCCCATGTACTGGTCAGTACTGTGAGCAGCAGCACAAGAGAAAGAAAACGAAGCATTGTTCTTCAGAAGTGATGCCCAAAAGTTGCAGAAACTGCAGACCAGTTATATCATTGATTCAGCATGAACTAAAGCAGTCATTCTGGGGAGAAGAGACTGTGATACTACGATCACACACTCCTCCTTATAAAGGGGAACCTTCACTCGACTAGACCCCTCCTGTAAAGCCTCAGGGCGAGAGTCTGCTGAAAGACATACACATGACACTAGCACTCATTATTATCGTTCGACTGTGGTTTAGTGGAGCAGGTTAATATATTCTTGCTTTCCAGAAACAAAATATTGTTAAAGTCCAGACTAAGTGACATGGACAAAGATCTGTCTGTACATAAAGAAAAAGTACAAACCACATAAAGCAAGAACTGGACAAGAGAAGAGAAGATACTATCTTAACATCAAACCACATGAGAAACCACTCATTCAGAACGTCACATTTAGAGTGAGCATGTGGAATCCTCTGCCGTGGTAACGTGGTCCACTGTAAGTGGTGTATATTTTTCCTCTTCTGGTTGCAGTATTCCATACAAAGATTCCAAACTTTAGATCACATTATGGGAAGGCGTTGTCACCTTTGGTCTTTGGCCTGACCGTGGAATGACCATAACTATCTGCCTCAGGTCCACAAGGTTGAAGGGTTATGTTTAAAACATTACCTGAGTTTATATTGACTAGCTTCACTTAGAAGATAATAATAATAATATAATCTAATAATATAGCTGCATTTATTGTCATCACTCAATGACAATGACCAAATACTTTTATTGCAGTGAAACCATTCTATGAAACATGTATAAACTTACTGGACCGTAAATTCTAATAAATAATCAGAATTTGGATGTTTGTAAATTGTTCTCAATTCTTCCTCGGCTGAATCGCGAAATTTAATAAGAATATGAAATTTCCCCTCCTACCCTGTTCATCAATATTTCCATACTATTGTACCACTGTCTAATATTATTTTCTTGGTTAGATATTAACACAGCATCAGACTAAATGTAAATTAGTCAAAATGTTACAAATCATGTTGTTTATTTTTTAACTAAACTGTTTGTACATAAACCAGACACTGACCAATGGGCCCTGGTGTGAACTCTATCAAACTAGTTGTTTTAGGACGTGGCCAGTCCTGTGCAGACAAGGTCTAACAATCATGACCATCTCCATTCGGTGCAAAAGGTTAAATGGCTTTGGATTTCAAGGCTCCAGGGAATATGCGATTAAAGGAGACGTTCTGACACACAAGAATGCTGCAATAGACAATAGCAGACAACATTATGGGACACTTTGTTGGTCCTTAATGGGTAAAATTTGACCCACTAGAAATGGCTGTGCAGTAGTAGAAGTTGTCGCCTCATATAACACAGAGAATTGAGGATACAACTAATAACGGAGTTACTTCACAGTATAAATACATTTGTTTTGGTTCCTTTAACTTTTATGAATGTAATAATATTCCTGCGTACGCCTTTACTCTGAAGCGGCTCTGAAGTGTAATTTGATTACCTTGGGACTGTTTTCCAGACAGGGCTGATGCAGCTCCAGCAGCCCAGGCTGCTTTAGCCTATGGCTGTCATTGGGGCTATGGTTGATGTCCAGTTTGTTGATGACAATGTATATTGTGTACACCGATTGCATGTGTATATTGTATATACAAATAATTGTAATAATTTTAATGTTTATATCTTAGAAATGCATGCTGATTCTTACCTTACTCTACTCTCTACTTTTGACTGTTTGCCTCGAGAGCCAAAGCAATTTCCTAGTCTGTGACTTCCTGTGGATTACAAGGAAATAAAAATGATTCTGATTCTGATGTTGGCCTGCCATAACAGCAGGCTGGGCCTGAAAGTTGCACAGCATCTAGGTAAGATTACGCCTTTGTTCAACTGTAAACATTTGTTTGGGTTTCCCAGTGGGCTCTGAGACTGGGAGAGGCCGGATCATGAACGTCATTGGACAGCCAATTAATGACAGAGGCCGATTGATACCAAACAGTAAATACAGTAAATGTTTTTATTAATCAAATAAGTATTATTGTTTGAAGATGACCTGCTGTGTTTTAACATTACACATCGTCATTACTGCTTTATCATTTCAGGACTGCTTCAGTTCATGCTGAAGCCCGAAAAATCACTGCAATTTTGGGTCTTATTCCTTCTGCTATCAACCTCCAGCTACAGCTATGGGTACCATGCAGGAAAGGAGCACCACTACAAATAAAGGCTCCATCACCTCTGTGCACGCATGTAGAGGATGGTGTGGATTTGCTTTTTGTTTTTTGTTATTCACATTTTAGATAACTTGTTTTCTTTTGATGTAGGTCATTTATGTGGCGGCTGAAGACTTGACTGATCTTGCAGCTGCCACAACCTTTGCACACGTGGATGCCACCACTGTGCTGTTGCTGTGCTGAGAATCTATCCGGCTGTTGGCCCACATGGGCTCAGCATCATCATTATGGATCGCAACATATTTGGGGAAGAACATCATGATGTTGACGTTTAAATGATAAACGTAGTATATTTTTGGTTGATTTCTTTTATTTGTCTCTTAAAGAAGAATGATGCGGTGCCAGAGCGGTCAAGGTTGAAAAAACACTTTATATTGTCATACATTAGATTGGTGTCTTTTTAATGCAGGAGGTAAATAACTTCATCCTGTCATGAGTCGAAGTTTCTTATTTAATTCTCGTTCATGAATGAGAAGGTTAGTGCTGTGCTCTTTAAAAGCTTCAAAGTCCTAAAACAGGGACAAAGATGTTATAACTCACTCTAGTTAAGATAGTTGACAGTGAATGTATTACCTTTTTCAGCTTTTGGTATTTTGTAGTACTTTCATCCAGGTCCTTTTGAAGAGTTTTTACTCTAGCATCAGCATTGACCAATTGTGACTCTTGTTTAAACCTAATTGTTGAACATTTTAGTTTCTCTTATTACAAAACATTGTGTGGTTGAATATCACTTACCTTTCTTCTGCTTTAGTTCTAAGTTTTTTTTCTTCCCTCAATTTTATCTGCATTTGGTTAAGATCTTCTTGTTTCTCCTGTCATCATTAAAATAAACAAACTTATCACATGCTTATATTTTTATATCAATAGACGTGTACCTGAATGAGCTTTCCCCTTTCGACTGAAATCTGCAAAAAATGGTCCTTCTCCTTACGAAGTGCTGTTATAGACTCCATCATACTGGTATTCTTTGAGGTATACTCCTCCCTTGTATCTATGAGCTGCACCTTTAAATCTAGCCAAAGATGTCAAGTTAAAATGTGCTGTGTGAAAAGGTTGATGGATAAGTAAACTCACCATCACACACAACAAGAGAGATTCTTTGCTTTTCCTCCAACAATCGCAGTTTCTCAATAAGTGATTTTTCTTTGGCCTCAAATTCATTCTTTTGCTCAAGACATTTAGCCTCCAATCCTTTAATGTTCTCACTAAATTTGAAATAAGAAATGAAAAGTTTATACTTATACACATCAATATGAAAAAACAAAACAAAAACAAGAACCTGTATTTGTGTTCTTTCTGTGCATAGTTCTCCTTTAGCTGTTTGATTTCTTGTGCAAGTAGCTGAACTGATGCTTCTTTATCTTGCAATTTCTTGGAAAAAAGGGATTCATTTTCACAAAGAAGATGTTTGTTTCTCTCTTTTAGCTCAGTATTTTGACTCTTGTACTCATCTTTAAAGACTATTATGGCTTCATTGTTGGCAGCCAGATCCATAAATCTCTTTTCCAAAGTCTCATAGTTTTTCCTCTCGTCCTCTAGCTCTTTATGAGTGTCCGTGACAGTTTCCTCTAACTCGGAATTGATTTTCTGCAGAGCTTGACATCTCAGCAGGAGCTCATCTGTTCTGTTCTTCAAAATACTGATGAGGGTTGACTGTTGATCCACTCTGCAGCGCAGCGCGTCCACGTCTGTACCTGCTCCTTCAGGAGACACACTCAGCTTTTCAAGTGCAAGACGCATACTTTCAAAGTCCTGGAAAAAACATCAACATGTTAGTCTTTTGTGTCCGTAAAATAGCTACATTGAAATATTGTTTTATATTCAACCGTTTCCAGTTCCAGCTTAATTCACTGGTATGTTTAGGATTTGTTAATTAGCTTAACTAACTTAGCTAGCTAACTTAAGCACTATGAATACAAATGAACATTCATCGTCTCACTATCTGTCCGCTTATAACGGCAAAAACTCACAGAACTCACCTCCACACAGGTTTCATTGTTCATCGTGGCTTGGTCCATTGTATTACGTGACTGTAGCTACTTTTTAGTCCGTATAATTATCACTCGAACGACGAACTTTAAAGGACTGGTTACTATTGGCAACCATAACACGCTCTGATTTTCCAAGAAGCGCTGTACTGTTGTTACAATAAGGAACCCCAAGGTGGCGCCACAGGGCGTATGTTAGGTTTGACAACTCCTCTAACTCGAAGTAACCAACCACACCGATCAATTATCGAGGAACCGCGATCAAACCTTTCTGTCTGCACTGCTTCCGCTTCTCAGGGTGGTACCGATCCAGTCCGCACCACGATCACCTCTTTGTATTGTCAGCTACAACCAAATCTTTAAAATGGCTAATTAATATTAAAAAAAATGTTACATGTTATATGTTGTATATAATATAAAGCTTTGATCATAGATTGTAGAAAAACAAGGCATGGCATTCCTTTTAGCGGTCATTTAGTGGCACAGCATTATGCAGGTTCCCGGGTCGCGGGGATTTATCCTGAGGGCCCAGGGCGGTTGGGGGAGCGGCTGTCCTGGCCTTTGTGCACGCCCCTTTTCATCAACTAGCGGGCCAAGAAAGACAGACAGGGGAAAACAACAGCATCCCAGCCCTGCTCTTACAGCTCCTCCATCTGCTCAGCGGAGCTGGACGGGCCAGCCAGAATGTGGAGAGCACTGTTAGTGAAACTCCTCCTCGTCTTCACTTGCTGTGTTAGCTGGTGCCACTCTGAGGGTAAGTGATTTTATTCTTCTCTTCACACACTGTCACCTTTTCATTTGAACAAGTTGCCCAGTGCACTTGTTGCTTTACAAACAGTGTTGGCAATGGGCAAGTGGTTGCTCCTTTGAGAATGTAGCTTCTTTTTGTTTTCATTTGTGCACTTTTTATGTGTATTACATGTTTATTTCTCATGTACAAGTATAACTTGTCATGTGAGCTGGCTTAAGTTTTTAGCTAAGGCCACCACATGGCCTCTCATTGTGTGTGTCAGTTTGTAAAGTGGCAGATTCAGGCTCTAGTATAGGTCTAAAGGGCACAGAGCTTTCTTCAGACACACTAGAAGTTCTCCAGAGGAACTTTTGCCTGAGCTTTACTGTTGCTAGGTTACAGAAAAGAGCATGTGACTTGGGGCAATCTGTGAGGACTGAGCTGCTGGTGCAAATCTCACCCTGCTGCACAGATCTTACAGTACTCACCTGAACTGTGCCGTAGCCTCATCCTTCTGAGCACTAAATTGCCATTCTTACAGTTGCTGTTTGTGCATGCCTTTCTTGAATTTGTGCTTATGTTTGTAGCACAGCTAGATCCTATTCTCAAATTGTAATCTGCTTTCTTTTTGCTCAACCCTTAGTATGTAAGCTCCTTAGTGTGAATCAAGCAACTAATTACGCTGCAGCTGTTGCAGAAAGGAGACATTTCGACTAAAGGAGCAGCCTCAAGTTAGAGGAGACAAGCCTGAGATTGCACGAGCCTTTCAGTTACACAGAATAATTCAGTCTATAGACATAAACATAAAACATTTTCTAAAGCCGTACAAAGTCTGAAAAAGTACCTGTCTGCATTTTTGTCTCAAATCAGGCGTGCAAAGTGATGACTTGGTGAAACCTACACCAGGCAGTGTCAGCAAATATGTTAATTATTGATCTAATTAAACAGAAATGCTTTTAGATGTGAATAGCTTAAGTTGTAAAACCCTTGTTTAAAAGCGAGTGGTGTTTATTTAACTTGTAATTATGCATAACTTATTATTTTATTGTCGGCTATTCTATAATCCTGAAATCTTTCTTAAATTACATTATTATTATTTATGTTCTGTGACCTCCTGTTATATATTGCTTACTCTGACATTAATATCTAATAGGTTGATATATTAACAACTTAGTTTTGCTGTGGTAAGTTGTGAATGGTGTTAATGATATAACTACAACTTTACTACTACTTTTCTAGCAACCTATATATTTCATATCTGTTTGCCATAACATAACGATTAAACTTTTCAGTACCCACAATCCGCTGCCAGCACATGCCAACTGCTTTCCGGTGTCACAGCCTTGTGCAACAGTAACACTGCGTTAGCGACGGGAAAAGAGTTGGCACAAATTGACAGCAAGTCCTTTCTTTTCTTGCAACTCACCCAGTCTAAGTTTCAGACACTGAGGATGGCGCCTCAAATGGACCCTTTTTATGTCTCGGCTATGAGGACACATTAAGCTGTCCCCACTTCTTTAATGATCAAGAACATAATTAGAACTTTTCCCTATTACTCCCAGCCCTATTTCATCATGTTTTTCCCCTGTTACCATAAAGAGCCAAAGTCACTTGTTTGGCAATTGTCTGCATTCTGTTGCATTGATTTCCATATGAAATAGGTAGCAGCACCCCTCTCTTGACAGCACAGACAAGACCACCGTTTCAAGATGCCAGCGGCTGGTCACAAAACCTTGTTCACACACATTCATAAAGCACTATCGAATAGGGCACACATAGTTTTGTTATAGTGACAGGTGTACAGTTCAACAGTTGCCTCACTTGTTGATAACTTACTTGTGAAGACAGTGGCTCTTCACATCCTGACTGACAGTTCTTTTAGTGTATGGCTGTGTCTACTCTGCATGGTTTAAACTGTTATTTCTCTCTAAAGAAAATGTTTCTCCTCACTCTCTTGTTTTGTCGGCTAACTAGAGCTTCCTTGTCTCCCAAGGGACAGTGCTATCCTGCTGAGTTAAAGTGGTAATTAGTAGAGGATGTAAAAAGGGAGGATCACACTAAACAATAATACGTGAGATAATCTGTTAGGAACAGCAAATGCTGATTCATTTGGGTCTCACATCTCCAGAGGGGAGAAAAAAATGAAGATTGAACTTAAATAGAAGAAAAGTGCTTCAAATAGAAGTTTCTTTTGTGAACTGTAAGAGAAACCAGTTCACCAGCCAGTGCAGGTGAAAGCTTCGGCCTGAGTTTGTCTGTCACCTTTCCCAGAAGTAATTCTGTCAGGAAACACGGGATAGAAATGAGCGTGGCCTGCAGGTTTCTTCTTGGCTTCAGGTTAGGATTCAAAGAATCTCTATAGATCCAAGCAAAGTCAGTTGAGAGTCCATGCATTCCTTTCACAAGTTTGCACTAATTGCTTTTATTTTCATAAATTGCTCTTTTTGTTTAATAAAAATGAGAGATCTGGCTGTTAGACAGCATGTGTCCTTCAATTGTTTCAAGATAAAATGTAACTGTAACACATCAATCATTCACATTATTAATCTCCCAAAACCACCATCTACAAACGACAGACATGAAAAATAATTCATCTGCCAAATTTGATCAATTAAACTGCAGTATCCCCAGAATTAACCAATACCAAACCTTCTTCGACGTTTGTCTGTGTATGATTCAAAACAGATGTGATTTCCAATTTAGATTTATTTGATTACTTTTTTGATAATCAATAATGGAGAAGTTATTCTCAAATGTTGAACTTGTGACAGATATGAATGTGTTCTAGTATATTCTTCTTACTTTAAGGAGACTCCTGTGTGAAGAAACGTGACTGCTGTGTTTTAGTTATGTTTCTATGTTTATGTTTCTATGTTAAGTTTATTTTGTTTATGTTTCATATTGATTATCTCTTTTCATTATAAAAGGCAGTCTTTTCGTTATGTTGGCTTTGTCCGTACCATTCAGTACCACTATTTAACCTAATTACATTACCACCATCCATCAGACTGTCAGTGAGACAATCAGATTTAGATCTGATGAAGTTCTGTGCTATTCAGCTATGCTTCCTGAACAGATCGTTCCTGCAGAGTGTCAGGGGAGGCAGTGCAGTGGTACCTTATCTCCACAGATGCCACTCAGTGCACACATCAAACAGAGGCAGTGGATGAGTGTGGAGAAGGTTGTGTAAGTCAGTCTGGGGGGTGGCTGGCACGCTTGTCTCCGGGCATGTCCGAACTCCTCATTAACAGCCTTTATTAAGATAGATTGTATCTCTACATTCACCAGCTCGTTTTTTAAATCGCCATTTAGCAACTATCTTAGGAGGTTAAAGGTCTATTTATGAGTATGACTATGAGGTCATTTCTTTATAGGATGTGAGTTGGGGCAATTCCAGTGTGGGACAGGACGCTGTATCCCAAACGACTGGCATTGTGACGGGACATCTGACTGTATTGATAACTCTGATGAACAAGACTGTCGTGAGTCACTTTGTCGTCATCATTAAACTGTTTAATTTTCTGGAAGGTTTCTCATGTGTGTCAATGTGTGCACAGCTCCTGTGACTTGTGGTAGTCTCTTCCAATGTCTAAGTGATGGAGACTGTATCTCTGCACTGTGGGTGTGCGACGGTGAGGAGGATTGTGAGGATGGCTCTGATGAAAGACAAAATTGCCGTAAGTTCTAACTTTTTATAATAAAGACCCTACTTTGAACGTAAATTGACACAGTGCCCGTTGTGTAATGTAGCTGGACGGACATGCACCAGTGAGCAGTTCACCTGCAGTGATGGGTCGTGCATCCCAGCTGACTACCACTGTGATCGCCTGGCTGACTGCTCGGATGGGTCCGATGAGAGAAACTGCCGTAAGTCCTCTTATTAAGGGATAGTTTTCCCTTTTACATCCTGCTCTCCTGTGGCATTTTAATCAATTTGTTAAGATTAAGAGGCTCGCTGACTGACAGAATGGATCACAATATACTTCTTGTTGTCAGAAGTTGATTGCAGATTCCTTGGTGGATTAGTCAAGCTGAAGTTCAGCTGCTATGCCATTATTATGCCGACAGGGTAAACTCACTGCAAACTATGGTAATCGAATTGTATAAAGAATACCGAGGTGACTGCTGTACTTGTGGTAATGTTGTTAGCTCCATTGTGAGCTTTTCACAGTTTAGAGCTGGAATCAACACAGCTGTCAGAACAATTTACTCATGAACGTTTGGCCTAAAGATGCTCTAAACTTACAGATTACCCAGCGTGTCCAGAGCAGAGGTGTGCCAATGGGGCCTGCTACAACCACACTCAGCGATGTGACCAGATCCTGGACTGCCGTGATGGCACAGATGAGGCAAACTGCAGTAAGATACTGTATCTCATGTGGTCTCTTGATAGATTTTTTCTTTACACTAATTGTTTAATGTTGTCCAGCACAACACTGCAATTCTGGACTCTTCCCTTGCCATAATGGAGCGTGCGTTCCTCAGCGCTATGTTTGTGATCATGATGATGACTGCGGAGACAGAAGTGATGAGATAAACTGCAGTAAGTGTTTCAGTTCAGGTTTACTCAAGACTTTAAAATGCTATCATTGCATATTTTCTTACTTTACTTTATAGCATATCCAACTTGCAAAGGGAACTACTTTACATGTCCCAGTGGCCGCTGTATTCACCAAGTGTGGCTTTGTGATGGAGAGGATGACTGTGAAGACAACGCAGATGAACGAGGCTGTGGTACGGACATTTTTAAATTTCATTACAAAAATCCTTCATAAAGGGGGTGATTAAGAATAGCTTGTATTTGAGGGTTGAAGTAGAAGTAAGACATCAGTTGTGAATGGTTTGTAAAATTAGCTTTAAAGCTATTCTACTTTGCACCTGGTAAATAATACATATTTTTTTAGTCAGTAATAACTAACATTTTATGAACAAATCAGTTGCTTTCTTCATCTCATTAGAAAATTAGTTATAGTTTTCAGAAACTCACTATTTTACTCTTTGGATGATAGCTGATTGGCTGAGTGAGGGTGGTCTTCTATTTTTCACTTTTCTGATAATTATAAATGTAAAACTAGTGACAGAACCAAATTGTTTTATAGCCAGGACCAACATGGATTTTATTTGTGTGACTGTCTGACCTTGGTCTGTGAAATGTGCTATATAATTAAGATGACTTACTTTCTCAAAAGTATTAGGTTCTTCCATACCAGGCAATATTAGATTAATGATTCTGTACCGTACCTACTTACTTACTCACTAATTACATAGTTCAACTTTAAATTTAGTATCAGTTTTGTATCGAAGACGTTCTCCATCCCGACCTGGTTCAGGTCCAGTTTCCATGGATGGATTGGGCTGCAAGACGCTATGCCTGTGCTCTTTTTTAAATGTTTTATTCAAATGGCCCTTTGTGGCACAGGATCGAGGAGCCCCCCCCAAACGCTTTAGAAATCCTCCAGAAGGCTGTGAAGAGTGTGTGTTTATAGAGGGTGGGCTACAGAAGCACTCTGAGCCCCCATGTGACCTCCTCAAAGCCACACTTTCCTCTATCGATTTAAAGTGACAACAATTCCCCTTTTTTCAGCTCCTTAAAAAAATGTAGTCCTATAAAATTGGATTGATTCAAAATGGTCTGCTTTCCATAGATAATGTACCAAGTGAGTGTTACCCTGGTGAATGGGCTTGTCCATCATCGGGGGTCTGCATACGCATGGATCAACTTTGTGATGGGGTGGTACACTGTCCAGACGGAGAAGATGAAACCAACACTACAGTTGGCCGCAACTGCAGTCAGTACAACCTTAATGCCCAATGATACCTTTAATAATGTCAGAATGTACAATATAGAATCACATGTGTCCATTGTCCCTTTGTCCCAGACCCTCATGCTGCTAACAAGTACAGATGTATACATTCAACTATATATTTCTTTCACTAGAATATACAGTATTTAATTTATTTATTATGATAAAGCTAGAGATTGTAGGCTTACCTCCTTATTATACTAAAGTTATAGAGTTATTATTCATTTATCTTGTGCTGTGTGCCCCCATTCCTACTGTATTTTAATCTAAATCTTAATACATTTCCATAATAATTCACAGAGCGCATAATTTTCTGTGTTTGACATTAGGTATTTGGAGATGTGCCTCTCTGAGTTGTGAGCACCGGTGCCATGCTTCTCCTGCTGGCGGTGCCTGTTCATGTCCCTCTGGATACATTGTCAGCAACAACTCTCGGTCCTGCACAGGTGAAGGGATTTTTATATTCTATTGCTATACATTTGTTTACTATGTTTTGGTTTTAATAGAATGATTCATGATTTTATTTCAGATTTTGATGACTGCTCAATGTGGGGAGCGTGTGACCATGTGTGTGAAGACAGAGCTGGTTCTCATCACTGCAGCTGCCATCAGGGATACACATTGGAGCAGCATAGGTATTGCCGTGCAAATGTAACAAGTAAGTATTTACCTAAAGGTGAATTCCTCAACTGTCTTGCTGGCTTTATGTGTTGTTGTTTTGCCAGGATTTTTGTTGTTATACTTTCTTTTTACATTTGAAACTAGCATGTAACTTCACTTGGCTAAGTTACAAGTTATGTGTGTGGAGAGGAGAGTCTTCTACTGCAAAATTGCAGTTTTTGAGCAATATAATTATTCATAATTGAGGACTGCACATGTTGTAAAGCAAATGTAGCAACATTTCAAGTAAAGCAATAAAATCTATCGCAAAAAGCAGGTATCAGACCACTTCACAAAGAGTGGGTCACCTCCAGGACAATGGAGGAACTCAACTTGAAAATGGACCATCAAGACAATATGAGTAACTGTATCATTTTTCTACAGCTGGAGCCCCATCTCTGTTGTTTTCAAATGGAAGAGACTTGTTAATAGGTGACATCCATGGCAACAATTACCGCACTCTGATTCATTCACAAAATCGTGGTGTTGCAGTGGGAGTGGACTTCCATTATAATCTTCGAAAGATATTCTGGTCGGACACTATTCAGAACAAGGTAATAATATACGTTTATGATTTCCTGTTTAAACCACATTGTTGCCAATCAAACAAACACAAAGTGTTCTTTTGGATAGAATTCATTTACTTATCCCTAAATTATCAGCAATGTTGATACTATAATAATGGGAAAAGTACTTGGCTCCTTTGTGGCGCGCTCTAAATGAAGGGAAGTAGACAGAGGAAGGAATCCAAACGGTCTAATCTCGACACTCCTGATATGCGGTATGATGTTCACATACCAAGGCTTAATTTTTGAAACTCTATCTTTTACAAAGAAATTGTGCTCCATTTATTCGCTATCGCTACCTATGCATTCTAAGCCTTCTGGAAAGTCTTTGTTTAACTCATGCATAGACTCTCAAGACTGTATCATTGGCCTGTGAGCCATTTTAAAGGAGGGTTAGTTCTAAAAAAAATGGCACTACTTAAAATAATTTAGTTTCAAATTAAAATAATAACTCTTTTCATCCAGTTTTGGAAGCAGGAAATAAGTATCTCTAGTTAAAAATCTGTTTAAAAAGTACATAATGTGGAAGTATGAAGAGGAAAGAGAGTGATGTCCTCTGCACAGAGCAGGTGATGGGAGAGAGGTGTAGGGTCAGAGAGTGTTTCTACTGAGTGTGTGTGTGTTGGTACAGTATTACACTGTTTATCTGCATTAAATTGTCTTGTAGTAAATGGAAGGTGGAACCCCTTTTCACCATCTGTGTATTTAATGTTTGTACTGTGAAATTGTTTTTTTTGCAGGTTTGAGATTAATAATTTAACAAACTAACAAATATTCAACTATGTGTTTGAAGACATGCTACATTTTATTATATATGTTTATTTAAAACTCTTCCCATTTCCTCAATAATTAGATTTTCGTAATGCAGCCGCTTCCAATATCCTCCCAACAATACTGTCTCTTGTACGCAGGTGTTTTCGGTGGATATGGACGGTTCTAACGTGCAGGTGGTTTTGAATGTATCAGTTGACTACCCTGAGAATCTGGCGGTGGATTGGGTGAACAATAAACTGTATGTGGTGGAGGCCAGTGTCAACAGGATTGACATGGTGGACTTTGATGGAAGTAACCGGGTCACGCTCATCACTGAAAACCTTGGAAATCCTAGAGGGCTGGCAGTGGACCCCACAGTCGGGTAGGGCACATCTTCTGGTCATTCATTCAGCCTTTCCTGCTCTTATTGTACTGTATCTGTGTCGTGCTTCATTGGTGTGGAATAATGGGTGTGTGTGAGATTAGCAGATTGCCCTGGGTGGATTAGTGAGGAGCAATGTAAGTGATGACCCTCATTGTAATCCAATAGTATAGTTCAAGGAGGCAGAAAACCAGGTGCTTATGGATAAATTGTTGGACTTAAATTACTGTATCTTTTGTGTGAGCTATACTGATACTGTGATGTGCTGTCAAAATGTAGTTAAGACCAGAAAAAATCTGCATGAGGGCAGTTTTATGTTGGGACAAATTTTAATGGCTTGAGAAACAGTACAAACAGTAGTCAATGTCATAATGGAGAAAAGAACTCAAGGCATAAAATAAAAAGCCTTTTGGGAACCAGGCTTGGAAAAACTTAAACAAATTTAACCCTTCTAAAAGACCTGGAAATGCAATCAATAACATATTTGTATGTTTTTTATATATAATAGTATGTATGTTTGACATAAATGTTTTAGCGGTGTATTGTGAATGCCTCTTTCTCAGGGTGCACCGTCTGTCGCCCATTATCAGCCCTTGTCCAATTTATGTGGTCCAACATATACATTTTATTAAAACATTAACAACAATTTTTTTTATCGTTCTCTAATATTACACAGAGATCACTATATGGAATAGGTTTGGAATGTGTTTTCAGTTATTGTAAATAGTTGTTAAATAGTTAAATATTTGTTTGTTCCAATAAAAGAATATTTTTTGGATACGTTGTTGACTACAAGCAATGTAGTCATTTCGAACCCCATTATGGTCCTACAAGTAAAACAGAAAATTCAATTTGTTCTTCAGCTGTTGCCTTTAGTTTGACAATCCCAAATGTTAATGTTTGTGTGTTGATCTCAAAATGATATTGTGTTTTAGCTGCACATTCAGAGATCAAAGGAGATAAAAAGAAATGCATTGTATACATGAATTAATTGCAGAGTGATTTGTGTAGCTCTCTCATGCACAGAGGTGCACTATAAAACTGTTTAAGTATTTGTATTCATTTTAACTCAATATCTTTTTGCAGGTATATTTTCTTCTCTGATTGGGAGGCACTAAATGGACAGCCAGGTCTGGAACGGGCCTACATGGATGGAACCAATCGTTACGGCATAATAAGGAGTAAACTGGGCTGGCCTGCTGGTATCACAGTTGATATTGAGGCACAACGCATTTACTGGGTTGATAGCCGCTATGACTACATAGAGACAGCTACATATGATGGTCTTTATAGGTAAGAATTCACTCACATCCAACAATTGCCTTATTTGATATGAAATTAAATATTTTTTATTTATTTAAAGGAAAACTGTAGTGCATGGAGGAGCTGCAGTCCCCCATCCTTTTGGCATCAGTCTGTTTGAACACACGGTCTATTTCACAGACTGGACAAAGATGGCTGTGATGAAAGCTAACAAGTTCACTGATTCTAACCCTCAAGTTGTGTACCGCACAGCGCAGACTCCACACGGTGTAGCTGTCATCCATCCGCTCAAACAGCCAAACGGTAGCAATCATTCAAAACACGGATGATCATACTTGTGATTTATACAGTATCTGAACTCAACGTGTATTTGTTTATGAAATGTTTTCAGAACTGTAAAGAATCAGAATATATATATTTATTATATAATATATATATATATTTATCTATATAACCCTAAAAACCTTGCAATGTTTTTCTCCGTTAGTGTCAAACCCGTGCAGTGCCAATAGAGGCGGCTGCGAGCAGATCTGTGTCCTGAGCCACAGGAGTGACAACGGAGGACTTGGGTACCGATGTAAATGCCGAATGGGGTTTGATCTTCATTATGACGGAAAGAGATGTGTTGGTTCGTACAATTCTTTCAAGCACTTTTACATAGCTGCAGCTTTGTTTCCAACCAACTTTTTCTTTAGGTGTTCGGCAGTTCCTGCTGTTCTCTAGTCAGCTGGCTGTAAGAGGAATCCCCTTTAACCTTTCCTCTCAGGAAGACATTATCTTGCCAATTACCGGGGCACCGTCCTACTTTGTTGGGGTGGACTTTAGTGCGGAAGATGATGCAATATTTTTCTCAGACACTACAAAGGATATTATCTACAAACAAAATGTAGATGGCAATGGTGAGTACTATTGGTGAGACATACTTCTCAGTCTACCTGATTTAAACATTTTCTGTTGGAATTTTGAGGAAAAATCTTATTGAGGGAAATTTGGATTCCCCAATTGAACTAAATTGAAAAGCAGAGAAATTGTGTGTACATGCAGTAACATTTTCAAATATGTTTTTTGAGTGACTAAATGCCAGAAACCCAACAATGTGTATTATTGTCTTTTTGTCAACGATGCGTTTACAGTAGAGTGTTCTTGTCTCAGACAAAGGGCAACGTTCCGGTCAGCCAGGTTGTTTTTGGAGCAGCTTTGGCTCTTTTTGTTCTGCACATTTTGTGGAAATGCAATCTGACAGTCTATTTCTGCTTCTCTTTCATCACTATGGAAAACGGTGGCTTGACTGCTTTGATCTGCGCAGGCAGGGAGGTATTGGCAGCCAATCGTGTGGAAGGAGTGGAGGACCTGGCTTATGACTGGATCTCAAAAAACCTTTACTGGACAGATCCCAGATACAGGAGCATATCTGTCCTGAAGCTGGCAGACAAGTCCAGGAGGGCCATTGTACAAAACCTTAACAACCCCAGAGCTATTGTGGTGCACCCTATCCTCGGGTAAATTATACATTTTCTTCTTAGAGTCTTGAGGTCATAAAGCCGTGTGTCGAGAAAGTGAGATTAGTATGAAGGGGAGCATTGTAATAAACTTTGCTAAGTTGGTTCACACGTCAAGCTTAGAGGAATTTACAGTATACTTTTCACAAACACTTTGTAAACTATACTAACTTTGATACATTTAATTTTTGCTCTAACTAACCAGACTGTTTACACTATTAGGTATATTTTCTGGACAGACTGGTACAGACCAGCGAAGATTATGAGGGCTTGGGGTGACGGGTCACACGCCTTGTCAATTGTAAATACAACTCTTGGTTGGCCAAACGGTCTATCCATTGACTGGAGGTAAGTTTTTTTTTTTTTTTACCAGTCAATTGTTCTGTTATAAATATTTGTATTTCCACTTGTAGTGCAATGCGTCTTTATTGGGTGGATGCCTTCTTTGATAAAATTGAGCACAGTAATTTTGATGGACAAAATAGGCTTTCTTTGGATCGTATCACTCAGATCTCTCATCCCTTTGGCCTGACTATTTTTGAAGGTAAAGAATGTTATCAGATCGTGTGTTGACTGTGTGCTTCCAGCTTTAATGAGGCTCATTTAAGGGGCTACTACAGTTACTGTGAAGTAATGAAAGATTCAATACTAAGGTTTATGCTCTGGTGCACCTCTCATCCAGACTACGCATACTTTACTGATTGGCGACTGGGTGGCATTGTGCGTGTGCGCAAGACTGACGGTGGGGAGATGGTAATTATAAGACGAGGAGTCAGCCACATCATGCATGTCAAGTCCTTCAACTCCAACTCACAGATTGGTAAGTATGTTTTGACTTTAGTGATAGCAAACTTGTCACTTAAACCTACAAACATGTTCTTATCATATAGGTTCAAATCTTTGCAACAGAGACACAAATCCAAATGGGGACTGCAGCCACTTCTGTTTCCCAGCTCCTGACTCCCGCAGGGTGTGTGGATGCCCATATGGAATGAAGCTATCACCAAACCACCAAACATGTGTTGAAGACCCTTCCAATGAGCCCCCCACCTTGCAATGTGGAGTGAACTCTTTCTCCTGCGGCAATGGTAAATGTGTCCCATTCAGCTACAGATGTGACGGTGTTGATGACTGCCATGACAACACAGATGAAGTCAACTGCGGAGTTCATAGTAATATTCCATTTTTAGTGATACTGTATTTTGAGGCGTATGCTGTTGTGTCAAATCTGGGTTATATTAATGTGTTTATACATTTTAGACTCTACATGCTCCCCCTCTGCATTCACCTGTGCAAACCAGCGCTGCGTTCCTGCTTCGTGGCGTTGTGATGGCCACAATGACTGCTTTGACAACAGTGATGAGAGTAGCTGCCCTACACTCGTGCCAGGGACCTGCCCCGCTAATCAGTTTGCCTGTGCCAACCAGCGCTGCATCCCACATACCTGGCGCTGTGATACAGACAATGATTGTGGAGATAGTTCAGATGAAGACAATTGCCGTAAGTAAAGTTTTTCTTCATCCAGTCCCTTTTCAAACTTACTCGTTCTGTGCATCTGTCTTTATGCTGATGTTTGTCAAATGTGTTGAAATAAATAAACAATCTAATCTAATATAATTCAGGGTTTTCTAAAATCAACAATGTGTGTAATAGTGATCCTGTGATATTTATATTGAGTGGTGTTGACAGATACTGGTGGCACCTGTTATCCCGGACAGTTTCAGTGCCCTGACCATCGGTGTATAGACCCCAATTATGTGTGTGATGGCGACAGGGACTGTGTGGATGGAGCAGATGAGCAAGGATGCAGTAAGTGGCTTTATAATTGTCCATGACACAGTTAACAAGGATTTAAAAAACCTAAGTTAACCGGTTTGTTAGTATGATATAGCTTGTTGTAGAGGTTAACTGCAAAAATCTACAGGCTTTTCCTAAGCCTATTAGTTTATGATCTCATTACTAGTTGCATAAGTCAACTCAAACACACACTAAACCAATTTAACATGCTTTTTCATTTTCTTGCTCTCAACAGTTTATAACTGCACCTTGAATGAGTTTAAGTGCGCTAATGGCCACCAGTGCGTCAACTCTTATTACAGATGTGACGGGGTCTTTGACTGTAACGACCGCTCAGATGAAAGAGGCTGTCGTGAGTAACTCCATGTTTTAGTGATTAAAACCCATTGAATATGAATTTAATGCACTCATTTATCTGCTCTCAGCTACACGGCCTCCCGGAATGTGCCACCAAGAAAATGAATTTCAGTGCCAATCGGATGGAAGTTGTGTGCCCTCAGGCTGGGAGTGTGATGGGCACCCGGACTGTGAGGACGGCAGTGACGAGCACCACGCCTGCCCCCCTCGTACCTGCCCCTCCACAATGTTCCGCTGTGACAACGGCAACTGCGTGTTGCCCAGCTGGATTTGTGATGGAGACAATGACTGCAGAGATATGAGTGACGAGCAGGACTGTCCTACTCCTCCTTTCCGATGTCCGAGCTGGCAGTGGCAATGTCCTGGGCACAGCGTATGTGTCAACCTCACCAGAGTGTGTGACAACACCCCTGACTGCCCCAATGGGGCTGACGAGTCTCCGCTCTGCAGTAAGTCACATTCGTATACTTTGTAGATACGTATTTACTGTATTTTTATGTAGTTAACATGCATTGATTAGTTTCATGATTGTCAATATTTAATTTAATGATTTAGTATAACACAGTCTTTATTTTTTTAAAGAACAATAATTGTGTTAAAATCAAGCATGTACAACCAATAATCTAAACACAATCTGTGATCTTCCTTTCTTGCCTTTCTTTCTCAATATCGGCAGATGAGCCCTTACCAGGTAAGATAACAAATTAAACTTTAATCTAATAAAATAGATAGATTTTTTAAAACATGAATGTAAGTCTGATAAACACATGTAACACTTCTGTCAGAAATAAAGTTACATACTACTAGTTTCATTTATATTGTTGCCCTTACAGTAGGTGAGCCATCTGGTTTATAAATACATATTATGATTCTACACAGCTTTGTTTGATTATGTATTTCATTCCATTCAGATCAGGAAAGCTGTTCAGACAACAACGCAGGATGCACTCATGGTTGTATCCAAGGCCCTTTTGGGGCCCAGTGCACCTGCCCTTTAGGGTTCCAACTGAGCAATGACTCTAAGACATGTGAAGACATGGACGAGTGTAACCCTCCAGGACTGTGTAGCCAGCATTGTTTCAATGACCGAGGCTCCTTCCGCTGCCACTGTGAAGACGGTTACACCCTGGAGGCAGACCAGCGGACCTGCAAGGCCTCAGGTGAGCTGGTTTCACATTAGAATCAAATAAAATATGTAAGTAAGAATACTGCAATGCTTTTCTCATATTGTACCTGATAACACATTTTCTACCATCAACAATAAATTCAGGTGGTGGGATTAACAATAATTAGGTTGTTTGGACTAAACTACAAGCCTGACAAAGTCTTTCCTCTACCATCTCTTTGCTGGCTGCTCAGATTTCTATAGATAAGACAAATAACATATATGTCACTCAGCGGCCATCCCTGGCTAAATTAGTACATCATCACCAACAAAGAACTGTTTATAGGGAGCGTGCCCGACATGAGCTCCTCTTCTGACTTCTGACAGATAACCTGCTGAAAGACTTTCTAGTACAATACGACATTATTTGACCACATTCCCCAAGGCCTGTCATCTGAGTCTCCTCTCTTTAAATGCCCGGCTGTTTCTTTGTCTCAGAGAATGAGCTGATAAAGGATCAGATTGAATGAAAAAGAGTTACACACTTTTGGACTCTATTCTGTCGCAGATTCCCGACAAGCATTCCTGCTGGTGGCCAGTCGAAATCAGATCATGCAGGACGACATTACGAGCCAGCCCAATGTAGTGCGCTCTGTGGTTCGTGATGGACGCAATATTGTGGCCATTGACTTTGATTCAGTAACAGACCGGGTGTACTGGTCCGATACGAGCCAGGATCGAATCTGGAGTGCTCATAAAAATGGAAGTGACAGGACAGTGGTGAGATTTATGGCATCATCATATTTAAATATTATTATTTTAAAACCATAATAATATTATTCTATACTCAAATAATACTCTAACTAAATTATATGTGTGCTCAGATATTTGACAGTGGGGTTACAGTAACTGAGAGCCTTGCAGTGGATTGGGTTGGAAGAAACTTGTACTGGACAGACTATGTTTTGGAAACAATTGAAGTATCTAAACTGGATGGCACCCACCGCACTGTGCTTGTGAGTGAAAATGTTACAAATCCTCGTGGCCTTGTGCTGGACCCAAGAGACAGGTCAGAGATTTCTCGGTTTTCCTCTGTTATTATACTGGACTGTGATGCCTACTTTAGTTTTATCTTCTGTCTTTAAAGCAACTGATGTTAAAAGATGAATATCCAACTTGCAGCACTCACCTGATGTTCTGGACTGACTGGGGCCGAAACCCACGCATTGAGAGAGCCAGCATGGATGGAAAGTTGAGGACTACAATTATAAACAACAAACTCTACTGGCCAAACGGTCTCACTATAGACTACCCAAACAGATTGCTGTATTTTGCCGATGCCTACCTGGATTTTATTGATTACTGTGACTATGAGGGAATCAACCGAAGGCAGGTTCTAGCCAGTGATCTGGTGAGTGCCAACCATCTTTAAGCACATTATATTGGAAATGAGGACGTGAAAAGTTCATATGTTTGAATGGCTTGGTATGTTTGCTATTTTCCATAAAAAGGTACTGCAACACCCCCACGCTATTACCATTTTTGAGGATTTTGTGTATTGGACTGACAGATACATTAATCGAGTGATGCGAGCTCACAAGTGGCATGGGGAGAATCAGACAGTGATGCTCTTCAACCTCCCTCAGCCCATGGGCCTGGTCGCAGTGCACCCCACGAGGCAGCCGGCAGGTGAAGACCAAGTTAAATGAATATAAAGTACATTTTCTTCGTGAGATTGTTGATTTATACAACTTTTTTTTCTCAGGGGAAAATCATTGTTTAAGGAGTCGTTGTTCTCATATATGCCTGCTGTCGGTGCTGGGACCAGATCACTTTACCTGCGCATGCCCCTCAGGATGGACTCTGGCATCAGACCAAATAAACTGCTTGAGAGGTATAGTTATTGACAGGACCCATTTTTATTCTACTTTACTACGCTAGTACACTCTTCACAATACTGCATCATATTTTCTTTTACTGTATTCTTTTGCCATAAAGTGATTTGAAGCAGTCCAAATTAGAATTTTGTAGATTAGCTTTCTTTGATGACGCCTAAAGACTTCAATACAATATTTTTTTTGTTTTAATATTGCCTTATAGATTTCCATAGTTGTCAACATGTCCCTTTTTTCTCTAAAGGGAGCATGCATGTTTTTTCAAGTTCTTCATAAACCGGGCAACCCTTAATTCAGGCTCCTCAAAGTCAACGGCTTAAGTAATCTCAGGTTTCTGCTCATTCAAGCCAAGCCAAGCAGAGCACAGCACCCCCAGGGCAATGATTATCCAAGAATAAAATGCCCCCAGCCATTCCATGCTCATCTTGCTAATCAGATTGTAGAACAAACTTTCACCAGTCAATCCTTCGTAGAGACGAGGGCCTTATTTATTAGAATTTTTTTTCTGGCCAGGAAGTCTTGTTTTTGTGATTACCATATCTTTTATCATTTCTGAATTTATAGTTTGAAATTACAAAATTGCACCATGTTTTTGTTGTTTACAGATGAGGATCCATTCTTGATTGTTGTAAGAGACAGTGTCATTTATGGCATTTCCCTAAATCCTGATGACAAGAGTAATGATGCAATGGTTCCTGTGGCTGGTCTCCAAAATGGTTATGATGTTGATTTTGATGACAGTGAACATACTATCTATTGGGTGGAGCATCCAGTAAGACTGATTATTTATTGATCTTTGTATTCATTATATTCATATACTGTATGTATATATTGTATATATAATTGGTTTATTTTTCATAGGGTGAAATACATAAAGTCAGGTCTGATGGAACAAACAGGACAGAGTTTGCCCCTGCTGCCATTCTAGGCTCTCCTGTTGGTCTAGCCTTGGACTGGATGACTGAGAATCTATACTACACCAATCCAACCACACAGTCTATTGAGGTATTGAAAAAAACATGCTTTATTCATGTAAAGCACTTTTTTATGTATGATTTTTTGTTAAGGTTTTAAGGCTGAGAGGAGAGATACAGTATAGGAAAACTCTGATCACAAATAACGGCTCTCCTACTGGCGCTGGGAGTCCTGTTGGCATAGCAGTGGACCCTGCACGTGGGTAAGCTCCATTTAACACAGTCCTGGCACAGCCACTTATCCCCACAGTCGCTGAACTTGAACAGCCAGCTCAAAGCCATCTGCTTTGCCTCAACAGAGAACTCAAATAGTGTTATTGGGATGCAGATTTAAACATCAGCCCCAAATATGATCTAACAAATTGTAGGATGTTTTGTATTTGTGTATCCTATACATCCAGTGTGTTGTTAATGGGAATTTTATGTGAATTTGTTGAAGCTGATTTTGACCATTTCGTTGCAATGTATTTCATAAATTAATATAGCTCTTCTTTCTCTTCAAAGCAAACTCTATTGGACAGACCAGGGTACAGAAAGCGGCATCCCCGCTAAGGTGGCTTCTGCAGACATGGATGGCCAAAATCCTGTCAACTTGTTCATCAATAATTTAGACCACATTGAATTCCTCACTGTGGACATTAAGGACAATAAGCTATACTGGGCTGTAACCAGCACTGGCATGGTATTTACTGATCAATGATTAGGTGAACGCCACTTCTCTCATCTACTGAATCTTAATGTGTCATTTTGTTACAGATTGAACGTGGCGACCCAGATGGTTCTAACCGTATCACTATAGTGATGGGTTTGTCTCACCCCTGGGGTGTGACTGTCTACCAGAACCACCTGTACTTCACTGACAGAGATTTTGAGGTCATTGAGCGAGTGGATAAATCCACTGGTGCTAACAGAGTTGTGTTTCGTGACAATGTATCTGGACTCAGAGTTTTAAAAGTACATTATCGAGAGAGTAAGTATAAATGTACAGTTTTAAGGTATCATTTGAATATTCTTCTCTTCTTACTTTCTTGCCTTCTTTTAAAAAAGCCTCTTTAGGGACATCAAATGGCTGCACAAACAATGAGGGGGTATGTGAGCAGCTCTGCTTGCCCCGGCCACGTGGTCTTTTCACCTGTGCATGTGCAACAGGTTTTAGGCTAAACGCAGACAACCGCACTTGCGCTCCTTATCAGTCTTTTGTTGTCATCTCGACTCTGTCTGCAATCAAAGGCTTTAGTATGGATGGATCTGACCATTCAGAGACCATGGTGCCTATAGCTGGGAGAGGTGAGTCAACTATACTGTTTATTTTAGCACGTCTCTGTTTTTAATGTATTTTAATTGACCATATTCATTATGGTCTTGCAGGCCGTAATGCGCTACATGTTGATGTCCACATGGAATCTGGCTTCATCTACTGGTGCGACTTCAGCAGTACAGTAGCTGCACAGAATGGCGTCAGACGTGTAAAGCCAGACGGCTCAGGATTACGCAGCGTTATCACATCTGGTATTGGACGCAATGGAATTCGAGGCATTGCTGTCGACTGGGCAGCAGGTACAATGAAATTAAAAGCCTTAATAATTAAGAATATATATTTGAGTATTTTACATGTATTAATGTCTGTGTTTTTCCAGGTAACCTATACTTCACAAATGCCTTCCTGACAGAAACATATCTAGAAGTTCTTCACATCAACACCACGTTCCGGAGAGTACTTCTGAAAACCCAAGTGGACATGCCTCGACACATTGTGGTGGACCCCAAAAACAGATTCATATTCTGGGCTGATTATGGTCAAAATCCTAAAATTGAGCGAGCTCTTTTGGATGGTACTAACCGAACAATTTTAGTGTCTTCAGGAATAATCACCCCGCGAGGTTTAGCTCTGGACTGGCAGGCTGGTTATGTGTACTGGGTGGATGATTCGCTGGATATGATTGCTCGAGTTAGCTCTAACGGAGGAGATACTGAAATAGTCAGATATGGCAGCCGTTATCCCACTCCTTATGGGATTTCAGTATTTCAGAACAGTATTATTTGGGTAGATAGAAACCTCAAGAAGGTTTTTCAGGCAAGCAAAGAACCAGGTAACACAGAACAGCCGGCTGTCATTAGAGATAATGTCAACATGTTAAGAGACATCACCATTTTTGACAAACGAATCCAGCCCACCACTGCAGAAGAGCTCAATCACAACCCCTGCATGATAGACAATGGGGGCTGTGCCCACTTCTGCTTTGCTCTCCCAGAGTCTGGGACAGGTCTCCAGAATAAGAAATGCAGCTGTGCTTTTGGAGACCTTGCTGCAGATAATACAAGCTGTGTAGTGTCTCGGGATGATTACCTCATTTACACCACAGAGAGCACTGTGCGCAGCTTGCGACTGAATCCTGAAGACCATGCGCTGCCTTTTCCTGTTGTTAATGTCCCCCGTACTTCAGTTGCACTCGATTTTGACCTGGCTGAGGGAAGGATCTACTTCACACAAAGTGTGGGAGCAGGAGCCAGCAAAATAAGCTACATGAGTCTGACTTCCCCAATATCAGCCGCTGTAGAAGTGGCCTCGGGTAAGCCTCGCACACTCACCTCTCTTTGTTTCACTGAGATTTACAACATACTACCACCATGAATTAATTCTTTTTAATAGATCTTGGAGCTCCTGATGGGATTGCTTATGACTGGATAAACAAAAGAATTTATTACAGTGACTTTGTGAATCAGAGCATCAGTTCCATGGCTGTGGATGGCTCACAGAGAACTGTTATTGCTCATGTTTCTAGGCCAAGAGCTATCATGCTGGATCCCTGCAGGGGGTAAGTACTTACTTAGTGCACTCTCGATAATGCTGAGATTTCAGATCATCATTAGTCTCTTCTGTTTGCCAGATACATCTATTGGACAGACTGGGGAACTCATGCTAAGATTGAACGTGCCACGTTAGGAGGAAACTTCCGTGTAGACATTATAAACAGTAGTCTGGTGTGGCCTAATGGACTAACATTGGACTATGAAGAGGAAAGGCTGTACTGGGCAGATGCCAGCTTGTAAGATGTAATTTGGTTTCATTTAGATAACAAATCAGTACTTTTTCTTTGCTCTCATAAATGTTTTGCTATACACCAGACAGAAGATTGAACGATCCTCTCTGATGGGCTCTGACCGTGAGGTCATTGTAAGCACTGCCGTTTACCCGTTTGCAATGACAATGTTCGGCCAGTTCATCTACTGGACAGACTGGAACACCCGCAGCATTTACAGAGCGAACAAACATGATGGGTCCGACCAGGTAGTTATGGTACAGAACCTTCCGTCTCGACCAATGGACATCCAAGTTTTTGCCAGTCGCAAACAACAGCAGTGCAACAGTCCTTGCCTTCAGTTCAATGGAGGCTGTAGTCATATCTGCACACCTGGTAGAACCACTTTATGTTCAGATTATTTTATTGTATTTATTTATGTGTCATTTTCATCTCCTATGTTCTGTCTGTATTTCCTAAAGGACCCAATGGAGCTGAATGCCAGTGTCCATCAGAAGGTCGCTGGTACTTGGCTGATAACAAACATTGTATACCTGACAATGGGACTCGCTGCCAACCAGGCCAGTTCACCTGTATGAACGGCCGCTGTATTCGTGCCCAGTGGAAATGTGATAATGACAATGACTGTGGAGACAGCAGCGACGAATTAGAGCGAGTGTGTGGTAAGAAGATATTGAATGAATCTGCTTGCAGTTGTTTCACTTGTTACTTCTCTTTTTATTCTCTACACAATACTTTCTCTAACAAGATTCTTCTTTCAATATAAATCCTTTGCTGCTTAAGGACCCAAAATCAAATTGAAAACATATGGTGTGTATGCATGTTCTTTCAATAACAATACATTCTATCAACAAACTATTTAAACTAACAAACCAAACATACTTACTTCCTTCATTGCATGCAGTCCCTCCGATGCTATCATCTTTTATTAGCTTGTCAGGTAAAACTGTCAAAACCGTATTTTCCTTGCACTTCCTTGCACATGCTAACTTGTCTATGATATGCAGCTTTTCATACGTGTGATCCCACGGTCTTCACTTGTGGCAATGGACGCTGTGTGCCTTATCACTACCGGTGTGACCACTACGACGACTGCGGAGACAACAGCGATGAGCAAGGCTGCCTGTTCAGACCGTGTGATCCCAGTGCAGAGTTCACCTGCAGCAATGGACGCTGCATAGCCAAAGAATATGTGTGCAACGGATTCAACAACTGTTACGACAATGGCACCTCAGATGAACAAAACTGCCGTAAGTATAGACACATGCACTGTTAAAACAATACATGAACATACATTTCTGATGCTAACATGGGACTACTTTGTGCCAAAGTAGCAGAACCCTGGCCATATATACACATTGACTTGGCTTCCCACAAATGTCTGCCTACATTTTTCTCACATAATTTTCTTCTATCTATTTCTGTTGATGATGATTAAAGTAGTCCACTATCTCTTATGTTACAGGGTGTCACCTTTTGTCTATTTCACAATAAATGTTTAAAAAAACGCTGGCGCCTAAAGGGTTAAATTAGTTTATTGGAATAGCGACAGTACACATTAATCAGCATTACTGTAAATGTGTCAGTATTAGCTATACAGTTAATTTCCAACTGTAGTCCCTAGGCAATGTGTAAAATGCTAACGAATCCCTCAATTCTAAGCATGTACCTCTATGTATGATGTATAGCTTCTGTGTATTAGCAAATGCTCATTTTTAATCTAGAGATATTTTTACTCCCTGCGCACAAATTCCGATCTGTATGGACTCTCACCGTGTACAAAATGGTAAATACATGTCTTGAATCTTGAATCTTTTCCAGCTGAGACAACATGTCAACCAGAGCAGACTAAATGCCAGTCGACAAACATCTGCATTCCACGCTCATATTTGTGTGATGGAGACAACGACTGCGGAGACATGAGCGATGAAAGTCCTACACATTGTGGTAAGATTCATCTGAATGGAAATGTTATAATGTCACCACTTAATAAACAGACGCACAATTATTATTTCATTATTTTCTTATTAATAAATGGAAGCGCTGAATTAGCACCGTACTAGCTATTTGGTCATGTATTGTTAATGGTTTAAGAAATTGATTACTTGGTTCTTGTTAATGATAACACACATAATGGCAAAGTTTTTCAGCTTAAGTGGTTATCCTGGCTTAATCTAGTCGAACACTGAGTCATGATTAGTTCTGGTGTGGAACTATGCTTGCAATAAAGCTGGGATCCCTACTTTTTCCCCTTATAAATATGACATCATATGCCCCAGCAGAAATAGTCTTGCAATCTGTTGCATACTTGTCAAGAATAAGTTGATTTGCTGAGAGAGATAGTTTTTTAAGATAAACTTTATTGATCTCACAATGTAGAAATTCACTGATCTAATGATGCGACAAAAAAAAAAAAGTTATGAGAGTGAGGAGAGTGGGGAATTTCTATGTTTTGTAGTTTGTGTGTGAGGTAGCCTAGCTTTGAATAATGTGTTAGATGCAAATGCAAATTTCAATACAGTAAAATACACAATGCACATGTAACATTTTGAATAATTAACATAATACATACAACTTCTGAATATTCTCGGCATAAATTGTCACGTTAAATATGAGTTTTGTCTGTCCACAGCTGCAGCCACTTGCTCCCAGAGTGAGTTCCGTTGTTCTAGTGGCAAATGCATTCCCGCTCACTGGTTCTGTGATGGAGGCGCGGACTGTGCTGATGGATCTGATGAACCCCAGTCCTGCAGTAAGTCGTACCCCCCTGCCCGGCCCTTCCCCCCTCATCAGCTGCTCTGTTACGGGGACCCTCTTGGTGTTTGCCTCACTGTGGTGGTGCCGGATGACAGAGAAGCGCCCAGGAGTGACTCTGTGTTGTCTGTCTTTGTTGGGGAGGTGGTCAGTCAGGCCTCCCATTGTGGTCCACATTCCTGCGCAGTGACGCCCCTCAGAGTGCGGTGACAAACAGCTCCTCCCCCTCCTTTTGTCCGGCCACCCTTACCCAGCTTCACATTGGCTTTTGTTTAGACAACTCACCATGCATAGGAATGTGGAGTTGCCATGACAATAGCGAAAGCTCTGCCAAAGTTTAATTGCACCCCGTTTATTAGCTTGAAAAGTTTTGGGGGAACCACCGAGACATTTACTAAGACTTAATTAAAAACTATTCACAATCCACAATGTGTTCAAGCAACTGAGCTGATATTGACTATGTGTCTTGTAATGTGTCTATATAATTTATGTTGCAGCCACACTTGCTAGAACTTGCAACGCTGACCAGTATGGCTGTGATGATGGGAGGTGCATTGCGTCATTGTGGATTTGCGATGGAGACAATGACTGTGGTGACATGAGTGATGAGGACCAGCGGCACAACTGTGGTACGGCTTTTAAAAGACCGTTTTATTTTATGGGGCACTGACACTTGACTTGGACCTTAACGAGAGGAATTTTCAAAGTATAGTGAACGTGGCTGTCTGGATTTACACCTGCAGGGTACTGCTGAAGGCCTTGTAAGTGTCCAGTTACAGAGAGGAGTTGACATTCTTGATTTCTCCTGCTTCACTTGCTACATTTCACATTCTCATTCACAGAAATGACATGCCTAAAAATAAGGTGATCAGCTTAAACGTGCATTATGCAACGTTTTATGTGAAAAAGTTGTTTTTTGCGTATTCGACCTTCTAGTGACCCAGTGACTGTCAGAGTGGGCAGCGTGGTGCCTTTGATCACAGTTATGTTGGTTTTGTGGTGCAGGGGTCCCTCAGCAGAGGAAAGTTTTCAAACAGTTGAAGAAAATATGCAGGAATCTGGGGTCTTGTACAGCAGAAGACATTTATTGATGTTGCAAAGAGACACGTCCAAAGATTTGCTGCGTGCATTTGATTTTTTACCATGGAGGAATAGACACTCCAATCAGCACCTGCCACGGTGCCAGTAACTTCGGCCTTCAGATAACCAAAACATCAAGTGGAAAATCACCAGCTTGTGCATACTGTCCTAATGATGAGGTTAGCTTTAACCACATTTGCTTTAAAACGGTTATAAATGATCCATACTATTTATCCTATAGCATCCTCGTGACCACTGTGATGGAAAGTTAAGGCGCAATGCTGACCATTCTTACAGCTCCCGCATAAAAAGTTGCGTACTGCCCCTGCATTCTAGTTAAATGACTGACCTATCTTACATTCTTATTTCTTATATATCATCCCCAGCAAATCGCACATGCTCAAATTCTGAGTTTACCTGTGTGAATAACCAGCCGCCACAACGGAAGTGCATTCCAATGGAGTGGGTCTGTGATGGCGACTCCGACTGTGCGGATGCGCTGGACGAGCATCAGAACTGCTCACGGAGATCTTGTGGGGTCAACGAGTTTTCTTGTAGCAATGGCCTTTGCATACGCAGCTCTTACAGGTAAAACATTGCAGATTACTTAAGAAAAACAAAACCATTTACATATTTATAATGCAAAAGTCAGATATTATATTTTATTTTAGTATGAAGTTACTGTTCACTTATGTGTGCTCCTCATTCCTACTGTTTTTAACTGACACTGACATTTCCCCACTGTGGGACAAATAAAATCCATAAAGGCTCTTATGGGGTTCCAGTACTGGATCCCCCATCACCTTGGACAAGCTAGAAAAATACTTTGTGCCGTGGCCTAGCTACCATATCGCCAACGTATATTGTGTGGGTTATAATTACAAGTATACGTTTAAAAGCGATTTAATCATCTACATAGATCTCTTAATCTTTATTTAGACATTTGAATTTTCACCTACAGATGTGATCGACGCAATGATTGTGGAGACAGCAGCGATGAGCAGAGCTGCACCTACCTGCCTTGTCAGCAGCACCAGTTCACCTGTCAAAATGGCCGCTGTGTGTCTCAGGATTTTGTGTGTGACGGAGATAACGATTGCGGCGATGATTCTGATGAACAGGAGCACATGTGCCACACCCCTGCCCCCACCTGCCCCCCTGGCCAGTTCAGGTGTGAAAACGGACATTGTATCCCCGTTCAACAAGTGTGCGACAGAAATGATGACTGCAATGACAACAGTGATGAGAAGGGATGCGGTGAGTAAAAAAGTATTGTTTGCAAGTATTGTAACCAGCAAATCATGCACTCATTAAAGAAATTTGTAAATACGTTGTCATTAACGTGCTAAATACACAGTACTTCAATATTTACCCAGGTAACGGATTCGATATCACTATTTTTCACAAATTCTTAAAACAATTTTTTTCTAGTCCTATAAATCTCTTTGAGTTATGATAATATATTTAGTCATTACAGCAGTAGTACCTAACTTTGTATTTGTTTCAGAAATTATTTTTCTTTGTCCCAACAGAAAGTCTCATGTTTAAGTAAAATGTTGTGAACAAAGCGCCAAATGCGTTTGTATCTTATTAGGAAAAAACATTTGATCTTTTATATACTGAGTGCAGTGCTAAAGTGCTAAAAGCTAAAGATGTGAGGCCAAAACTGTATGCATGTGAAAACGAGTGATTGAACCATCTTTGTTTAGAGCTGGGGAACGAGTTGCATGGATTCGATTTCGTAGTATCCTTTTTGGCATGTTTCAAAGTTAGCCTAATATTTGCATTCCAAGTGAAAATGATCAAAAATGATTAATTAAATATAATAATTTATGTGTTCTATTCTTCTTTAGGTATCAACGAATGCACAGATCCCTCCACTCACAACTGTGACCATAACTGCACCGACACACCCACCAGCTTCACCTGCACCTGTCGCCCGGGTTACCGCCTCATGTCCGACAGCAGAACATGTGACGACGTGAACGAATGCGCCGAAACTCCACACGTTTGCAGCCAAATCTGCGAGAACACAGTGGGCTCCTACGTCTGCAAGTGCGCCCCAGGATACCTGCGAGAGCCCGACGGACACAGCTGTCGGCAAAACAGCAACATCGCTCCGTACCTCATCTTCAGCAACCGCTACTATCTGAGGAACCTGTCCACCAATGGGGACGCTTACTCGCTCATCCTGCAGGGCTTGACCAGCGTCGTGGCGCTGGACTTTGATCGTGTGGAGAAGCGCTTGTATTGGATTGATGTAAACCGCAGGGTGATTGAGAGAATGTCTTTCAATGGCAGCAACAGAGAAGTAGTGGTCAATGGAGTGCTCCACGGCGAGGGGCTGGCTGTGGATTGGGTGGCCAGGAAACTCTACTGGGTGGACAGCTTCTTGGACTGCCTCAAAGTCAGCGAACTGGATGGGCGCTTTGTGAGAAAGCTTGCTGAACACTGCGTGGATGACAATAATACTTACTGCTTTGAGAATCCAAGGGCACTAGTTTTGCATCCGAAATATGGGTGGGTTATTATCATTATTTTTATTATTTTCAATTGTCTTTGTTTCTTGTTAACAAAACGAAAAACAAACAATAGGTAATATTCCAAAATAAAAAGACCAAACTCATACATTCACTCATTCACTCTCACATTCTCACCACTAATCTGTCTAACAAATATGAACTGCTCTTAGAGTCTAAGAACAAAGTAGTATGTAGTATAAGTTAAGTGCTGTACAGTGTACCTAATAATCTAAAAAACCTAGAAAGGCAATGCAGTTGGATGTCCAAATGGACTGCATATACTGTACGTATACCTGAGATATCTTATTTAGAGTTATCTATAAAATGGTAGTATAGCTATTAGAACATGTCCAAAGCACGGCCCAATCATAGCCCTCTGTGTCATTTTATGTGGCCCACTGCCCTGCTAGCCCAAACAGCCATTAAGATCATAAACAGCCTACTTCAGCTCCACCAATACAGACATGCCCATTGTAAAGCTAATGTTGGTTGATGAGAACATATTAATAATAATGCATCGGTTTTATATAGCGCATTTTTGGACACTCAAAGACGCTTTACATTATTCTTTCACTCCATACACGATGGTGATAAAACACTACTGTAGCCACTGCTGCCCTGGGGCACACTGACAGAAGTGAGGCAACCAGTATGTGCCATCGCTCCCTCCGACCACCACCAACCATTCACACACACACCAGACTCATTCTAGGCAATGGGGGTGAAGCGTCTTGCCTAAGGACACAACGACAGCTAGGCACTTTACAGCCGCAGCCGCCCCACTGTTGCACTGTGTTTCCAGAGCTTAAGTGTCTTGCCAAGGACACAACGACAGCAGACATCAGTGGGAGTCGATGGTGAAAGTCTTTTGGTGGACTCGAACCCACGACCTTCATGCTCAAAGACTCAACTGAGTCACTGTCGCCCCAACATTTATTGAATATTAGTCATTCAGCCAACTTGTGAATCATTATATTGAACAATCAAAATCCAGTCTAACCGCTGTTTAACTAAAGTGGCCCTCTTACTAAAGAGCTTAACTTTATTTTTCAGATTTGTATACTGGACCGACTGGGGAAACCAAGCATTTATTGGCCGCGTTGGGATGGATGGAACCAACAAGACTGCTGTTATCACCACAAAGTTAGCATGGCCCAATGGGATCACTATTGACTACACTAATGACAAGCTCTACTGGTCTGACGCACATCTTAACTATATTGAGTAAGTCTATTCAATCTAAATGGACCCTGCTCGGTCAACTGCCCATACATCCCCTTTTCTGATTTCCTTTTCCGCAGATACTCTGATCTGAACGGTCAGCACAGGCACACAGTTTTCAATGGCAATTTGCCCCATCCCTTTGCGCTGACCGTGTTTGAGGACACCATATATTGGACCGACTGGAACACCCGGACCGTGGAGAAGGGCAACAAATATGACGGTTCTGGACGAGAAGCCTTAGTTAACACCACTCACAGGCCGTTTGATATACATGTGTGCCATCCCTACAGACAACCTATTGGTACGTTTTGCACGATCCTATCTAGTTATGCAGAGGGTTTTGGCGCAAGAAATGATTTGGTATTGCATTAAATTGTCTCTATTATTATAAACTTGCAAACATTGAAAGTAAGAAATGTACATGGGCTACCTTAATGTTATTCATAGTATACAATTACATCGTTATAATACTAATTATCTTACAAAAACAATAATGTATCTTTAATTTATCTAATTGCACCCACTGAATATCTGATTGCACCCACTGAAACCAGAATGACATTAATAATAATAATTGGTTCCTCAGTCTGCAATTACAATGCGTACTTTAAAAAAATCTAAATCAAGTATAGACATTTTCTCACAACATTCACATAACGTTACAAAAATAATAAAATAACGCATTATACTATATATACAGAAAAAAACATACAGAAAATGAAGAAAGTAGTGACACCTCGGCATTAACCCCCCCTCCTTTAACAACAAGGGTGCCCTGAATACGCTGGCAAGGCCGTACACAGGGCAAAAAAGTCTGGGAACCATTACTCTAGTCAAGTGCAGGTTTAGTTTCAAGTTTAGTCCCAGTTTTGATGTGGTGTGAGTGTTAGTGTGAACGCAGACTAAATCCTGTGTTGTTCGGCTTAGATTTTCACGTCTTACAATAGCTGCGCTGTCTCTGCCCCGTGACTTGAGATTGATGGACTCTCTGACTTCCCTCCCGCAGTAAACAATCCGTGCTCCGTGAACAATGGCGGCTGTTCTCACCTGTGCTTGATCAGTCACGGGGGGCGAGAACACACCTGCGAATGCCCGGACCACTTCCTCAGCGTGGAGACGGGAGGTGTGACCCGCTGCCTCCCCATGTGCTCCAGCACCCAGTACAGATGCAGCAACAATGAACGGTCTGTCACCTGCTCGTCAACGCCTTTATCCTTTTACTTACAATGGTCGTCATCTGCTGTAAAGTGCATTACCGTTGAAAAACGTTTTTGAATGCCATTGTATGCAGTATTCCTTGGAACTCAATGACCAAACAAGCAAACACATGAATTGACTAACGATGCTTTATGGCTGGCATGTCAAACCAAGGCTCGTGGGCCAAATCCGGCCCTTAAGACAACTTTTAGTGGCCCCTAAAATTATATTCAATTATTATTTATAACTTGCAGCAGTGATGGTTATGGGTTTATCAAGCCATGTTTTACATAATCTGTTTGTATTCTAAAACACATAATTAGAAGTTTAATTGTTAAATAAAAAACAATGGGCCTCATTCACGAACGGTTCTTAGGAACAGATTTGTACGTAAATCCTACTTACGCGGTTTTTACGAAGAAAGTGGCATTCACGAATATTTCTCGTAACCAGAATTTCTCTTGGGCAAGTACAAATCCTACGAGTCCTCAGGAGCACTCGTACGCATTCAGTGCCGACATGTTCACACGCGGGGGTTGTCCTCTTTGGTGAAGTTGAATAAAAATACAACATTCCAGTGATATGTCCGTCATATCGATGTATGTATTTATTTATTTGTAGTAATCTTTATTAGTAATCTTTATTTATATACCGCCTTTTTCACTGCAGATCTGGCCTACTTTTTAATTCATTTTGAAATGAAATGTGCCAACGCTTTATCAAATACATTGGAAATCTTGCCGTGTATTAGTGACCCCTTCCTATTTATAGGGGGCATTTCTTTATCCACGGGCCACAGAACAACGGCATATATACTGCTGCTGCAGGAGGTTACTGGGTCCGCGCTGAGTCTCTGCGCTGGTCTCTCCTATGGATCTATACGGGTCTGCACTGGTCTCTCCCATGGATCTATACTGGTCTGCACTGGTCTCTCCATACGGATCCGCGCTGGTCTCTCAAGTCTGGTCTATGCGGTCTCTCTTCGGTCCGCGCTGGTCTCTGCGCACCGGTCTCTCCAGTCAGGTCACTACAGTCTATGCGGTCTCTCCAGTCAGGTCACTCCAGTCTATGCGGTCTCTCCTATAGGTCCGCGCTGGTTTCTGTGTGCTGGTCACTCCAGTCTCTCCTCGGGTCTGCATTGGTCTCAGCGCTGGTCCGCGCTGGATCTCCTCCCAGGGTCCAAAATATTTTGAGATTAATCTCAAAACATTTTGAGATTCATCTTTAAAATAATACATAATATATTTTTAAATTAAGCTCATAACATTTTGAGATTAATCTCATCATATTCTTAGATTAATCTCATAATTTTGCTAGTTCGACTTTATTATCATAATATTTCGACTTTTAAGTCAACATTTTATAACTTTATTCTCAGTCTGGTAAAAGAAGAAAAAAGGGTGACTTTTGCTCCGTGTAAAGGCCTGTTGCTGTTTCCTCTGCCGTCTGCACACGGCCCTGCAGTCCCTTATATGGGCATTAGTGGGCGGTTACTTATGCTAAGTACCTATGCTAATGAAGCACCTGGCACGCGCGCTCTACTTACGAGGAAATGGGATTCATCAATCTGAGAGAACAGCTGCGAACAATTCAGCGGCTTACGAGTGCGTTGATGAATCCCACGTGGGGACTTCTTAGAAATCTACTTAAGGACAACTTGAGAAGAAAGTTGAGTAGTTTCTTACGAAGTTATTCGTGAATGAGGCCCAATGTGATTAACTTTGTGTTTGATCCAGTTTTGGTTAAATTTAAACAATAAACACATTTTGTTTAAAGACAAATGTCAAAATACTTCTATAATGTTAAAAACAATTATACAGTAAGAAAAGGAAATTCTGTTCTTTTGCCCCTGACCAGTTGATAGTATTTTTCTTCGACCCCTGACCAAAATGAGTTTGACACCCCGATCTTAAATATCGTGGAAATGATTTATTCTTCTGCTATGTTGGTACTTCTGGTTTAGCCGGAGTCATTATTCTCAAATAATGTATTTATTTGATTTGTGTAAACGATATGTTTTAGTATTTTAGTATTGCCCGAAGGGTTTCACAGAATTGTCAAATGTGCGCTGTATTTATCACCGGAGGGAACTTTGGTTCTGGTAAAATCAAACCTAGAAAGTAAATCAATAAAAAAGAATATTGATTGGATATTGTCCGATGTACGCTGTCCTGCATGGGTAAGGAAAACTAAAAAACCTCAAGGAGAACCCCCAAAGAGACCTTGATCCAGGTTTAGGTTGAAGTGTGTGACCCCTGATGCCATATTGCTGGGTCTTTGGTTCACAGGTGTATTCCTATCTGGTGGAAATGTGACGGTCAAGCAGACTGTCGAGACGGGTCAGACGAGCCCCCAACATGCCCCACGCACCACTGCAGGCTCGGGCAATTTCAGTGCAACGATGGGAACTGCACCAACCCCCATCTCTTGTGCAACACTCACCCTGACTGCCCCGACGGCTCTGATGAGGACCCAGTTCTCTGTGGTATGTTGTGGGAGAATGACTCAACACCCTATAAAACACATACTAACGTGATCGAGATTTATGTGAAATGTGGTCTTTCCTCTAGCAACCCACCAGTGTGAAGCTCACCAGTGGCAGTGTGCAAACAAGCGCTGCATCCCAGAGTCCTGGCAGTGCGATGGTGAGGATGACTGCGGGGACCAGTCTGATGAAGAGCCGGCCCACTGCTCCAGCAGGACGTGCAAACCAGGCCAGTTCAAGTGTCGCAACGGCCGCTGTGTCCCCCAGAGCTGGAAGTGTGACGTGGATGACGACTGTGGAGACAGCTCCGATGAACCTCTCGAGGAGTGCAGTAAGGAAATACAATCATGTGTAAACAATCATAAAGATGTACTTATTATGTTGACTTTACTTGACATTTTTAATAATGCACAAAATTCACACAGGGCCAGGAAGAAATGTTGATTGAAGTGAATTTAGTGTTCCGTTCTAGAGATTGATGGTTCTTTCATTTGTGTTTTTGCATGTCTGCAGTTTACGGGTGTGGGCAGACTTAAACAATAGATGCCATGACCCAGAGACTGAGAGTCAGGGTGCTTGAATATCAATGGCATTATTTTCTATCTTTGTCATTTGTAATTTATTGCTTCTTTGTAATTTTTTGTTGTTGTCATTTTTAGTGGGACCTTCTTATCGCTGTGATAACTACACTGAGTTTGACTGCAAGACCAACTACCGCTGTGTGCCGCTTTGGGCCGTGTGCAATGGCCACAATGACTGCAGAGACAACAGTGATGAGCAGGGATGTGGTGAGTCGGGTCAATCTTTCTTTGTCACATTGGTCCTGAATTTATCCTTTTTAGATACAAAGGTCAAATACTGTTTTGTAAATTCTATGAATATAAGATCTTGAATAATAAGACATCACAAAGAGGAGAGGAAGTGCTTTAAATGTGAGCGAAGGGCAATTAGCTGCTCCTCAGCCTCCTGTGGATGTTGCACAGTGAGGTGGTGGGAGGTGCAGATGGAGATGTCTCACGTCTCTCCCTCCCCAGACACTTGCCACTCCCTTCTCCACTGCAGATTTATGATCTGTCCAGTGTATGGTTCTAAACGTGTGTGTGTGTGTGTGTGTTTGTTTGTGTGTGTGTGTGTGTGGTGCTCTGTCCTTGCATGGGGGCAAGGTTCACACAAGTCTCTTTGTACTTTGGTATGAACCAAACACACTCACCGTGACCCTCCCGCTTCTTATCAGAGGCCCTGCTCCATTAGTGCCATGCTGGAGCAGGAGGGGAGATCCGTGCTAATCTTCCCATAAGAATGCAGCAGATGGGCCAGGTGGACTGGCTAACGCAGCTCTATCTCTGACCCCCAGCACTGTGTGGTAGAGACAGCTCTCCTCCGCTTCTCTCCCGTCGGTGCTTCTCATCCATGAGCTCTTATCCTGTGCACTGAATAGTGCAGAGAAGGAGGTCACCCATCTGTCTTAGGCATGCAGTTTCACTCCCTCTCTGATGATCACACTTTAATTAAAAAGAAAATGCCTTACATTTTCACCATTATTAGAATATCCCAACAAATATCCCATCCTGGGTGGCTGAGTGGTTAGCACTCTCGCTTCTCAGCAAGAAGGTCCTGGGTTGGAAAAGGGCCTTTCTTAGAGGAGTTTGTATGTTCTCCCCGTGCCTGCGTAGGTTTCCTCTGGGTTCCCCGGTTTCCCCCACCACTATAAACATGTAAACAGTTCTGGCATGCGCCTCCTGTGTGGAGTGAGAGGACAATGCCCACAATTTTAAACAGCTTTGTGACTCTGGTCTGTAAAAGGCGGTATATACAGTAAATAAAGATTTCTCACTTACTACAAACCCCTCAGAATGTGATGTTTCCTCACCATTGAATGACATTTAAATACCTGCTCATACAAGTGTATCAAGTGCTGAGATGTGTGAGTCAGTGGTTACCCGCTGACTCGCCTGGCACGTCAGCCCTCCCCTCATTCTTTTGAGAAGTAAATGACCTGGGTCCAACCTTACTGCAAAAGCTCATCATATTTGCCAATGAAACAATTACAGCTGTATCGTGCCATTCAAACGCGGAATATTATTTCTAATAATAAATATAATAAATAAATAATAATTAATAATCTTCACTTCCATCAACTAAAACATCCTCCAGCTCCTGACCAGGCCTGGTTCATGAACTTGACTCCACTCACTGCTAACAGGTTACTCCAGCAGCACTGAGAGATGGGGGCGATGCAGAGAATATATTGACCTCACAAATGTTCAAAAACATAATTCAGTTTCTTCAGGACTAACTTCTCTCGCCTCTGATTTGCTATTTTTACTGCATCACCTTTTTGGCCTATTAGAATTTATTTTATTTTATTTCAGTCTTGCCCATCCCAATTCAAGGGGTTGATTGATATTTGAATCCCGCTGCCTTATTTTTGTAGATGACCTGACGTGTCACCCTGGAGACTTTCGCTGTGATAACCACCGCTGTATCCCCCTGAGATGGAAGTGCGACGGAGACGACGACTGTGGCGACAACTCTGATGAACACAGCTGCAGTGAGTGGCTCCAACAGCACCTGATGTATTGCAATTATTATGTTTTGGAGGCTGATTTTTAAAACTGGGGTACCTAACTTTTCCCCATTAATATTACATAATTCTTGCCTCAACATATAGAATCTTGCAAAAGCAGCAGTGGTCTACACAACATAAAAACAGTAAGAACGAGCGTCTATGACACTTTGGATTGAGAGTTGCTGAGTGAGGCTGGTTCTCTCTTGATCACTTTTCTGTCTGAAAACCTGATCTAAAGATGCCACAGAAGTCAAAATACATGTATGAGAAAACTAATGACAAGGTTCTATGTTTTGTGCCTTGTAAATTAAGTAACCTAACTTTAAACTTGCATCTAGAGTCTGGACCTGTCATCGTTTATTGCATTTCAGTTTAGTAGTGAACTTCTTACAAGAAAAAGTCATGTTTATATAATTTAATAACTCGTACTTTGTAGATTTAGAGTTTAGATTCGGACGTGGATTATTCACATAAAGGAGTGGATGGTGAAAGACAGACCTGCTGTCGGTTTATCAGAAGCGGGAGGTTTTGTAAGAGGCTCAACACTTTGGTGGAGAGCTGAGTACGTTATCAGCTGCCAGAAACAGGCCGTCCTCAGAGCGTCAGAAACGAGGAGTGAGGGAGTCTGTCACCCTTTGCCCCGGAGAATTTAAACACGTCTGAGAACATGTCGGGTAAAAGAATCATTTAGTTTTACATCAGGAGAAAGTGGAATAGCAAATAACATATGAGGAAATGATGAGGTCATGGCAATCACAATGTACGTAGAAAGTGCAGCAAGACTCTTAAGGCAAAGTTTGAACAAATAAATCAGAAAGAATCAGAAGTAGGAAAATAGGGCCGCTCGATTATTGAAAAAATAATTATCACAATATTTTGATAAATAATTAAATATTCATCAACCAAAACAATCAATGTAATATTTATTCTTCTAACAAAACTTTATAAAAACAAATTTTATTTTTGCGCATAGAATAAATAAATAATGCTAATAAAACATAATTTGTCATGTGTTACTGGTTTATATTTTTAATGTTATAGAGCAGTTTCACACAAATTTTTCTTATTGTAGAATGCAATATTGAGGTGATGATAAGAATGACTAATAATGGGACTAAAACAAATCCATCCAACAAGAATGGGATTTCTTTTTTCATTCATTATATTGTGTTTCTGGTTACTATTGAGCAAATCTAATCTTTTCACAAACTCAAGGCTTTGAGAAATTCCATCCATTCATTCATTTTCTTCCCGTTATTCCATTTCTGGGTCGGGGGGGTGGCAGTCAGAGCTGCACCCAATTCACTTAGCACCAGCCCCTCACTGATCCTCCTGCAGGTGGTGAGTCCACAGGGGCCTTGATCTTCCAGCGGGGACTTCAGGCAAAGTGGGGTTACGTGTTTTGCCCAAAGACACAATGACAGCAGACATCATTGGGAGTTGTGAACTAGGTCTCATGGTTGGCTCAAACCCACGACCTTCAGGCTCAGAGGCCAATGCTCTACCAACTGAGCCACTGTCACCCTTAAGCAATTCTTATTTATAAAAAAAACTTCATCAATTAGCGTTCTCAGTGCATTGATTAATATTGTGGGATTTTGTTATTGTCCTATTCTTATTTACAAGTCAATGTCTACATTTAAATGGCAGAATGTGTTTATGTTCCTGGAGTCAAGTGGCTGTGCTCAGTTGTGTTGTTTCCTCAGCTCCGCGCACATGCACCGAGAGTGAGTTTCGCTGCCACAATCTTCGCTGCATTCCCGACCGTTGGGTCTGTGACCATGACAACGACTGCGAGGACAATTCAGATGAAAGGGACTGTGGTGAGTGAAACAGAGTAACACAACAAAGAGACAACAAGGCCCAAAGCAGCTGGGATTTAAAACAGTATTCATTCATTACTGGAAAAAAGTCAAATGTAGTCTTTTACGCGGGAATTTGGAGAGCACATACCCCGCCAAAACCATGGCTCAAAGTGGTAAGGAGGAGGTCTTACCACAACATCCCACCTACACACCAAATAGCAGCTCAATCCGTCCAGTAGTTTTTGTGCCATCCTGTCTAAAGACAAACCGACAGACCTACAGTACTTACAGAGATGACTACAATAATAACACTGTTAAGGCACCATAGTAGCCACATCTGCCCTGCGTTAGAGTGATGAAATTAAGATTGATAATCTATGCCATTGTCCTCTCCAACTACCTCCAACCAGATACATTCTATGCAATGTGGGTAAAGTGTCTTGCTTAAAGGTATATTGGAGGATTTTCCAAAATTTTGGGAAAGAACCTCTCCTTTATACACAATTCTCCGGTCTTATTTGAGGAGCACGTATCAGCAGAAAGTTGTGTTTATGAGATTTTATCAAACAAATGTTTTTTTTTGCAGTTTTGATTCACAGGTGCCCTGTATATTTCATTTAATTGTGATTTTTAAAAGTCTAAATGACAAGGGTCATATTTGAACTCCAGCCCTGTGGTGATCAGCATGATCAGCTCAGGCTGATCACCTCCTGGTCCCAGGACCAGTCTGAAGACGAGAGACAGGGCCTTCTCTGAGAGCCACAGAAGAGTTTTACCTCTGCACAATGTGGCGTTATAATTAATGTCGCCTTTACTGCTATTCAAGACTGTTTTAAATGGACTCTTTGTATACATTAGATTTGAGTTACTTTTAGTAACAATTACAATATTTCAACAATATTACTATAGACGTTTCTGCTTAATAATGATGCGATTACGGTTTATTTGTGTTGCAGAGTTGCGCTCTTGTCATTCGGGGTATTTCCAGTGTGGCAGCGGACACTGCATCGCTGAACGATTCAAATGTGATGGAAATGCAGACTGTCTGGACTTTACAGATGAACTTTCATGCCGTGAGTTGATCTAGACTGTTCCGTCTCAAATGTAACAAAGATGATATTCTTGAGTAACAGATATTCTCTGCTTTCAGCAACACGTTTTCCCAATGGGACATACTGCCCTTCGTTCCTGTTCGAGTGTAAAAACCACGTGTGCATCCAGCCTCAGTGGAAATGTGACGGCGACGACGACTGTGGCGACGGTTCAGACGAGGAGCTCCACCTCTGCTGTAAGAACAATGTCACAGACACATGGACCAATACTCCAACAACACTTTATATAACATTATATGGAATATTTAGTATCTATCATGTTTCATCCCACAGTTTGTGATGACAAGCTTTTGAAAGTATAGTATATACTTTTTAAACTAAATTATAACAGTAATTTAATTTAAAATAATATTATGATAATATTATGATAATGATTTGGAATAGTGCTGTCCCTTCTGTGTAAATAAGAACAGCGTTGATTGTTTTGCTGTAAAACTATAATACTAAGTTTTTCCACACAGCTTCTATCCAGTGCGACACCCCTTTTCGTTTCCGATGTGACAATAACCGCTGCATCTACAGCCACGAGCTGTGCAACTCTGTGAACGACTGCGGAGATGGCTCGGACGAGAAACAGGACAACTGTAAGTCTTCATGAACTATCTCTCTAATACGACTCTTCAGACTCTTCAGACTCTTCAGACCTGATCTTATGTTGTTTACGCTTCAGGCCTGACCCCGACACACGGGCCGTGCTCTGAGGACGAGTACAAATGCAGTAACGGACAGTGCATCCCGCTGCAGTACGCCTGTGACGAGTTCGACGACTGTGGGGACCAGTCGGACGAGCTGGGCTGCCGTAAGTACAACTGCTGCCAGTGAAGCCAGCTCTGGCTCAGTTTGGGCTGAAGGCTTCTATTGTGGAGACGTGTACACCAGTCCAGAGGAGGCAATAACTCAGTATTTTTACTCTAAAAGTAGTTTCCAAAAAGCGTTATATAAAAACCAATTCATTATTCTGATATCTGTACTGTACAACTTATTATTTACTTTTAAGCTCAAATATCTGGACTTGGCTTCTTATAATTTATAATAAAGTTATTTTGCAGATGATGACAAAACATACTGTATAAAAGTGGTTAGCCATGCTTCTAGGTGAATTATTTAATTGTGGCTAGCCAAGTTTAAGTTAAAGACCATTCAACATATTTATTGCCATGTTATTTTTTTGTATGAAACATTTCTGTATTAGTATTAGTGTATACTTTTTTCACTTTTTCCACCTCTGCACTGGTCACTAATCACCTCAGTTTCCTTCTTTTGACTTTGTCTCATCATCATCAGTTATATTGTGTCTGTTGTACTGTCTTTAACGATGTGCTCAGATAAAAAGTAACAGCATGAGGACAGCTGCATCTGCTGCTGAAGTGAATCCTGCAGTTATTACAGAGTATTAAAGTACTATTATACACAAGTGGCTCTTGTGTTTCAGACCAGGGCAGTGGTCACACGTGCAGTGACAACGTCTGCGACCACAACTGCACTGACCTGACAGAGGGAGGCTTCCTGTGCTCCTGCAGACCGGGATACAAACCCAAGGAGGCTGAAAGACACAACTGTGAAGGTGAAAAACGTGTACCCACAGATCGAGACAGAATTGACTTTGTTCTTAAAATGCTGAATCTCAACGTGATTTTTGTCTCAGATATAAATGAGTGTGAAGTCTACGGCACATGCCCGCAGGACTGTAGGAACACAAAAGGCAGCTTTGAATGTTTCTGCGCTGACGGATTTGAGTCGTTTGGTGAACCTCGCGGTACTGAGTGCGCTGCCCAGGGTAAGAAGTGGCCGAAACCATGGCAACACACAGCAAATAATTATGAAAAATTAGGTAATAATTGCTTGAATCGTGTGAATTTACTCTTAATTTGAGAAACCAGATTTATAAGTTTTGCCAATGGGTCAAAGCCAGTTGGTCTTATCTCAATAACTGTTGCTTTATTTTCTCATTCCAAAAGGGACATTTTGTGTATCTTTTTAAAACAAGATTATTTTGCTTGTTCCAGGGTCAAATCTTGTGGTCAAATTAAGATACATTTTTCCAAACTTTGAACTTTTTTTGGCCTGTTTATTATCATTACTTCACACTTCACTGAAAGACAAGTTAGATATATTACCTTGTACTTCAAAAGAACCACAAAAAAGCATTTCAACTCAAGACAAAATGAACCTTTTTGAATCTTTACTGATTCATATTTGTTTTACTTTGTATGGTATTTTACATACACACAATACCATGTCTTTCATGTGTTAAAGCACAAACAAAAACATTGAAGTTACACTGACGTACAATGAAGGTCAAAAAGGATCAGGAGAAAATGTATTAATCCTTCCCTTCACTATTGTTTGTTAGTTTGGCTTTATGTTTAACTTTTGATCCTGATCATGGTCTAACATTCACAGGGAACCCACCAGTGCTGCTCTTACCAGACAACGTTCGAATCCGCCGTTTCAACTTATCCAGTGAGCAGTATTCCGACTATGTGGACAATGCCGAGCACATTCAAGCTTTGGACTATCTATGGGACCCGGAAGGACAAGGCCTCAGTAAGTCTGTCAGAGGAAAAACATGCCATATATTCTTACTTTATGAATCGAATCAACCTGCGGTGTCTGTAGGTGTAGTCTACTGGACGGTGCTCGGACGTGGATCTCAGTTTGGGACGATCAAAAGGGCCTATATGACCACTTTCAACGACCAAGGCAATAATCCTGTGAAAGAAGTCGACCTCAATCTCAGATACATCGCAAACCCAGACGGCATTGCGGTGGACTGGGTTGGCGGGTAAAAGATCAGAAGTTGCTCTCTTCTATAGATTTTATTTCTAGATTGTGTCCTCATTGTGTTTTCATGTTATAGGCACATTTACTGGACAGATTCAGGGACCAATCGCATTGAAGTGGCCATGCTGGATGGAAGATACCGAAAATGGTTGATCCACACAGATCTGGATCAGCCTTCTGCTATTGTTGTTAATCCATCTCTTGGGTCAGTCATGTTTTGAGTCAAATTCAGGTTGTGATTGAAAGTTTCCACCCCCCGCCAGAGATGTCCTTGTTTTAGCCTTATTTTGGAGATTATATATTATATTTTCTTCTTCCCTCAGTATTAGTGGTCATATGAAGCCATAAATTGACTAATAAACATAAAATTATAACTTAATTGAGTCGCTCTGGGGAGATCTCAAATGTGCAGTTCATGCAAGGCAGTCCAGGAATTTACAGGGACTGGCAATTTTGCTTTTGAGTTTGAGATTTCTACTACATGATATTGTTAAAATAGTGTCATTGTGGTTGGAATCAAAAAATCATTTGCTTCGAACCAGGTACAAAATATTTGTCTGTTATATTGATCGATCTAAAAATATGTATTGTGCAGGCTCGAAATAAATACATAAACATATGTTAAAGGGAAATCTGGGGAATGGAAACTTCTACTCCGGCTTTTTATCATCTGAAAATAGAAAACACATTTATTTGACCATAAATTACATCACACAACCACTAAGAATGAGTGAAAACAATGTTAATGTTCATTCAAAACATCCGAAATATGACCAAAACATCTGAGTGTACATTTTCAAGGACAACAATACATATTGATACAGTGTTTTGAATATTGTATTTTTTGGTGCAGGACAATGTATTGGACAGACAGAGGCAGAAGTCCAAAGATTGAGTCTGCGTGGATGGACGGGCAGCACAGAGAGATGCTGGTGGGTGAGGAGGACCTGGGCTGGCCTACAGGACTGGCTGTGGACTACACCAACGGAAACAGAATCTACTGGTGTGACTCCAAAGAAAACATCATCGAATCCATGAAACCGGACGGCACTGACAGAAGAATGGTCATATCTGGAGGTAAAACCATCAGAGAAATACACACCTTGACACCAAACTAAATTCTTTCGCTTTCTCTTTTTAGACATTGGGAACCCGTACAGTTTAGACGTGTTTGAAGGTCACGTGTACTGGACCACCAAAGAGAAAGGAGAGGTGTGGCGGACTAACAAATTCGGGAGTGGTCACAAAAACAGGGTACTAACCATTAACCCCTGGCTCACACAAGTCCGCATTTACCAAGAGCATCGGCACAACCTCACAGGTACCAGCAGGATCTTAACCTTTTGATATGTTTGCACACTCCCTGTCTTTTTGCACAGACTGATTCTATCAACGTAGTATAGCAGGATATATTTTATGACCCATATGTTTTTAAATACATACAGTAGGTCTTGTTTCTTTTCAACCCTGCAGAACCCAGACTTTAAAAAAATGTAGAAAATAAAGTTATCTGTGGTATTTTTTTGCAATGGGGAAAGAAAAAGAAAGTTAATATTTTTGTAAAGCAACATTCAATGACCACATTTGTATCACATTTGCTTCTTTAGGTTCTCATGCACATACAGTACATTTGTTAATGCATTAAACAAACAAAAAATCAGACTTCTTTTGTAATAACCTTTGAACTTTTTGCTGCATATTTGTAACCAAGAGTGCTACGGGGAAAACCTTGGTACAGAAGTAATCCTCATTATGTTCCTCTTGATCCAGTGACCAATCCATGTAAGAGTGTGTGCAGCCACCTGTGCCTGCTGCGACCCGGCGGCTACACCTGCAGCTGCCCACAAGGGTCCTCCACAGTCCAGTTTGACTCCAACGTCTGTGATGCAGGTAATTTCAACATGGACTAGTTCTGCACTTTTTCTGTTCGTCTCTGGTCTTCTGCACGGCTGCCATTCTATCGTATCTCTGTGCTGTGAGTTTTTGGTGGTGTTGTTTATGCTCGGCTTTCGCTCTTGCAGCCATTGAGGCCGCGGTCACAATGCCGCCTGCATGTAGGTGTATGAATGGTGGGACCTGTTACTTTGATGACGAGGCTCTTCCAAAGTGCAAGTGAGTCGGACAGTAATGGTCTCCGTCAGGAAAAGTCACTCTTTTGTTCTTCACTTTGGATTGTTTTGGCGACATGCATTTTGAGAAGATGTTTTTTGTGCATGTTTTACAGATGTCCCTATGGGTATTTGGGCAGTTATTGTGAAATGGGGAAAGTAAAAGGCGTTCCAGCTGGGACAGGTATGTTCCCTTGTGGTAGAATGTTAAAGCAGCTATACCCGTTTTTTTGGGGGGTTTTTTCAGTTTGAGTGTTTAGTACCGCCCCCAACTCCCTCACAGGCTTCTCAGTGTGAGAAACCCTCCTACTCTCCCCTACACTCTCCTCCCACAGAGCCCCATACTTTTATTTGTGACCTGATACATATGCAAACATTAGCATGAGCGCAACTTCTAGTAGCTGTACAACAATCACTGCTGAAATGATACAAAAGCAACGCACTGGTAACAAAATATACAGTACAATAACTGAAAGATTACCGCTGTGTATGCAGTTACAGCCAGACGAGGTAGAGCCACTTTCTGCTGCCATGCTGCTGTGTGTACTTGCGCTGTAGACGCTAAAGGAGGAAGCCTGTTCGTAACTGCGCCACTCCTCGTTCGGTGATTGGAGGAGAGCGAACGTTACGCAAAGTCTCTACTCAGAACTTTTTACGGCCTGATTTCACACACAAGCTGAATCAATGAGCTCAAGTTTTAAATTTAATTTGATTTTAATACAACTTCTATGTAGTAATAAATATTTGTATGCACTCATTAGAAAAAAAATCAGGTATAGTTCCTTTAATGGTATCTTTTAATGTGGCGAGGCAGGTTCCTTGATTATATGTAAGAATATAATTTATCAAATGTGACCTGACAATAGCACTGTGCTGTTTTGCTTCTGCAGCAGTGGCCGTCTTACTAGCAGTCATTGTCATCATTATTACCGGGGCTCTGGCTGTTGGGGTTTTTCTCAACTACAAACGAACTGGATCTTTTATACCATCGATGCCAAAGTTGCCAAGGTTTGGGGTTTTACAAAATTCAGATACAAATTATTGCCAAACATTGTACCCGTACATGGAACACATCTTTGTTTTCCTGCAGCCTCAGCAATCTGGTGAAATCTGGAGATACAGGGAATGGAGTGACCTTCCGCTCAGGTGATAATGTGGACCTTGGGCCAACACATATCGGTGTGTCATTTATTGACACAGCCATGCAGATGGTGAGTGCAGAAGCAGCAAGTTAATAACAGAAACAACCATTAGGTGCTCTATTCATTAACATCTGCCAACTGCTTTTGGTTTTAATGTGTTTTTGTACATCACTTATTCTGAACAGGATGATCATTTTGCACTGGAAACTGGCAGGCAACCAATGACCTTTGAGAATCCTCTATACACCAACGCAGCGGGGGGTTCCGGAGACCCTGCAGTTATTCACGCTACACAGGTGGATACTAGTTTGATCATGATTTAAGTAAAATCTTTGAATACAAATTGTTATTATTTTTATTTTTCCAAATCTGTTGCGAACAGGTCACAGTAAACGTGAGCACTGATGCGTTGGCAAACAATTTTGTGAATCCAGTGTACCGTGGAGAGCAGAGTGCGGCCATAGTGAATACTGCGGAAAGCTCCACGGCTGAAAAGGTACCATTAATAACTCGGGGTTAGAGTAAGGATTAGTTTATCTAGCAGCGGACAGACATGACAGACGTATTCTCACATGGCGTTGCAGGAGTCAAAGTGGAGCCAATTCAAAAGGAAATTGAGGCCTGGAGCTACATTTGACAACCCGTCATACGCAGAGGTGAAATATATTGACTGATTTAGAAACGTCCTCGTACATTTGTGTTTATTAATAAGTATATTACTGTTTAGATGAAGGATGAGAAGCCGGTGGGGAGCAACAGGGACCCGTCTGAACCGCCTGCGTTTGTGCCTCCAGTCAAACAGCAGAAGAAGGACCGCCCCGCCACCTTCTCTCCCACCGAAGACACGTTCAAAGACACCGCCACTCTGGTCAAAGAGGACAGCGACGTATAACGCTCGTTCTGACCATGGGGACAAACACTAATTCTTGCACAGAATTTATTTTTTTATGCAGTCTGTGTACAAAACTCTTGAGAGAGGTCTGTTGTATGCCTTCAAACGTGTCTCATGCCAACTCTTGTTTTGTGTCTTTCATTCTGATGTACGTCCTGTATGTCTTTGCACTGATGCTGCTGATACTAGATTTGTTAATGTTGTATATTTGTAAATTTGAAGATGTAAGTTTAATGTCCTGTTTCATATAGATTCATAGTCTAAAAGAATAATGTACAGTACTTATAATGAAAGTTGCCATGATGAAAACATGATACATTTTCTGAATTTATTGTTTATATATACCTCATATCAGGGCTTCAAATAATCACTTACTCAATTACTCTGACCAAAAATACTTGAATACGTTTTGCATCAAGAGATATTTGTTAAAAACACACGTCGAGGTCATTTTCACAGTGATTGTTTTGTATCTGAATAAGGAACACTCTGATCATCCCAGAATTATTCATTTTGTAAATTGTTGCTGCCAAGACTGAATGAATAAATTTCTTATTTTGTAAAATGGTCTGAACGTCTTCTCACAAACAGCAAAAAGAAAAATGTATCAAGTTACTCACAAGTAATGCAGCTCCAACTACGACTTTATCATGTGTGCTTCAAGTTTTGATCCTATAATGATTGGAAGAATTTATTTTGAAAAGGCCAAATTTAACACACAGGTTCAATTCCAATGAAAAGGAGTGAGTAGATGTATGAAACTAATATTTCTGTCGGGACTCAATGACCTCATCTATTTTGTAGTAAAAAAAACATGCATTCTAATGTTACTAAACTTCAGTCAAAGCCTTAGGTCCATAAACTCTAATAACTGCCTTAATTACATGAAATACAAGCCATTTGTATTTTTAGCATTTCTAATAATTAAACTTCTGCTTTATTCCACAGAATTCGACACATTAGAAGTCCTCCATTTACTCATTAAACCAGAATCCCGATCTCAGTGATGGTTTCTGCATGCTCTCAGGAAGTTCTTCTATATTTGCTTCATATAATACTAAGTCTGTTCTGTATCCCACCAGGTCTTTGAATGTGATTTTAAGAACAGTTTATATGTGTGGTCTCTTTATTAAGACGTTGTGACATCATCTTGCCAAATGCATTCATCTCAGATCATTTTAGTGATAATGTCCACCTAAATCTAATCAGAAATGCATTTTTCCTCCATCATGCACTTTTAGGTGAAGGAAGAAGGATCTTAACCACAAAATCAGCCACAAAAGACGGGAGGTAGGACAGAGGGATCCAGAAAAACTTGGCGTCCCAGCCGGCTGCGTATCGGCTCCGAGGGAAGAGAGCGGTCAGTGCGTGCTCCATGCAGTTGGTGACTTTGGAGAGATCAGAGCTGCACAAGAGCCGCAAAGAGAAGTGCTGTGCTTTTGCATCTGATGTGGAAGACAAATAAATGACACATTCAACTTTATAATTAAAAAGCTTTAACAATAGCATCTTGATATTATTATTTTTAGCTTGTTACTTTACTGTTATTTCTATTTTTATTTTTTGTGGAATACGCAAGCTGCTGTAACAACGCGATTTCCCTTGTGGATCAATAAAGTCTGTTTAAGTCTCTCTAATCACAGGGAGGTGAAGTGCAGGTGTTTTGCTTACATTCAGTAATGTAATTCTCCCCATACGAGTCTTTGACGTCTTGTGGCAGTCGAGTCCAGAGCCTTTTCAAGTCAACTTCAATGACTTTGGAATTGGTTATAGCAGTTTTGAAAAATCCAGGCTCAATAATGCCTACTTTGATGCCAAATTGACACATGTCCCTCCTGAAGACAAAAGAAAATATGAATCTTTCTTTACTTATTCTACCTCAAAACTATGATGTCTTAAAATCCTAGTTTGTGTACCTGAGTGAGTCAGAAAAGGCCTCCACACAGTACTTAGAGATACAGTATCCTCCTCCGGTGAGGGACAGTCGGCCAAAAATGCTGGCCACGTTGACCACTCTGCCCTGGGCCTGTTTCAGCAGTGGCAGAAATTGGAGCGTTACATCAATGACGCCCAAAAGATTCACATCCAGAACTTTGGTGAAATCCTCAGGCTTCATCCACTCGACCGGACCGATAGGAATGGACGTACCAGCATTATTCACAAGACCCCACAGACCTGCGCACAGTTAAATAAAGTTGATTACATGAAATACTGCTAAATATAGGTTGCTACAAGAGTCATGACTGTTAGTGACATTGTGTATTTTGAGTTAGTCCACAGCATGTTTAGATGACATTATTAAAGAGGCTTCCATCAACACCTGGAAGTTCTGTGAATGGACTTCCAATTCTCCTTTGTTTTTCTAATTTTGTTGTGCTGATTTGTTCTCATTAAAGTATTTTTTTTCTTACATTCTTAACTTATTTATTTTTGTAACATGATAAAATATTGTTAACAAAATACAATGTAAACGTGGAGGGTTTTATACTAAGTTTTTACCATTTACAGCACCAAAACTTTAGTTAGTGCACCATCTTGTGGCCAGTTATTTTACTACTGCTCCTGCTGTTGCCCCCATTTACATTTCATCAACTTAATTTGTATTTTCCGTTACATTGTTATGTTAATATCACAATAGGTTTGTATGCATGGTTAGGGTTATGTTAAGCATTTAGTGCCGAAGTCAGATCATCAGTCAGAAATGTTCCAAACTTTATAATTGCTCGAGGGGGTAGATATATTTGTACAATTATCTAACCACTTTCAGTTTCTCCCAGAGCTCTATAAAACGTCTCAGTGAAAAGAGTAATTACAGCCGAGCTTTGACTTCTTACTGGGAGCAAGAGAAATCTGAGAGAAATGTGTTATCTTCTTTGCTGTCAAAATAAGAGAACTTTTAATCCCACATGACACAAAACAAATTTCCACATGTAAATTTCAGCCTCTGGGAATTGTGCGGTAATAAAGGAGGTATGCCCTTTTCTCAGGAGGAGGAGGATGATGTGTTGGTGATGGGGTGGTCCAGGTTTGCCTTTATCTCGGCGGTGCTTCACTCGGACTGGCACAGAGCCGCAGCACCCCCTCGTACCCCTCACCTCTCTGTCCGACCTCTGCTCTCACAAACTCCACCGCCCTCTGGATGCTGGTGCTGTCGGCCACGTTCAGCAGCACAGTCTGGAGCCTGGAGGAGGTGGAGGAGGACAGGTCCCTCGCACCCTTCTCTGTGAGGCAGGCGGCGATGACCGGGAGGCCCTTGGAGTCCAGCTGCCGGGCCAGGAGGTTCCCGAAGCCACTGTCGCAGCCCGTGATCAGCACTGTCCTGTGGGAGAGCTGGTCCACGGTGAAGGACTCGCGGATATAACGCGAGATGAAGAGGATGGCGGCCAGGAGAGCCGTGCAGGACAGCAGCGGATGAGACAGGGTCACCTCAGAGAACTAGAAATCACAGGAAGAATGAAAGAAAGAGGTCCACACAAGGGAAAGTTCAGTGTTTTTATCCAGGGCAAGAACAGCAATAACAATAATAATAAAACGGTTTGAAAAAATGCTTTTTTTTTTTGGACTCTCAAAGACACTTCATGTCATTTTTCATTCACTTCATGCAGGGTGGTGATGAACTACTACTGTAGCTACAGCTGCCCTGGGGCACACTGACAGAAGCAACCAGTATGTGCCATCGGCCCCTCGACTACCACCAAACATTCACACACACACACACCAGACTCATTTTTAGGCAATGTGGGTTAAGTGTCTTGCCTACGTGAATAACTAGCACTTTACAGCTACCCCACTGTGGCACCTGTTCTTCCCAGAGGTCTCCCGTCAATGAACTAACCAGGCCCTGCCCTGCTGAGCTTCAAAGGTCCAATAGAATCTAGCTTTCACAGGCAGGATGGCCACAGTAGAACTGCAACAAGTACTCTAACAACATATCAATCAATCAATCCTTAATTATCTCACAGATGGAGAAATTCAGTTTGATGAATAAACATCAAAGCCGGCTGCGGACAACATATCGGCGCTCCTTATGACAGTTATTCAACAGCAGAGAGGAAAATATAGGGTTAGGGTTTGAAATTTAGAAGAAATAAATTAAAATAGATTTTTCATTACTTAAAAAGGTATATAGGAGGATTTTTTACTTCCGGGTGGATCATCAAGACTATTGGTCCTCCCAATATTCTGGTGACACGTGTTCGTCAAATAAGACCAGAGAGTTTTGTTCAAAAAAGCGGAGAGGGAGGTTCTATCATAAAATTTGGGAAAATCCTCCTATACATCTTGAGTTATAGAGGACAGAAAACAGGAACAACATTATTAGAATTCAAAGCAGGGTGATTTTTATTTTTATCATGCACCGATACAGTATGTTTGTAAAGGTAATTAATGTCGAGAGAATGACTGCAGTCTTTATCATCTGCCAACTGTGGCCACAAAAATTCCCATTTCAAAACTGCAGAAAATAGGCTAAAGGTTGTGAAAAGCAGGTTTTGAAGCCTGCATTATTAAGAGGCAAATTTATGTTTCTATTTTAATGCAGCAATAATTAAAATTACAATTGCAAATTCTATTAGACAGCAGAGAGACAAAAAAGTTGGTATTTTCAAATTAATCTTGAGCCTATACCAATTTATTAAAGTCAAATCTGCATTTTTAGTTACACTTTTGATGCCTTTCCTTATCACACAAATAGTCCACAGAGATAATTTTGTGAAATATATTATTGCCATTGTTGACGCATTAATATTTAGAGCCAATTTACAATGAACCATACAACAATAACTAATCATCAGTCAACCAAGATATGTTTTAAAGCATACATAACCTCACCTCCAAAAAATCCATGGGGAAAATCTGAAGAAAAAACAAAGCCGTGAGAATGTTTTAAACCTCCTGAAGGTGGCGTCAGAGCACATTGTAAACAAGTAAGCAGTTGTTCTGTAGACAAAGACTTCCTACAGATGTTCAAATCTTCAAAAAACAAAGAACACTTACTTCTGAAGTCTTTTGAAGTCATGAAAGAAGTGAGTGCGATAAGGAGTGTCTCTGGTGGATCGCTGTTGTTTGGTGCCAAGGTCCAAGACAGTTGTGTAATGAACGACACGAGCTCAGCCATTCTCTGATAACCACTGTTACCTTCCCCACGGAGCAAATGAGGTGAAAGCATGATGTGGGGATAAACACAGCGGCTTGCTGCGATGTTGTGACATGCCCTAAATAACTAGATCAAAAATGCTGTAGAAGATAGTTTATTTTATTTTTTACATCTTCGATTCTGTAACAGTGGTACACATGACAATAGTTGTATTGGTATTAAACTGAGTATAATGTAATCTGTCTATACGATTGTCAGTGATATTAAACTTGAACCAACTCAACCAACATTATTATTCCTTAACCATATAAAACAGTATATAAAGAGATAGGAGCACCTACTGCAGTGTGTTTTTATATAGTGAGTTTATATATGAGTATTTGTACACAGGGGCAGTCAACACGTCTGCTCTGGTAGGTTTTGGCATGTTAGGCAATTCCTGAAGGAATACTTTTAGGAAGTATGTAAACAACAATAAGAATGGTGTTTTAGGTATAAATTGCCTTCATGTAAAACATATTGCTACAAGTGTTATTGTTCTGTTTCTATTCGGAGCTTGACGGTGTTTCTGAGGAACCACCAGTCTGCCAGCCAGGTGGGCATGTAGGACAGAGGCAACCACACCAGCTTGGCGTCGAACCCCGGAGAGTAGCGCTTTCGCGGGTGCACGGCGGAGATGGCGTGTTCCATGCAGTTTACCACTTTCATCAGGTTTCCGTCAGTCAGCTGAGAAAAACGTCGCTTCATTTCTGCAATCACTGTAAATATAAAAAAAAAAAAAAAAAAAAAAATCAATTTAGCAATGTTATTTTTCAATTCTTTGAAGGTGAGGTGTTCTATCTCTATATTAAGGACACTTCTCTCATTTTATTTATGCAGATCAGCCCATCACCAGGTACATAGTAGTACATAATCAGATATGTCAATTCATACAGGCATCAAAATACTGATGACATCGAAATGTCCCCAATGTGGGACAAATAACGGCTTATTTTATCCAGTTTTTGTCCCTACACATAGTAAACTAAATAAATAAATGAATAAACAAAATATGTTCTAGAATGTGACTACTTACTCCTATCACAGTAATCCTGTCCGTAGTCGCTCTTCACGTCTTGTGGCAGCCGGTCCCAAAGCTTCTTAAAGTTATCTTGCATCATTTCTGCATTTGTCACATTTGTTTGGAAGAATCCAGGTTCAATGCAGCACACCTTAACCCCAAACGCTGTCATGTTTAGTCTAAAAGACAAAAACAAGTTTGCTCACTCTGTACATTCTGTACACTGCGTACAGGTCCTACTTGAAGTGGCCTTACCTCAGACTGTCATTGAAAGACTCCACTCCGTACTTGGAGATGCAGTAGGGCCCCCCGAACGGACTGACACGACCAAACACACTGGCCACATTCACCACTCGTCCTTTGGCCTTCTTCACCAGAGGCAGGATGCTCAGGGTGACATTGATGACCCCATCCAGGTTGACAGCCAACATGCCCCTGTAGTCCTCAATATTGAGCCAGTCAGTGGGGGCCGATGGGAGAGAGACACCTGCATTGTTCACCAGCGCCCACAGTCCTATAAAGAAACCATGTCTGCATTTTAGTCATTTACCCCCACATACCACATCCATATGCACTTGTTCCACGCACCCTTGTTTCCCACCAGACTCTGGATGGTGTCTGCTGCCTTTGTGACACTTCTGCTGTCGGTAACATCCAGGTGGATTGTGGTGAGTCGGTTGGAGGCGGCCTTCTTCAGCTCATCTTCTCCCTTCTCGGTGTAGCAGCCACTGATAACGCGGTATCCCAGTTTATCCAAGTGACGGGACAGACAGCTCCCAAAGCCACTGTCACAGCCGGTGATGTACACAAACTTGTCTTCGATGTGAGGGACTTGTTTCAGCTCCTTCAGCCAGCGGTAAATCAAGTAAAGAGCCACCAGTCCAAACCCATACAGGAACATTCTGAGGGTACATACAGTTGAGATGGTTTTTAACTATGTCGTGTTCACCAAACCTCTGTAAGGACTTCAAATATAAAGGGCTATTCATTTACTTTCAAAAGTATCTGTACTTATGTTTACTTTTATTGAGGGAGAAATACATATAATTATATTATCATGTCTATTCATGAAACTCAGTCACAGATAAATCTATTCTAGAGTCTTGAGTTGTTTGACGTCTTCTGGAAACATTGTGTCCTGATGTAGTGCCATAAGAATGTTAGAACACAAACGTCACAATGTTTAACATCGAAGCCCACATTAATGGACTTACACGAGATAGAGAGCTCGGAAAGGGGCTGTTTTTTAAAGTTCGGTGTAAAGTTCCATTATGCCCGTGTGTCTTCATTTAGAAATTAATATATATGAAAAGATTCTATTCTATGCTTGAGGTAAAAAGCAAACAGGCTCAACAGAAAGGCAAACTCAAAGTAAAGTGGGCCACTTTACATGGAGAACATATCCGCCATCCATTCATTCATTTCCCACACATTTGGGAACTCGCTCCACCCCTTACTATTATTACACTACAAACTTGGATATTTCTCATGAGCAAATGAAACAAACCCGGACTTCATATTTTGGACCGTGTTTTAGCGGTACTTACGTGTAGCAGCAGAGGTACTGTGTGGAGGTCGTGATGTGGTGTTCCGAGAGCACAGAGCAGTGAGCAGCAGGTCTGACCTGTCTCTGCTCTTCCCCTGACCCGTCCGACCCGTCTGATCTGCAGACTGCAGTCAGGAGGAACACCGCGGACATGTGTTTGTTCTGTAACCACAGGCGCAGCGGCGCCCTCTGCTGGACGGAATCTCACATGTCCGCGGATTTGGATTTTGTAAATTATTTAATTTGTTTCATATTATGGCTTAGCTTGGAAAACTCATTCTGTCGTGTGTCCATATGCACTTATGGTACTTAGCTTGGTGTTAGCCACGCTTCACCTCCATGGTGCTTTAAGATGGGAATGTATCAACGCGGTTTTGTGACGGAAGGGCCTGTCTTTCTTTACCTGCTTATGACGCAACTTGACAAAACATAGTTCATTCTAAAATCTCAAATTCATATATAAAACCTTATTCCTTGTTACCCATTATGAATGCCATTTTTTTCTGTATATAATGTATATATTTTTGTTTGTCTTCGTCACATTTGCGTTTTTAGTAATTGTTAGGATTTAACAGACAGAGACGGATCGTGGTGTGCCAAACTCTGGAAGTTTATTTAAGTTTCTCTCAAGTTCCACTGGTTTACTCTGTTTCCTTCCCTCAGACAGAATAAAGGCAGTACACAGTTTATATAGTCATTGTCACGTCACACATCGAAAGACATACGTGTCACAAAGAGACAGTCAAATCATAGTCATAACATGGAGTCCTTGTAGAGTCCTTGTACAGTCCTGCACGTAGGCCATATTGCTATCTAATACTAATACCCTCCCCTTTGATCACATAATCACATGTGATCACTCAAATCGATCAATCAATAAAATGGAAAAAGAAAAAAAAAAAAAAAAATCAAAAAAAAAAACTTTACAAAATTATTAAAACTCATAATCATCAAATCAATATCAGTGGATTTTATCCTCTATCCTGGGAAAAAACAAAACAAACAAAAACAAATCAAAAATAAAAACAAGCAAACACTATTGGACACCCAAGAACTCAGCAGATTCAGTCAAAACACAGACAAAAACGAGCTGAGTCTCAAATTTGAAGCTAATTTCACTTTTATTACTCTATACTTTTATTCTAATGCTGATTGTTTACACTTCACTTCACTGTATTATTTTCACTTTTCAATCTTAGACTGTGTACTTTACTTTGACTATTCACTATAGTTTAAAACTATTCTAATCTATTCACAAATATGTTTTCATATTTGCTTATATTGAGCCATATTCTTAAACTAATAAATCTCTCTGTGGTATTACACTCTCATTATCAGTGGCTTATTATCAGTGGGATTTTGCTCCATGTCTATTCTCATTCTCAGGAATAAAACTGTGAACACAGTAAGGCAAATGGTCAACATTTACACTTCTATAGTGGTCAGTGATTTATTACTTTTTATTATCTAAAGATATTATTGTCAGGCATTTGGGATGAATGTACATCATTAATCAAATTAGTATTATCCTAATAGTAGCTAATTAGGTTTGGGGTTGGGGTCAGTTATTCTACAATGGTATTTGTGCTGGAAACTTCTCAATATCTAAATATCTACTATTGTGTTTTTGGGCTACACCCAAATACATATAAAACTGTACATAAACTGTAATTAACTTTATCTACTTTTGAAGTAAATGCTTGTGAAATGGTCCTTTTACCATTTGATATTAGCACTGGCTACAAATAATCTCTATTTTTGAAAGAATCTATGGTTGATGCATTTATCTAATTCTATATTTCCTCTATTTTTTAACTCCAAAGCTCGGCTGCAGCTTGAGCAAAGGCATATTTCTAGTCTGTGACTTCTGTCACTTTTAATGGCTGTAACATAACTCTGATTCTAATATTATATCTGCTCTATCAGAAGGATAACATTGTAGGGTACTATTTTAACTCTTATGTGGAAATGTGTTTATGAACAACAAAGGAAGTCAAATTCTACTCTTTTACTACTATTTAACATCTACTAAAACGCTACAATACTCATACTTTATCATTTTCAAAGTTTTTGTCTGTCAGATGTCTGAATACTTAACATTTATATTGCATTTGGTCACAGGTTCTGGTTGTAGCAATAGCATCGGCAATAGACGTTTTCATTGGCTGGTTCTTGTTCTGCAAATGTCTGTGTCCAATAGATCATCAGATGTCCAGAAGCTAGGGACAAACAAAAACAAAAGAAAGAATCATGAGTATCTCTCTCATTTAGCACTCATCAATGTATGATTTTAATAATATAAACATCACTCCCCAGTTTTTCTCTCCAAGGTTCTCAGGGTCCTCAGGGTGAGTCTCAGTCTGGTCCATCAGGTCAGGTCATCTTGGACATCAGTAGGGTCCAAGCCATGGTTCTGGTCTCTCCAGTTGGACATCGGATCTCCAGATACAGTCTTTTCAGTTGAAGCACATCAGGTCATTTGCGATGCACTTCTGGTCAATGGTGCAGTGTCTCAGTTCCTGTACACAGCTTGTTATGCAATAGTTACTCTCTATGGTTAAGTCATTTTGATTCTACTTTAACACAATTTCTATTCATGCTGTTGCTAATGTCCCTTAGACAAAAGCAAGCGCAATGATTCAGTTTACTTCTCTAATTTGTGTTTTTCTCAGATCTAATTCTAATCAATGTAATTACTTCACACAGTACAAAATCAACAAATCAAAAGTGTCAGGACAGAGGTCAATTATGTCCATGACAATATAGAATTCAAATGAACATTTCTGGTCTCAAAAAATACTGATTCAACTAAAGATTCAAGTGATAGACAATTAAAAATATTTGTTTACATTGGAGTAAACTTTTAAAATGCTTTTTCTCATGTTCTGCTTTTTCATGTATCTATATGTAAATGTGAATGTGTGAGTGTATGTGTGTATGTGTGTATGTGAATTTTGGGGTTGTTTCTCAAGACTCCTCGAACCACCTGTAGGTCTCAAAGGTCACACTGTGGTGATGTAAACCAACTGGACACACTCTCAACTCTCATTCAGGTCTCTCCCTGATGCTCCACCATCACGTCTCCAGATACCTCTCTTTCATGGCCCCGGTCTCACTCCCACTTACTTCTGTAGTGGGGGGAGGGGCAAGGAGGTGGCATTTCCCTTTGCTCTTGATCTGTGACCTGTGGCTGGGTGGGCTTTGCGCTGTCCAGTGTCCAGCAGTCCAGTGACCCTGTACAGTGTGTGCTCTTGGTTCTGGAAAACAACCTTATAGTCAAATTAAAAACAACAGAGATTGTGAATGAGATTGTTTTTCTCTCTGAAGTCAAAACAATTTGAGCGCTCTTGGCTTTCCCAAGCGCTATGTAAATAAAGATTACTTATTCTCTTACTAATGATGACATTTTAAAACCAGAAACTCAATATAAAAAACAAGACTCAAATCTCTTAAACCTTCTTAAACTTTAAAATATGTATTATGTACTTTTGCACTGTGTGATTAATTATCTATGCATTTATCTCAGCATATATTTTACTAATTTAAAATAATTGCAGCATTTTTCAAATGAAGTCAGTATGAATTGGAGCACATTTTAGACCAGTCTCCTCTGCTGTGGCATCAGCAGGAGCAACAAGGTCAGGCGTGTAGTCAAAACAAAAACAAAAGTCACCACTTGCATGTGAATTGGGTAGTTTAACTTAATAATATAATACTTTTACAGCCTAATTCCCTCTTTCTTTTTTAGACGAAGTCTACAATCATTAATCACTTTTAACAGATTCTAATTTAAATGTTTGAAAAACGGCTTTTGTAACTAAAATAAAAAATACATGAAAAAATTCTCACAAACAGCTATGAAATATATCAGAGATACAATAATGGACTCACAAAATAAGCAGCAGATTTAAAAAGAAAAGCAAAGCTTTTTGTACTAATCTTTGGGTTTCAAAAACATACTAATTCAAAACTTCTATTCCCTAATGGTGTTTAAAAACGTTTAACTGTGTCTAACACAATGTTCAAATGGCAAATTTAGCAAATTTAACGGAATAAAAACTATGAAAAGCCAAATTCCTAAAAGCAGTAGCTTTGCTTCAGATTCACAGCCAGAGCAGCGAAGGAGGGGGCCGTTTCCCTGACAACGGCAGCAGATAGAGCGACGCACACACACAGGCAAAAAGATACAGAAGAATAACTTTCAAGATTACTTTGTTAAGCGAATATAACTGATGTTGTTCTTTATACTTTTGTCATCCAAATCTAGAAGTGATCACTTTCCACACTAGTAACAAAAGGCACTCTTTAGTGTTTAACGTTTCCCTTTTTATAATTACTTTTAATTCTACACCATGGTTTCTCTCAAAGGGACTTTAACCCTGAAGCTTCTTCTCAAAGGGACTTTAACCCCGAGGCTTTTCTCAAAGGGACTTTAACCCGAGACTTTCTCAAAGGGACTTTAACCCCGAGGCTCAAAGGGACTTTAACCCCCGAGACTTTCTCAAAGGGACTTTAACCCCGAGGCTCAAAGGGACTTTAACCCCGAGACTTTCTCAAAGGGACTTTAACCCCGAGGCTCAAAGGGACTTTAACCCCGAGACTTTCTCAAAGGGACTTTAACCCCGAGGCTCAAAGGGACTTTAACCCCGAGACTTCTTCAAAATACAATTTAGAGAGTTTGACAGACCCCAAAAAACAGACCAAAATTTAGCTAATATCCAATTATGCAGACTTTACATATTAAAAAAGGTGTCTGCTTACCTTATTCTTGTCAAACCGGTTCCAAGGACTGTCCGAGAGGTCTGCCAACTCTTTTCCGCGTCGGAATCTTCAATTTAAAAAACAAAAGTGACAGAAGCAACAAGAAGCATCCAGGAACAGCTCTTCCAGCCTGCTGGAATCTCCGCTCCCAGACACAGCATGCCGATCTCTCACGCAGAGGAAAAGAAACAGAGCAAACTCCCTCAAAACAATCCAGAGAATGGCACACACTGAGCCGCGCATTCTCCACCAAATCTGTTAGGATTTAGCAGAGAGAGACGGATCGTGGTGTGCCAAACTCTGGAAGTTTATTTAAGTTTCTCTCAAGTTCCACTGGTTTACTCTGTTTCCTTCCCTCAGACAGAATAAAGGCAGTACACAGTTTATATAGTCATTGTCACGTCACACATCGAAAGACATACGTGTCACAAAGAGACAGTCAAATCATAGTCATAACATGGAGTCCTTGTAGAGTCCTTGTACAGTCCTGCACGTAGGCCATATTGCTATCTAATACTAATATAATAATATATTATATTTAACGTTTAGCTAAAGATTTTACCAATTTTAATGCAGTTTTTGATTTGCTCCTTTTTTAGATTTATAATTGTAAGGGTACTTGTATGTAATTGGAAAATATGATTTAATTATTGATATAATAAGATCAGTATAAGTTCAATGAAGTGTAAATTCTGTCTTCAATTTGTTGTTTGAAAATATTTTTATTTTAAAATTGAATACATTCATTGTTTCAAGATCTTAAAAACTTCAGACTAAACTATCTCCAGGTGACAGAGTCTCTTGCTTATGTGGCCGTGAGGAAGGGTCCTAGGCGTGGGTCTGCTCGCAGCTGCTGCTCCAGAGCTCGATACCTTTGAGGAGCACAGTTCTTGTGCCTGTAAGACACAAACAAACATGTTTCCGTACATTGTGTTGCATTATATTTATTTCCTACAGACTCATTTCACCTTCAGGCGAACTCTATTTATCATCTCATATCTAAACTTGCACTCAGGTTACTGAGTGAGAGGTAATTCTATCTCTAAAAGTGAACTCAAGTTAGTATGGGTTTGTCCTGAACTTTATGCTGCTCTTTGAGACGCTGCACTTACATTTGGAGGCGTTGTCGTGCCACTTCAATCTGTAGAGTCAGAGAGTCGTGGTCTGCGTCCTCTTGCTGCAGGGCCTGGGTCTCCTACAGAACACAGACTCACCATGTTCACAGGTGATGGGTATTTTGAGTAAACACTTTTAAATTGATCCCATAGAGATGCCATATTTATCCCAAATGTCACATGTACATTTCTCCATTGTGAGATCAATAGAGATTTATCTTATTATAATATAATATAATATTATAATAACGATAATATTTTCCCCAGTGAAAAATTAACACTCAAACCTCCTCTATGCGCTCCTGCAGCAGGCAGGCATGCTGGACCATGCGGCTCCTGAAGTCCTGGAGACAGTCCTGGTACACGGTCTGGGCCTGGTCTGGACTCATGTCTGTGGTGCCGTTCAGACGCATCAAGAACGGAGCCAACACGTCCTTCTCTTGCTCCTCTAACCAGCGCATCTCTTCCCCCGCGAACATCAACTATAGGCATACACCATATTTTATTTAAACAAGGAAAATAATTAAAAATGATATTAAGCATTGTACAGACAGAGATTTGTATTATTTGAGAGCACAGCTTACAAAAGTCATGGAGCTATTTGGGGGTGCTAGACCCTGAAGGGCCTTGTGGACAAAAGGGATTTGAAGTTCTGATCAGGAGCCAATGTACAGTACGTTAAGTGCTTTTTCTGGTCTGAGTTAAGCCACAGACTTAATGTATGTTTACAAATGCATAATACGTCTTAATTATTTGATATTGTAACATATCTATGACTTAATTGACCTGTTCTCATGTATCTTCAGTTTTGTCAGGACAGAGCTGCAGAGTGTGTGCATAATGAAGGCTGATTTTCATCTAATGGGAACACAAGGAAAAAATAAAATATTCTACAATGAGGGGTCTGTGACATGAGCTTGTCCACTCTGCAAAGGCATTGGATTGTGGTTTTTGTGTGTGTCTGTTTATGTAATCGGCATGGGTAACATAATGTGGTGTATTTAATTTCCCAACTGTCCCCCTCCAAAAAATATCCTGCATGTCCTTGTCCACACTAAATACTATGAACTGACAAAACATTTTAATTTTTTTGTAAGAACAATGTGTGTGTAATTCAGACATTAACTGAGTACCCTCTCCCTTTTCTTTCGGAACTGAGTGGTCCCTGTGGTGGTCCATGGACACGCCTCCAGCCGGACGTCCTCCTGCTCCTTCAGTCTGCACTGCACCATGGCCCTCACCTGACCACAACAACAATCACTGTTACCACAAGCAAGGGAAAAAACAATATATTTATCCCCAGCATAAAACAATCCAGCAGTGGCAGTTTAATCATGATTATTGACTGTTTTGAATAAAGTGATGATAACACTCATGTTTATCTCATGTTTATGCTAGAATCTAAATAAAATGTGTTTTACTCCTGTTCTGTTTGAAAGTAAAGTAATCATGAATTGTGGATAGTGTTTACAGATCTCTGTGAGTTCCGAATGTCTCGGATGGTTTTCTGCTCCTCCTCCAAGAGCCAGAGCAGGAGCTGGTGTAGCTGGGGCATTTGGAGCGGCTCGACCCGAGGATCCACCTGTAGAAAACAGCAGTTGGGGTTAGGGTAAGGGTCATCATCCCTACCATTGTTTAGTTTAGCTTAGTGACACCTTTGCAACTTCTGTTCAAAGAAAATAATTTCCAAACGAAACACCTCCCGCTGCCTGCGCCGCTGTAACAACATCATCAGAGACCACTCCCATCCAGCCCACCGACTGTTCCACCTGCTGCCCTCAGGCTGGGGGGTACAGGTCACTCCCTTCTTCCCCCTTCCCCTTCTCACTCCCTTGATCTCCCAAACCCTGAACCAGCAGAAGGGCTAACAGCCTCTACCCCCAGGCTGTCAGACTGCTCAACAAACACTGCCCTCCCCCCTGTGTTACTAATCTACCTGTTAGTATTAGATAGCAATATGGCCTAATGCAGGACTGTACAAGGACTCTACAAGGACTCCATGTTATGACTATGATTTGACTGTCTCTTTGTGACACGTATGTCTTTCGATGTGTGACGTGACAATGACTATATAAACTGTGTACTGCCTTTATTCTGTCTGAGGGAAAGAAACAGAGTAAACCAGTGGAACTTGAGAGAACCTTAAATAAACTTCCAGAGTTTGGCACACCACGATCCGTCTCTCTCTGCTAAATCCTAACAGATTTGGTGGAGAATGCGCGGCTCCGTGTGTGCCATTCTCTGGATTGTTTTGAGGGAATTTCCTCTGTTTCTTTTTTTCGGCGTGTGGGAGCAACAGCACGTTATCTGGAAGGGGAGAAATCCCAGTGGACGCTGAAAGGGCTCGCTTTTGGATGGGCTTGCTCTTGCTCCCTCACTTTCTCTGTTTTGTGTTTAAATTGAATTTTCCGACGCGGAAAAGAGTTGGCAGACCTCTCGGACAGCCCGTGCGCACCTGTTTGACAAGAATAAGGTAAGCGGACACCTGTTAATTCAAAGTCTGCCTCATTGAGTAAGCTAAATTGTGGTCTGTTTTTGGGGTCTGCCAAATTTTGTATCTATAGATAAGATTGTATTGAAGAGAAGTTAGCTACCTGCAGAGGAAAAGGGTTAAAGTCCCACAGAAGGGTTAGAGTCCCACAGAAGGGTTAAAGTCCCACAGAAGGGTTAAAGTCCCACAGAAGGGTTAGAGTCCCACAGAAGGGTTAAAGTCCCACAGAAGGGTTAAAGTCCCACAGAAGGGTTAGAGTCCCACAGAAGGGTTAAAGTCCCACAGAAGGGTTAGAGTCCCACAGAAGGGTTAAAGTCCCACAGAAGGGTTAAAGTCCCACAGAAGGGTTAGAGTCCCACAGAAGGGTTAAAGTCCCACAGAAGGGTTAGAGTCCCACAGAAGGGTTAAAGTCCCACAGAAGGGTTAAAGTCCCACAGAAGGGTTAGAGTCCCACAGAAGGGTTAAAGTCCCACAGAAGGGTTAGAGTCCCACAGAAGGTTAGAGGCCCATAAGAATAGAGAAACCATGGTGTAAACAGAAAAGCAATAAAAAGGGAAACGTGTTAAGGAGGCCTTTGTTACAAAAGCTTTGAAATTGACGAATTTCAGGCTGATAAATGTCAAAAGTAAAGAAGCAACAATATTTCAGTGATCACGGTTTAAATTACATACAGAAAAAGGGAGTTTTTGTTTTTGGAGTGAACAGAGTTCACCGGAGAATGCAGAGTTTTATCTAAAGTTGAGCTATGAGAGCTTTCGTGAGTTATTTACATTTTTTACCGAGTTTTATCTACAGTTAAGCTATGAGAGGGCTGTATCCAACAGTTGTTTTTTGTTTTTTAGAAAGAGATTTTGAGTTTAAATTAGCTACCTCGATAAAATAGAAGCGTAAACGTTAAAGACAAGAGTGCCTTTTGTTACTAGTGTGGAAACTGATCATTTCTAGACTTGGATGACAAAAGTATAAAGAACAACATCAGTTATATTCGCTTAACAAAGTAATCTTGAAAGTTATTCTTCTGTATCTTTTTGCCTGTGTGTGCACATCTCTATCTGCTGCCGTTGTCAGGGAAACGGCCCCCTCCTTCGCTGCTCTGGCTCTGAATCTGAAGCAAAGCTACTGCTTTAGGATTTAGGCTTTTCATAGTTTATATTCCGTTAAATTTGCTAAATTTGCCATTTGAACATTGTGTTAGACACAGTTAAACGTTTTTAAACACCATTAGGGAATAGAAGTTTTGAATTAGTATGTTTTTGAAACCCAAAGATTAGTACAAAAAGCTTTGCTTTTCTTTTTAAATCTGCTGCTTATTTTGTGAGTCCATTATTGTATCTCTGATATATTTCATAGCTGTTTGTGAGAATTTTTTCATGTATTTTTTATTTTAGTTACAAAAGCCGTTTTTCAAATTTTAAATTAGAATCTGTTAAAAGTGATTAATGATTGTAGACTTCGTCTAAAAAAGAAAGAGGGAATTAGGCTGTAAAAGTATTATATTATTAAGTTAAACTACCCAATTCACATGCAAGTGGTGACTTTTGTTTTTGTTTTGACTACACGCCTGACCTTGTTGCTCCTGCTGATGCCACAGCAGAGGAGACTGGTCTAAAATGTGCTCCAATTCATACTGACTTCATTTGAAAAATGCTGCAATTATTTTAAATTAGTAAAATATATGCTGAGATAAATGCATAGATAATTAAACACACAGTACAAAAGTACATAATACATATTTTAAAGGTTGAAGGTTCAAGGGATTTGAGTCTTGTTTTTTATTAAGAAAGAGTTTCTGGTCTTCAAATGTCATCATTAGTAAGATAATAAGTAATCTTTATTTACATAGCGCTTGGGAAAACCCAGAGCGCTCAAATTGTTTTGACTTCAGAGAGAAAAACAATCTCATTCACAATCTCTGTTGTTTTTAATTTGACTATAAGGTTGTTTTCCAGAACCAAGAGCACACACTGTACAGGGTCACTGGACTGCTGGACACTGGACAGCGCAAAGCCCACCCAGCCACAGGTCACAGATCAAAGAGCAAAGGGAAATGCCACCTCCTTGCCCCTCCCCACCACACAGCAGAACTGAGTGGGTGTGAGTGAGACCGGGGCCATGAAAGAGAGGTATCTGGAGACGTGATGGGTGGGAGCGTCAGGTAGAGACCTAGAGGGAGTTGAAAGTGTGTCCAGTTGGTTTGCATCACCACAGTGTGACCTTTGAGACCTACAGGTGGTTCGAGGAGTCTGGAGACACAACCCCAAAATTCATATACACACACACACATACACACACACACACATACACTCACACATTCAAATTTACATATAGATACATGAAAAAGCAGAACATGAGAAAAAAGCATTTTAAAAGTTTACTCCAATGTAAACACATATTTTTAATTGTCTATCACTTGAATCTTTAGTTGAATCAGTATTTTTTGAGACCAGAAATGTTCATTTGAATTCTATATTGTCATGGACATAATTGACCTCTGTCCTGACACTTTTGATTTGTTGATTTTGTACTGTGTGAAGTAATTACATTGATGAGAATTAGATCTGATAAAAACACAAATTAGAGAAGTAAACTGAATCTGCGCTTGCTTTTTGTCTGAGGGACATTAGCAACAGCATGAATAGAAATTGTCTTTAAAGTAGAATCAAAGTGACTTAACCATAGAGAGTAACTATTGCATAACAAGCTGTGTACAGGAACTGAGACACTGCACCATTGACCAGAAGTGCATCGCAAATGACCTGATGTGCTTCAAGTGAAAAGACTGTATCTGGAGATCCGATGTCCAACTGGAGAGACCAGAACCATGGCTTGGACCCTACTGATGTCCAAGATGACATCTCTATATGACCTGACCTGATGACGACTGAGACTCACCCTCAGGGGACCTGAGGACCTGAGGACCTGAGAGAGAAAAACTGGGGAGTGATGTTTATATTTTTGAAATCATACATTGATGAGTGCTAAATGAGAGAGATACTCATGATTCTTCTTTTGTTTTTGTTTGTCCCTAGCTTCTGGACATCTGATGATCTATTGGACACAGCCATTTGCAGAACAAGAACCAGCCAATGGAAAACGTCTATTGCCGATGCTATTGCTACAACCAGAAACTGTGACAAATGCAATATACATGTTAAGTATTCAGACATCTGACAGACAAAAACTTTGAAAATGATAAAGTTTGAGTATTGTAGCGTTTTAGTAGATGTTAAATAGTAGTAAAAGAGTAGAATTTGACTTCCTTTGTTGTTCATAAACACATTTCCACATAAGAGTTAAAATAGTACCATACAATGTTATCCTTTTGATAGATCAGCTATAATATTAGAATCAGAGTATTTTAGAGATATTAAAAGTGACAGAAGTCACAGATTAGAAATATGCCTTTGCTCAAGCTGCAGCCGAGCTTTTGAGTTAAAAAATAGAGTAAAAATAGGAATAGATAAATGCATCAACCATAGATGCTTTCAAAAATAGAGATTATTTGTAGCCAGTGCTAATATCAAATGGTAAAGGGACCATTTCACAAACATTTACTTCAAAAGTAGATAAAGTTAATTACAGTTTATGTACAGTTTTATTAGATACTTGCCAAATTCACTTGTGTTCAAACATCTGTGAATGTTGACAATACAAAAAGTCCATATGAGTGTAGCCTAGATTAATGCCTAGATCAATGAGATAGATTAGAACCAACAGAGATTCAAAAGCATTTAAAAGCATTTTGATGTATTTGTGTATAGCACAAAAACAAAATAGTAGATATTTAGATATTGAGAAGTTTCCAGCACAAACACCATTGTAGAATAACTGACCCCAACCCCAAACCTGCTCAAATAGATTAGCTCTTGTAAGGATAATACTAATTTGATTAAAGATGTACATTCATCCCAAACTGCCTGACAATAATATCTTTAGATAATAAAAAGTAATAAATCATTGACCACTATAGAAGTGTAAATGTTGACCATTTGCCTTACTGTGTTCACAGTTTTATTCCTGAGAATGAGAATAGACTTGGAGCAAAATCCCACTGATAATAAGCCACTGATAATGAGAGTGTAAAACTAAAGAGAGATTTATTAGATTAAAATGTATGTTTAAGAATATGGCTCAATAGAAGCAAATATGCAAACATATTTGTAAATAGATTAGAATAGTTTTAAACTATAGTGAATAGTAAAAGTAAAGTACACAGTCTAAGATTGAAAAGTGAAAACAATACAGTGAAGTGAAGTGTAAACAATCAGCATTAGAATAAAAGTATAGAGTAATAAAAGTGAAATTAGCTTCTAAATTGAGACTCAGCTCGTTTTTTGTCTGTGTTTTGACTGAATCTGCTGAGTTCTTGTGTGTCCAATAGTTTTTGTTTGTTTTTATTTTTGATTTGTTTTTTGTTTGTTTATTTACTTTATTTTTGTTTGTTTGTTTTTTCCCAGGATAGAGGATAAAATCCACTGATATTGATTTGATGATTATGAGTTTAATGCATACATTTTCTTTGTTTTTAATAATTTTTTGAAGTTTTTTTTGGAATTTTTTTTTTTTTCTTTTTCCATTTTATTGATTGATCGATTTGAGTGATCACATGTGATTATGTGATCAAAGGGGAGGGTATTAGTATTAGATAGCAATATGGCCTACGTGCAGGACTGTACAAGGACTCTACAAGGACTCCATGTTATGACTATGATGTGACTGTCTCTTTGTGACACGTATGTCTTTCGATGTGTGACGTGACAATGACTATATAAACTGTGTACTGCCTTTATTCTGTCTGAGAGAAAGAAACAGAGTAAACCAGTGGAACTTGAGAGAAACATAAATAAACTTCCAGAGTTTGGCACACCACGATCCGTCTCTGTCTGCCTAAATCCTGACATTACCTCTTCCAATGGAAAAGGTGGGACGACGTTGGTCAGGTCCCACCTCTGCTCTGACCCAGACCCCATGGAGCAGCAGAATGTGCAGTTGCTGACTGGGTATGCCCTCTGAACCTCAGCTTCGAGCCTGAAACGGCTTTGATGAATTTAGTGTTTCAAATGTTCCACCCTGTCCCCGTCCAGGGCTTGTACGCAATGACAGAAATGTCTGATATTGGCTCTTTCAAACTTCAGACCAGATGGAGGCTTTGTTCTGTCCAAAAACACACATCCATGTCTCCGTGCTGCACAAGCCGACCTCAGCCGCAGAGATAAGCACGCTCTTATGGTGGTGGTGACTCAATCACTTTATCCTTCATGTGTTCGCATGTACTTATGCAAATGTCCATTATGTTCAGAGAAAGACACAAATGCAGCATGTCTAAGCCCTCAAAGACACCCGTGACGCCTGTTTGGTTAACAGGATTTATTAAGGTGTATGACCCAGTTCACTCCACATTATGTGTGGCTTGATTGTATGTGAATAATATTGTGAATGTGATTAAAGGGTAAAAATGCCTTCAGAATAATTACAGGCTGTTTTTTTATAATGGGCTGCAAGTAACAATTATTTTTATAATGACTTATTTAGTAATTATTCTTTTGATGGATTAAGGGGAAGAAAATGGATGGATGGAATATTTTTTTATTTAGTATTATTTTGGTTTAGAATGCAGAAAAATCATGTATTTTAGATAATATCTATAAAGTCTTAAACGCACCGTCTTCTGTTTAGAGATGGCCACAACCCCACATTACGACACTAAGCAGTCCAAGCCCTAGTTAGTACTTGGATGGGAGACCCCTGTACCTGGTTCAGGTGGGGTGGCTGTACCACTAAAGTGCAACATTGCTGTTATGTCTGTGAATATATTCACAGACTTCTGTGGGAGTCACTTTGGACCTGTCAGACTTTGCCCAAACCTTCTGACAATAAAACCCCAATTTAACTACGCAACTTGTCCGAGTCTCCTTTGTCTTACGTCTGGGTTCTAATTCACACGTCCTTCACAGCGAGTGATGTGTCTGCTGGGTTTGTTAGTGTGTTATTGATGTCAGCCAGAGATGACACTGGCACAGATTGACAGCCTTGCATCCATCAGTCTGTCTCAGGGCAGCTGTGGCTATAGGAACACCATTACTGTGTGTAGGGTGAATTAATGAATAATGCACGTATAGCTGCAGTAATTGTTTATCTATATGTCTGTTAAAATCTGAATCGTTTAAGCTTCATTGTTGTTTCTCCGTTTGAGTCAAATTATTAAAAAACTCTTAAACCTCTGTCTGGGATTTTTCTGACTCCATTTATTGATGGAAATGATTGTTGATTGTGACCAGATTGTGTGTAACTGCATATATTATGGTCATATAGCATATATAGTGTTTCCCAACACTGGATGGCCAATAATATATTAACCAATTAGTTTATTTCTAACGAAGATTTATGCAACCCTTTTAGTTTTACATAAAGTAAGACTTTTCGATTTACATAAAGTAAGACTTTTCGATTTACATAAAGTAAAAAGTCTCCATGATGTAATGTTTCTATATATTCAGTAATCTTTATTTATATACCGCCTTTTCACTGCAGATCTGAGTCTCAAAGCGGTTTACAATTGTTAATTTTTTGGGTATTTGTCTCTCACTCCACACAGAGATGGGAGCGGGGTCGCCAGTACAGGAAGCGCATGCCAGAACATATATATTCTGGCCATTCTCGAGCTTCCAGATGGTGTGAAGGCACCAGCGGAGAGTGGTAAATGTTAGTGATGGGAAGCAGGCGATGACCTTTCTACATGTGAGGCTGATGCACTGTTGGCGTCCCATGAGGACTGAGGGAGGACTGAGGGAGGACTGAGGCAGGAGTCTGAAAGGCCAGTCTGTCAGCTCCTGCTTCTGTCTGCACTTTCAGACCAATGACAAGCCATCTGTGACGTTCACGCTTCACTGTAACCTTTGCAATAATCATAACACAAAATAATCATATTTGAATGGCATGAAAATTGACAAATCTAATCAAGAAAGATTTATAGTAGATTTTGAATGAATGATTGTCCATAGCCTTGTATCCTCCCAACCCTTTCAACTATTGTCCTCACTGTTTTATGTCACTGATTTATGTATTTATGAACTATAACTAACCATCGTTTCATAAAAGAAAAACATGGGAGATGTCCGAAGCATAGATAAATTATAAACAGGGCAAACATTTCCCAAATCTTATTTATTCTTGCTGTACAATGTTTGCAAATGAGGCACATCCAACACACATGGCTTTAGTGGTCGACTGTGTCAGTGGTTCAATAATAGTAAGTGTTGTGTTGGTCCCTCTTACAGGCTGACCAGACCCAGGGGGGCTGGAGTGGACAATGAAGCCTGCTGAGTGGACAGACCAGGCTTTCCCTGTGGCGCCACCTTGAGGACAAATACTTCATTACAGCCTCATAGTGGTGAACATAAGCCTTAAGTCTCAAACTGTGTTACATGAACCATGAATCCTGGAAAGTGGCGATACATGTCTTTTTGTCCTCACAGTGCATACAATCAATAACAAAGACAAGTACCATGGTGTGTGTGTTTGGGTTTCACAGAAAATAAATAGTTTTCTAAACAAAGTCAAATGTTGCATAAAAATGCAGAAAGTGCACAACCAGTTTTATCGAATACATACCATGATAAAACTAAATAAAAACTATATTTTAAGAAAACACATCCAGAGCAAATAGGACCTGCTTTCCCGATTAGTAATCCTGACAAAGCAGCTTGTCGTGGGGGAGATGTGTGCAGGTAAATGACTCTGATGCAGTACAAGTGGCTTTAAGTGTGATTGTGACACATTTTCTTTGAACAATCAACATTTTTGTTGCTGTATCCAATGCAAGGAACAACTTTCATTCCTATTGTTTTCTATAAAGTTACAAAGTCATAAACACAAAACATTTTTCTAGAATACATCTGAGAGGATGTGTTTCAAGCATGTTTAAATAATGGTATCACTGTATTTTTCTACTTCTTCATACGTTTGTCATCGTTAGTGTCTCCCTGGTCCAGACCCTGTGTAATCCTGCTGATGACGACTGATTACATTAGAACTTACTGAGCGAGGGCAGAGCCCCTGCCTTCACCAGAACAGCCGACAGAAGGTCTGCAGGCCCAGAGGGGTGTGCTGCTGGGCTCTCACAGTTCACTGGGGCAGGGCCCTTCCCTCTGGGCAGAGTGCCACCTACTGGCCCCAGGCTGCTCTTGCTGTTTTCAGCTGTGGGGATGATAGTGTTCAGGTGGGGGTTTCCCACCACAGGAGTCCCACCAGGCTCTAGACCAGCCTGGCCACAGCAGAGCAGCCTGAAGAACGCAGCTCTCATCTCTCGGCTGGACAGAGTGTAGATAAGCGGGTTCAGAGCTGAGTTCAGGACCGCCAGAGCTATAAACCAGTCCACCTGGTACAGCACCAGGCAGCTCTGCGGACTGCAGCCTACGTCCATCAGCAACAAAATGAAGAGAGGCGACCAGCAGATGATAAACACTCCCAGCACAATGACCACTGTCCGCAGGAGAGCCAGGGAGCACTCTGAGGGCCTGCTGCTCACACGGCGCCCACTGGAGGTCACCAGTCGATATATCCTGATGTACAGGATGACGATGGCCACCAACAGTGCACTGAACACACTGATGCAGAAGGCCACATAGCTCTTGTCATAGAGTGGGAGAACAGTAGAACAAGACGACAGCTTGTTTAGGCAATTCCAGCCCAGACTGGGAAGAGCACTGAGCAAAACCGAAACAAGCCAACAGGCTGCGAGCAGTCCTAGAAGTCTTCCCCGCCCTGCTGTCTCACAGGGGCGCAGCCTCACCATGGTCATATGTCTCTCTATCCCAATGGCCAGCAGGCTGAAGGTAGATGCACTGAGGGCCACAAACATGCTCCCCTCCCGGGCCAGCCACTGCACAGGAGTCAGGAAATAGGTGTTACGTCCGGAGGTGAAAATGTTAACCACATAGGCCACTCCAGCCAGCAGGTCGGACAGGGCCAAGTTTCCAATCAGGAAGTACATTCTGCTGTGGAATCGCTTGTTCCTCCACAGAGCCAGGAGCACAGTGACATTCTCCAGCACGATGAGGAGGCAGATGAAGAGCAGCAGTGCAGTCTTACACACCCCACTCCCACGCGGCCGGTTCCACTTTCCAGAGTGGTTGTAGTGGGACACAATAACAAGGTTCATGCCCTCCTCCAGCTCAGGCTCCATGGTTACAGCTGTCCCGCTTCAGTCAAACAGCAGAGGGCGCCACAACACTGATGAGACACAGATGAGATGGTTCTCCTCAACAGCAAGCATAAAACAGATGAAAAACTTAACTCACTATCGCTCTGACAGTGTTTCCTTACACAGTTTAAATGTGTAACCCTAACCCTATCGGCGTACTAACATATTTATGTGCAGGTCTATACTAACTGCACCAGTAACAAGATACACTTAAAATATGTATATATACTATAGGTACATGTCTGTAACAAAAATACTCTAGGCGTCCCCTTTTCATGAATATTTGACCGTGTTTGGTGTGCTCTGTTTTCTTTAGTCCTCCCTGCTCTAGTCTACATCTGATAGGAATCTACTAATTTACATAGAGTGACATTACACGGGATTCGAGCTTTTGTAAGTAACTTATCTCTTTCTTCCTACAGATACAGCACGTATACATTGGCTGGCCTGATGAATGAGTCTGCCATGTAAAAGTTAGTGTTGAAACTTACCTTGTGGACTTTTTTTCCTCATCTAAACATCCTCTAAAAACTCAGTGGAAGGTTGGAAAGTGTGATGTCCGCGCAAGAGGGCATATAGAGGTGTCTCTTGTGTTATGGTCCTTTGCGCTCCTCTGCTCCACATGAGTCCGGGCGCACACAGGCTCTAGGTCCCAGACAGTGGGCGGGGTCGGGCCACATTGAGGCTGGGCCATCAATTACAGCCAAGTGGATCATTAAAGGCGAACAGTTGTTTTCTCCTATTTTGTGAGTTGTAGACTAGTCAAGTTCCAAGTCACGGGAACGGAAACCTGCCCAGACATGAACGCGCGCACTATTCTTTTATGCCGTAGGTTACTGCCATACTTGTTTATACATATTTTTCGCGCATTACTGCCATCTTCATCAAACTGCAGAGACTAATGCTGAGACTAAGGCTGATTTTAATGGCTTTAGATGTCTCTGGTCCTCCTGAGGAAACTTCTCCAAGCTGGAAACGTTGAGTCATGTGCGTGCATCATCGACAAAAGTTGTGGTCAAAACGTGCAATGGCTTGTCTGATAAATACGTCCTGTTCAAAATACACATTATTTTCATGAATGAGTATTTTTTTCTCTCTGGATGGACAGCCATGTAAGTTAGATTCTAGGATCAAATACAGTATAGCCTATATTTGTATTAGAATATTATTGATTTAAAAATACTGAATTACTTGGCTAAAAAATGCGAATTATATCACACAAATGTTGTTTGAATGACATCGATTAAAGTTTTAGTTGAAGTTTTAGTGTTAGTTCTTTCCTCAAAATAACTGTAAACAAATGTGCGTTTACATGCAGGATAAACGTGAGTTACTTTGATTGTAACTATAATATATCATACATTTTATTTACAAAATATATTACTTTAACGAGTGACTTTTGTAACTACCAACACTGATGGACAATACACACAAAAACATTGTGGATGTGCTTTGGCTGCAAACTGCTGAGGCTTGTGTCTGAGCAGCTAACACCTCTTCTTCTGTGGAGATAATCCACCCCACAGCAGCGTCCCTCTGCCCTAATGTTGGTATTGTCCCCAGGCTCCGGCCCCTCATCCCCTCATCCCCTTGTCCCCCTGACATTCTCTCAGCCACAGCTCTGCAGATCATAGGTTTACAGTAACATCATGAGAAACACAGCTTTAAAGGCACTACACGTCCTCGCACTGTTCAATTTATGTTATACAAAATGTTATCATATTCCTTCTGGCTTACTTATGAATAATACAAATAATAAACCCCTAACCCTAATTCTATCATGTTTTGAAACAGAAAACAAAAATGTATACCCCTTGGGCATCAGAGTGTTTTCAGAAATGTTATCTGAAACCGACAAAAAGTGTTGCTATGAAACTGTATAAGAGATGGAGGTAAGAGTAAGTATTGTATAGAAACTGCTCTGTACTCAAGAACTCATGAACCCCACAGGGCTGTGTTCTTTGTCCCCTGCTCTTCTCCCTGTACACCAACCACTGCACCTCCAGCCACGACTCCGTGAAGCTGATCAAGTTCGCGGACGACACCACCCTCATTGGACTCATCTCCAACAACAATGAGTCCGCCTACAGGAGGGAGGTGGACCGGCTGGTGTCCTGGTGCAGTGGTAACAACCTGGAGCTGAATGCCCAGAAGACAGTGGAGATGATTGTGGACTTCAGGAAGAGCACTGTCCCCCCGCCCCCACCCTCCGTGATGGACTCCCCCATCACCTCTGTGGAGTCCTTCCGTTTCCTGGGCACCACCATCACCCAGGACCTCAAGTGGGAGCCGACCATCAGCTCCCTCATCAAGAAGGCCCAGCAGAGGATGTACTTCCTGCGGCAGCTCAGGAAAGCCAAGCTGCCTGCACAGATGTTGGTGCAGTTCTACACGGCCATCATCGAGTCCATCCTCCCCTCCTCCATCACCTCCTCCATCACCTCCTCCATCACCGTGTGGTTCGCTGGAGCCACAGTCAGGGACAAACAGAGACTACAGCGCATTGTGCGCTCTGCAGAGGAAGTGATCGGCCGCAGCCTTCCATCGCTGCAGGACCTGCACGTCGCCCGAGCTCGAGGCCGGGCTGGTCGTATCACAGCCGACCCCTCTCACCCTGCACATGGACTATTCCAACCACTCCCCTCAGGCAGGAGACTGCGGTCCATCAGGACTAGAACCTCCCGCCACAAGAACAGTTTCTTCCCCTCTGCTGTTGGACTCTTGAACACTTCTTAACCTGTCCCCCCGCCCTCTATAAAGTCACTTTACTGCCCATCATACGTCACTTTACTTCACTGTACTGCTGTCACCTTACATTGTGTGCACCATGTGCACTTGTATATTGTAAATAGTAACTGTAACTCTATTTTAAATTTAAATGTATTCTTTAAAAGTGTTTTTTATTCTTATTTTTATCATCTCTTTCTGACTGTTGCACAGAGCCAAAGCAATTTCCAAGTCTGTGACCTCCTGTTACTTACGTGGCAATAAAAATGATTCTGATTCTGATGAAGCAATTTTTGCTGGTATGGCATCTACATTTAATTTTATTTCAATACTAGAAATTGCTTTTGAAAAACAATCTGCTCAGTTACACAATTTATCCTTTGCACGGCACGGAATATTTTGTAGGTTTGGATTCCAGACAAAATATTCCCAAATGACTGAAGTGAGAATCAGTCAGAACATAAAAGCCCAACACAGTGCCTCACAGCCTTCTCTTCCCGCTCACAGGTCCCTTGGTATCAGTGGCTGTGTCAGAGCCTCCGGAACACACTAATAAATGATCATCTGCTGTTGACTTTACCCTGAGCTGGTGGTGATGTCAAGCTCTAGGACGTACCATTTATAACCGACTGAGAACGCCCAGGGGCTATGTTTGTGTGTTATTGCCCACTGCATGGACACTTCCTGGACGTTCAGGCCTGATGAGACAGGAAATGTAACTTTAGGTCGGAGCATCACAAAAAAGAAAAGGGTTGCACACGTTAAAGAATGCGGAGACAGTGGGAAAGAGCAGTGGAAAAGTCTGGTCTCTGGGCACGGTCCTCCTGGAGCTTGTGCCCACTGCCCAGAACAGATGTGGACAGATATGTGGGAAACTGTCTCCAGCTAGAATCTAGTCATTTATACAGAATACTCTCCTCTGAAGTTAAAGTGGGACATTGTATGGTCTTTTTTTTTTTTTTAAGATTAAGATTAAGATTAAGAGATCGGTGTTGCATCACAAGTTATAGAACAGTGGGAAAGAGAAGCACACGGCACACGTTAAGTGAACAATAGCTATACTAATTAAAACAAAACAAAATCTCTAACTCTAGCTTCAATAATAAGTATACAATTTCTATCTTGAAAATAATAATAGATGTATAAAGTATAAAGTACTGTGTAATCTAGTGCAAGTAAAGTGTGGTTATATGTTAGCATCTGTGCATTAGCAGCAGTATGTTTACATCTGTGCATTAGCAGCTGTATATTGCACATTCTGGTATAAGATAAGGATATTGCAACGATGCGAGAATGACACGTGGAATCAGGTTGGCAGTGTTCCTAAGTCGTTATTGTTTGTTGTACAGTCTGACAGCAGCAGGAAGGAAAGACCTGCGGAACCTGATGAACCCAAAGCCCATGTGTGATTGTTGTGGTAGATGTATAGGTCATGTATGTTGTGTTGCTTTCTTGTGTCTGTAGTCCTCTGTTCATCTGTTCTTGGAGTATTTTGTCATGTGGAATGTAGAGTATGTCAAGCTGACCTCAGTATCAGGGATATTAGACACAGTTCATAACAATAGTGGGATTACAAGTTTTGATCCGTGTGACCTTGAGAATATTCTTATCTTGCAGACTAATGGGTCTCCTTGTAAATGCATGGAACTTCACACACCTCGCATATGACTGCAATGATTTTCTGCAAACAGGGATTTCCTCCTCAAAAACCTTTGTCTAAATGTGGAATAAAATTTTAATATTTTGCCACTTTTGAGTTTATGGCAGTGAGCGTTTCTGTGTAAACGCAGCCTCAGACTGTCAACGTGCAATCAAGCATTCTTTCTACAGCTCATTTGACCCACAATTGATTAAAGTGTTGTGTTTAATAACCACTGTGTTTCTCCTGAAATCTTTTACAGTTACAATAGTTTCCTTTATCCACTTCCCAACATATCTTAATCACATGTTCTCCATCTGCTCATCGCAGGCTTGTCTGTGTGGCCATGGACTGACTTCAGAAGGTCCAGCCTGGTTGCTGCTATCATGCTATCAGCCTTAGTGTGAGATATGTGGGCCACAAGGTGACCACATGTCTGAGCCCAGCATCGCTGCTCCTGCTGATAACCTCTTTATCAGAGTCCATTCTGGAACAGGTCACATCAAAGAAGGACTACCCCTGAACTTAAGCCTCAAACTGTTATGCTAAACACACCAGGGACTAGTGTTGTCCTTGCTATGGCCCTGTAACC